CATACCGACTTACAGACTGAAAAAAAATGGACGTCGGATTTCCATTATCAAAGATGCAACATAAAGTTGGTCCAGGATCTTTCTATGCAGTCATTGAAATCGCCTTGTCAATCGATGCGTATCCACTTTCTGTTTGTAGACAAAGTGGATATTAATCTTCGTTATGTAGAAAGTTTAACATACACGCCCAGTTAGGACGCTTCCTGTGCGGCCGTTGAAATCTCCTTAAAATCAGCTGACGCGAGACCTGCCGGGATGTTCAGAGAATTCTGTCCTACGCGTGACACTTGTATATCCAAATGTTTGGCTTTTCTGTTAGACATATGTTAAATCCAACATCGAGCGTTCACATTTTCTGCTCTCAGCTGAAGAAAGTGAACCTCCACTGTCATATATCTTAAATTAATTTGCGCTCTAGCCGAGAGCTTCCTACGCGGTCATTGAAGTCTCCCCTCCGTAAGCCATCGCGAGGCTCCAATCGAGGGTTTAAAGGTACCTACGGCAAGGCGAAATTCAATATCCGCGTTTCTTACGCGTCCTCCTAAAGAAAATGAATATTGAGCCTTGTCAGATTGCAGATTCCCGTAAATTGATTAGCAGGTTTCGCATGACCTCAAGATCGAATGCGCAATGGAAGCGCGCGCCGGCGTACGATTTCCAGCCGGGGGAACTTTCGGTCGAAGGTGACGCGAAACCGGTTGGGAAGTTTACGGGAATCTGCCATCTGACAAGACTCAATATCCAGTTTCTTAAAATAACGAAGGAGAAACAAATAAATATTGCGTGTCGCCGCGCGAGGTATTCCTGGATACCCACAGAGATGCCACGCATCGACCCAAGTTCCTAATTTCCATTTTTACGAAAGCAAAAGTATGATATTAACATACGCCCTCGTACATCGTTTCGATTTCGTTTACAAATAGAACTGCATTTGTGGAAGGAATAATTACGGGGTGATTCGAAGGACCCCCTTAAGGTCGGCCGGCTCGACGAGTGACGAGAGAACTTCGCGGAGGTGTCAAGTACAGCTCCCGGTACTTCGAGCCCCGAAGTGCCCATTATTCCCTCGGTACAAAGGCAAATATCATGTCGGCCGGTTAACAATAATTATGCAGCCGTTAATTCTCCATGGGTGCCGGGTGCACGAAGGCTCGGTTGACAAACGGCGACCGCGGCGCGAATCTCTTCGCGTCCCCGCCATACCGGGTGGACGAGTCGCTCCTATCATTTATTTACTTTCTAAGGAGTCGGCACACGACCTAACCCCTCAGAATTCGGAATAAAAATCTGCGCCAAGGAAAACAACCACCTGTCACAATGCTTTCTCCGCAACGATACGCGTTACACCCTTACCGCGTCGCCCTCCACCTTGGATATTACCCTCGACATACCGCATCGATTCTTATCAATAAATTAAGGAACGCACAATCTAGGAGTAAATAATTCTCACGGATGACAAATTTTCCCATTGAATTTTACCACAAAAAGAATTCCCGGATTTTCAGGTCCCCGCTTTCGACGATTAATCCTCCGTGGACAAGCGATTACCTTCGGGATTGTAATTAGCGTTTACAAGTGATTCGCCTAATAAGTATGCCGGGGCGAAATCAGATTCCGTCCCGGCGGTCTCGACTCGTCCAAGAAGCTTTATCTCGTTTAATCCTAACACCCGTTACAGAGGAGGATGCTCGTTGGTGGATGCACTCAGGTCGAGACGCCGAAGCCAGACGGTGGCCAGTGGCGCCACGCAATTGTCAATTAACATTTTATCGGCGGGCAAGAAAACACGAAGCTACGTGCCGCATACGTGGCCTGGCTCCTGGCCTGCCTCCTGGACGGCCAGGATATCCCAACAGGATTCCATGGATCGCGGACCCACGCACCCGATCCGTCCGTCTCGCTGCGTTTCATTATCGCGGTTAATGGATATCGATGAAAATAAGTCCAATTAATAACACCGAGCCTCTATCCGCGACCGACATACATTAGGCGAAGCTATGGCGAGTCCTCGAGGAAGGCTCGTTCCTGCGAAGGAGGATGCTCCGCGAGGTGCCCTTGCTGACCCTGGGTGTACAGGCTGGTTATAACTATATAAATAATAAACGACGTTATATACATATACCTATGCGTACATAAACGTACGTCTATCACGAAGACTCTCAAAAGGCTCGTTTTTCATCCTACATGTTTTTCATGTCAACCGCACCACCGGGAGGCTTTTACGGTGCAGGCGTTTGCAAGCGCGGAGACTTTTTGTTTATGGCCGCTACCTTGACAAAATTACAGCAAAGGAAGAGCCATTAAACCCAGCTGGAGCAACATGCCCCGGGACATCGGCGGGCGAGACAAAGGACTCGAAACCTGGCGAGGCGAAGTGCACTTTTCCTCGAGGAGCGGGTGGTGCTCCGGTTTGCGCACTCGTTACAGTCGTTGCGTGTCGGTAAAAGTTAACGAGGACGCACGCAAAGATCGATCCCACGTTTTCGCAGGAGATATACCGAACGACGGGTCCAGGGCGGAAAAGGAGAATCTCGGGAAAGCGACGAGCACAAAGAGCGCGGTCAGAGGCTGCTCTTCAGGGTGGGTCCGGTTCGCGGGCTCGTTAACGAGCGTTTATTGTTTACCTTCCGTTTGTTATTCCGTTACCCGCTAGCTCTCGGTGGACGGCTTTTACGAGACGCGAATGTCGGGCACTCGGACAGGCCCCGTCCGCGGGCCCTAGGGGGCCTGCCCATCCCCTGGGGCCCAGGGTCCGCACCTCGGCCCGAAGAGTTATGGCCCTTGAACACAGCCTACGGGCACCTGGACGTAAACCATCGCGTGGCCACCGGCTCGGTTTCTGCCCGATTCGGAGCGATCCACGCAGCGAAACTACCAGGACTCATCTCGCAAGAGAAAGAGCCCAGCATCCAACATCTCTGGAGCCAAGGATCTACCCAAAAGGCGCACATTGGAATGACGTCGAGCACATTGGATTAGCATTGCGCACGTTGAGGTGGTATCCATCGCGTGGAGGTACTATCCAATAGGCCCGAAAAGGGTATCCCTCTCACCGAAAACGCATACAGCGAGCATTTACTGCTACAAGACATTTAATGAAACAAGTCTCGTAGACATATGCGAATACCTTCTTGCACTAAATACATCTTGAAGCATTTGTTGTGTGCTTACTGTATGCGTCTCCGGCGTGCGGTCTGAGTAGGGGGGATCCCCGTGTACCGCGATATGTAAATTGCATGGAATCCCTGGTAATCGCACGGTTTTCGCTAATACAGAATGGAATAATTATCTTATCACGGGTAATTATCGGATAATGAGGGAAATCGGACCTTTACTGGTCTCCTTCATCGCCTTGTCGAGATCGGATCCCGCGGGACGCATCCATTCCTCACCAAGTTCCCCCCTCGCAGGAGACGCTTCCAGTCGCCTCCTCGAGGTTAATAACTCACGAATGTCCCCGAATATATTATGCACGCTCCCGGTGTTCCGCAGACACGGGACATCGCCGTTTCAAACTTCCTGGGAGCGGGTTACGACCCCCCCGGGAGCCGTAGGAACTTCGCCAATCTCGTGATCCATCGGGGGAACTTTACCCCAAAGCACATTGCGAGATATCCCAAGTTCGCTTAAGCTACTTAGAGAAAGCCCGGAATATCCCCGCATCCTGTTCGAGGGATCCGATATCAAGGCGCGCCGAAACCGTCCCGCGCGTATATAAACTCGATACCGTAATTGTTATCATTCACGAGGTTTACGAGTAGCCGGCCAATCCGTTGAAAAGTTTACAGCGCGGTAGTTATCGGGACCATTTTTTCGAGCCAATGAAAGGTCTCCTTGATTTCTTCTCGGGCCCCTTCGTGTTCCTCTGAAGTGCTTGTACTTCAGAGATGTCGAAGTTTACGGGCTCTGGAAGCGTCCTTTATCAGGCCCAGTTCCTCTTCCCACTGATACCGGATCCTCGCTCCTGCGGAGCGACCGTCTTCTCGGAGCCAATGCTTCTTCCCTGAATGCCGATAAAACGACGTGGCAGGTTCAGACGTGGTCCTCTTCAGGGCCGTTTACACCAAGCTGCGTAATAATTATCGCTGGAAATAACTCCGGCCCCGCTTCCCAGGAACAATTCCTTAACCGGGGCGAAGAGCCTCGACTGACCTCCGAAGAGAAAGAGCGAGTGCTTTCCCTCTCAGGCTCTAGATCCCCATCTCGGAATTCATCAGGCTCTTCGTCTTGCCCAAAGTCTCCTGGAGAATCCCACCATCCACGATTTTCCCAAAAAACACGAATCCGGCTACTCCGCTTTTGGCAATTTCAGGAAGAAAGCAATCTTTGCGTCCGCAAAATCTAAATCCTCGGAATAGAGCCTCTACTATACTATTGGCCATTTTCATGCAGCTCCGCGAGGTACATTTCTGCAGGTGCACGCAAAGAATCGCTTCCGTGATAATCGTCAGTTCCTTAAAATGGGGAAAGATTGCACCGCGGTGAGAATTCGAAATTGCCACGTCTTCCTCTGTGACCCCTCGGCTTGGGTTCTTTATCGTTCTTAGACGGATACTTAAGTGAGTTTTAATCTGGCCGAGTGGTTTTTACAAAAACCCCGATGGGTATTTGTGCCAGGAATGTTTCCAACCAGACCCGGGGAGGGGCCCGATCTCGAGAACGGACTTCTTCAGCTAACTAAGTAATAGCTCTATTAAGCGGTCATATGCTGCCGCAAATGAAGGCCTGTCTCCCGCTTAACGTACCCAGTTTAACGTCCCTCTCGTGACGTTTCGTTATACCTATCTGTGCACGTTAATCGCGCTCTAAAAAGCACTCGAGATCATCTCTCTTGGGCAAGACTTAAGAACTGTCTTCTAACGGGCTCTCAAAATCGAAACGTAAACGAGCTAATGTCAGGGAAACGCTTCAACGTATATAAAAATTGAAATGTAAGCGCTTACAGAAATGCTTTACATAAATAAAGGGATAAAACAAAGCCAGCGGGATATTCTACTCACCCAATCTTCGTGATCAGCTTTCCGTGAACGTGAAGGTAAGACGTTATGAAACGCTTATTCACCTGAAAAGAAATTAATTGCAAACTTATTTACCCTACTTAGGTTATTATCTTGTGTTTGTAATTCTCACATGTATAATTAACGGGGAAAAAAAAAAATTGATTACGACTCGATAATGATATCTGGATTGAAAGCAAATTAGAGGACGAGAATGTCGCACTTGTTAGATGCAAACTGTACTGGTTTTTATCATTTTTAATTGGACCACCAATAAGTACCTCAACACTGGACAATTGCGCCAATTCGTCCAGGTCACTGTGCGAAGATCTGGTGTCGGTGTTAGTCGTAGCAGTGGTAGTTCTTCTGACTCGTCTGCCACCAGGATGGATCCAAGTTTCTCTACGAAGTCCTCCTCCGATATTATTGGCACCCTCTTTCTCCTTCATCCGAGCGCGTTCCTTCGACTCCCTTTCCTCCTTCCGTTTACGTTCCGTAGATTCGTACTATTGGAAATACAGAGGCATCAATTGACATTTCATAAAAGTCAAGTGACAGCGGTCTATGCACTAAGAGTTGCACATGCCTCGATTGAGAAGCTATGCAAGACCTCCTTGAAGAATAAGATAGTTTTCTCAGTGAGTAAAGGATCCTTCGTTTCCGTAAAGGTAACTACAGTTTAAAGGTCTCTAAGTTCAATCCATTAGATGCCAATTGTTCTATACGCTTGGAGTAGAATGTACACATCGTGCTAAATTGAGTTCCGATCCACCACAGGTTTTGTACTCGGAACAGTTTGGGGCTCTCATTACATCCATATGCATTAAGTGCATCGACTGATAAAAATATTCGATCGACAAATATGCAATCACAGATATAAAAAGTCGCGTCCACCAGGTAGCGGCCCTTTGGCAATTCTCTAAGTTCTAAGGTTCCTGTTAGCTCACTAACTCGCGCATGCCTGTGCGAGGACTATAGCCAGGCAATCTATTGTTCGACAAAGAAATGTATAAAGAAAAGTGAAACACATGAAAGCGCAAGACCGGACAAAACAGGACAAATGCCGGAACAAAGAACTAAAAGAAGCCTAACAGTGACATCTACGGAGTTCACACTGAGTATTGAGTATTTACTTACATAATGTAGGTACTGGAGGAACAACAAAATTCAAATATCATTAACAAAGACCAGACTGTATTAAGGGAAAAAAAAACAAAAAAAGAGAGAAAGAAACATACTTTTCCAATGAATCCTTACCTTTTTTCGGTTCTCATCGAAGAGACCTATGAGACTCTCCCTTGCAGAGTGGAAAGGATTCGATGCCATCAAGGAACGCATGTAGTAATAAACAGCATCTAATTTTCGTTTCTGTGGAAGGATTTTCTCTCGTTAACAAATATTTTCAAACTTTAAACAAAATCACCCTGCTCGCCGTCGTACTTACTGCATAATGTGCCAACAGTGCGAGTTGATTGTAAGGTCTCCCATTTTTCGGATTGATCTGTTGCGCCTTTAGATACCATCTGCGAAATTTTAATTAATGGGATAATCAATTATTCAAGTTATGCAGGTGAAAGCCCAAACGACTATCGGATAAAAATGGTAGAAAATAATAATCAAAGAATCTTGAATAACTCACTGCCTCGACTTTCCGTAGTTGGTGGTCTCATTGACTTGTTCCTTGTACCTCGCCAAATCGCCCAAGAAAAGGAATATTTTTTGAGCGCTGATCAGGGCTAATCCCAGAAACCCTAAACCTTTCGGTGGTGTCACAGATGTAAGATACGTGCTGAGTTTGAAGTTGTACGTGGTTTCGAGAACGGTTAATAAATTTTCTAAATAGGCCGTGCCCTCATCGATGATGCTGAGCATGATCTTCTTGTACTGTTCTCGGCGTTCCGTGGCCTCCTTCGGCATGCTCTTCCTGAACATCTCGATTAAATTGTAGAAGAGAATCTTCCAAATGTGCTGCTCGACATTTTCCGTCTGACAGAACTTTATGTCGGTCTCGAGAAGGGTCTTTAAGCTCTGTTGAAGGATCTGCCGGTTATACGATACTCGTTCCCAATTTGTGATGAAACCTCCGGAACTGAGTATGAACTGTAGCTCCAAATCCGCATTTTCTATACGAAGAAGAAGGAACGGGTTCTTGGCTGATCGAAAGCTGCAAACGAGACAAATTATAAATATGAAACAATTGAAATATAAAAAATTCCTTCAAAATGTTCAATATTAAAAAATGTGCAATATTAAAAAACTCACTTTTCCGAGTAAGGGTCGTACCAGGGAGGTCTCACACTTCCGAACTGATCGGCTATATACGGAGGTGGTACATTGTCCAACTGAGTCCCTTGAAAAGGATGCGCTTGTGGAAAGCTGGTGTGAGATCCGAAGGGAGATGCACTTGATGTAGCGGGCCCTTCGTTTTCTCTGTGATATAAATTATTCTCATTAAAAAAAGTACAATCTTCACATTTACCACTTGTCAATAGATACGAAAAGTGAACAAGAAAATTTCAGCCGCACACTTAAAGACAATTGAAATTACTTAATGAAAATAAACAATGTAAATAATATACCTCAGCTGCGGTGCAGCTCGACTTCCCGGGGATGTGACAATGATTGGTCTGTTGGGATTGTTTGGATCAAACAACGTTCTCTGCTGTTGAGATAATTGCTGTCGCGGTGGGGTCACACATCGAGGAGATTGACTTCTATCTGGTAAAACTAAAACTCCAGGGGGTTGAGGGTTATTCTGTTCTGTGGGAGGAGACATTTGACGTGGAGCTGAATTTGCACTTGAACCAAGTTGATGGCAATGCATGGTTTGACAGGGAGTTCGGCGACCATCGTCCGAATCGCAAATCGACGCCTTCCTCCCACTCCTCCAATTCTCTTCTAAGTGTTTTTCCGAAGACCTGAGAAATACGAAAATCATAAAATGTACGCTCCATGAAGTACCGCCAAAATTGATGGATAAAATGTACCAAGTAATAAAAAATAGAACAAAACTTATGACCGGTAATAATTCATTGAGCCTCATACCTATTTCTCGGAAAGTCGCGGAAGTTTCTATCTCTGCTATTTTCTCGACTACGGTGAATAATGTTGCGATGTCTCCTGTTATCATATTTTCTCATACTATTGCTGTTTTTCTGGTTGTTGTTGAAACTGTCATTTTCCCGGTTCTGCTGATTATTCTGTCGTTCCCGACTGCTCTCACGCGGCCTGTCCCTGCTCTTGCTTCTTAATAAAGGTGAAGATATCATCAAACCATGATGAAAGGTGTAAAACATAAGTGAAAATATGAGAAACTGAAGAAACATTACCGATCGGAATTTCTATTCCGTTTCTTCTTTTTGTACCTATAACTTCTGCTTCCTCCTATTGGAGGCTGAGTGCCCGATGCACTTGCACTTTCCCTAAGACTCATAACCGATGAACTTCGACTTAATTGCTCAGCCTCCATTTTCTCGTGTAATTCTACTTCATCACTCCACTTCTAAAAATGAAATCACACACGGAAACTTTATTGTCATCACTTTCTAATTAAGAAAAAAAATTACCAGAACCTTAACTTACCAAAGGGTGGTCCAGGGAGTTATCGGATAGTGGACTAAAAGGTTCACTTTTCAATGGAGTGACGGTCTCAGTGTATTGACTGCTTGGTTTCTCTTGTATTGAACTGGTATCTGGTGAAGTCTTGTTCGTGTTTTGTCTAATGAACGACATAAAAAATGATATAACTTATTAAAAGAGAATGAAACTAAAAATCATGAAGATAAACACAACTTACGTGTGACGAGAAGGTTGTTTGGAGACAGCTATAGGAGTTGATCTCTTTATATGATTATCAACAGGTGACTGACATCGGTTTGGATTCGAAGAAGGTGGTGGAGACGGTATCGATGGTGGTGGTGGCATCAAGATACTATCAGCTCGACTCAAACTCTCCATACTAGTATACATTGTACTATTGCTTCCACGTCGATCATATGACCTTAATTCAAGTATTTGTAAATAATCACTCATATTATATAAAAAAAATTAATTGTCAAAATAATTAGTAATTAACATACCGAGTCATATATTCCTGACTCGGTGTATGAGATCTTGAACTCGGAGCAGAATACTGATCAGGAGTAACAGGTCTGAATACAGATGTTGAAACATCCATTTCATCTGGTCTAAGTCTTCCTCGACCTCGAGTTCGAGCAGGCACAGTGTTGGACCAATTCTGCTGCGGCGGTAATGGTCCAGCCGGAGGCAAGTTTTGCATCGTTTGTGAATGCTGCATGGCAGGTTGATAATGATGAGATGAGGCACCCTATTAAACATTTAAAATATATTAAAGTAAAATAACAATTTTAATAACCCATTGTAAACTGAAAAAATAAATGTAAGTTACAATTACCAAAAAGTTCAAGAATAAATAATTTTACCTGAAACGTAACTGTACTACCATCCCAAGCATCTTCAGAAGAAGTACCGATAGAGCTAGGTGGTGGAGCCAAGCCATTTTCAGCTAGGAACTTAGATCGCAGTCTCGGTGGCAAAAGATCAAAATTCTTCGGCATGGGACATTCTTTTGCATTGTCTTTTCGACCTGATGGTGGCTTTCCATGAAATTTATCTGAATAACTGAACGGCTCTACACTGCGCGTATCTCGTGACCGATTAGAATCATTTATGCTATTTGATGTTACAAACAACGGTTCCGAGCCCTATTTAACAAAAAACCATGTCATGTAACAGTTACACATGATGGTTAAACGAGCTAGTTATTTATCATTACTTTACCATCAATTTGTTAACAGCATTTTTAAATCAATGTCTCTTACTTGTCTAACCTCCCGTGGATTATCTCTTCGACTTCCAAAATTTTTAGCTGACTGAGGAGAATCGGATCTCCAACGCTCCTCGTTCTCACTGATATTTCTGTTTCTACGGTTGCCAGAGTATCGCTTTCCATGGTCATTTCTGCTTCTGCTCCCACGTTCACTATGATTTCCTCCTCCGTGACTACCAGAACGATTACGATGACTGCGATTAGAACGAGTGTCCCAGTCTCTGTCATCTTCTCTTTCCTTTTCTCGGTCCCAGGTACCACGAACGGGTGACCTAAGAAAGATACATATTGAATCATTTGTTTGTACAAGTCCATGTACACGATTTCATAACGGAAATAAATTTAATAATGACCTGCTTGTCACATCACGTTCAGCCAATGCTTCCTTCACCTTTTTTGGAACATACAACTGTTGTTCCGGCTTCTTGTTCTTCTTCCTTGGATCTCCTCCAACTTGATGATTTTTAGAAAAGCCTTGGGATTGTTTGTTGCTATTGATTTTGTAGCTGACATGTGTGTCATTCAACTTGTTACATATGTTGTCAATTTGGGGAGGAGAACTATTTCTCATACGATCAGGGCTGCCAAACCGTGACTGTTTCAAGCGATACTGGACGGAGCTGGACTTAGACTGTTCCTGGGAACTGTCTTCGAGTTCAAAATCATCACCCGAGCGGCCAGATTTTCTTAGAGGTCCACTTCCTGGTCTGTATATTGCTTGAGGCGGAGCCCGACTTCCTCCCCCTCGCATATCTGTTGATCTATCCTTATCCAATTTGGAATCTATCGTATTATCTGCAAATCATTACAGAATTCTTTAAACCCTGTTGTAAAATTCAACCAAAGCAACATTCTTCCACCTTTCACAATACACGATTGCTCCACAATTACCTAAGATTAATTCCATCTATAATTACACATCAAACTAAATAACAACCGAGCGTAACTCATATATATACATATCAGTAAATTTAGTTAAATTTAATTAATTTCAATGGACCTAAAAGAAGTTACATGCTTCTCGTTCTCCACTCGGACGAAGAACCACAGCACAGCCGTCATTTGAAAACCATTTAAAAAATAATGCATTACATGAAAATATACACTCAAGTGGCCATAAAGTAGTAGTGACGAAACTCCTACAGCCCTTAAATTACAACCCTGTTTACATACTTATTAATAACTCAAGTTTTCACGAACCGGACAAACGGTAACTTTATGACCTAACATGTACAGATCAAAGAGTTCCATATTTTTTTCCAAATCTCAAATCAAGATGCAACGTGCACGATCCTTAAATGACGCGGATTGCGTTTCGCGAGACAGTCCTGGATGTTGCCCAATTTATAGGTTAGCTTGTTTAGTGAGGTTAGTTCGATGCGGTATCGCGTCAAGACCGAAAGGTATCTTGAAAATCTCACTTTCGCCCGTTCACAGGATACTTTAGAAAGTCAAGAAACATCATTCCACCGCAACCGCCGATCGATCTAGTCTTTTCCAAGTACCTTGTGAAATTCCTCCCCACTTCCTGCGTCCTTTGTCGTGGTTCGCCATATTGAAGTACGATCATGCCAAAATATCGAGGCATCGGATTGTAACACGGACTGGGAATGTAACACCGGAGATAAGTTGAAAGATTGCCCACGCGGTTATTTACAAAAAACTCAGACCGGTGCTGCCCTCTGTAGTCATAATGAGCGATATATTCATATTAATCGCGATGGCATCTAACGAGCACAATCGACGGATTATTCACGTAGAGTTGAAAAAAAAATGAAAATAGGAGAGCATGGAGAAAAACGTAGCAAAGAGGGTTTATTCGTGCTCAGGTTTCGTCGCTGTCGCCTAGAAATCCTTTCTGAGCATGGACACACTCTTTGCCTGCAGCCACGCTCTTATCGACTTGAAGAAACTGCAGCTCTGTCGATAAACTCACCGGATATGGCAGAAAGAGCGGTAGGTCCTGCCCCCAGGCGGTGAGACATGTAAACATTTTGCAAGGCGGACGCGTTCGAAATCGAATAAACGATAACAAGTGTTCACTTTCATTCGTCGCTCGCCAACGCTTCTTTATTCCATTCCGTAGAAATTCCTGCACAATTAGAAGACCGTACAAGTACTCCCGCGCTTCTTACCCCAAAAACAGACATTATTCAACCGAAATGACCGTTGAAAGATATATCAACATTAGCCGGAAAAGGCATAAATTTCTAATCATTGAAACACGCGTTGCCTACAGTCCTCGAGGTTCCCAGGCGATGAAATAAGCCGCAAGCCATCGTCGACATCGAGGTTACCCGGGTCCACGGGCGCATCCCCGGACATGTCTATCGAGGAATAGGTCGCCGTTACGGTCGAGGGGCGGAAGGGGGAAGGCGGCCATCTTGCATCGACCAGCGTCTGCGGTAAAGTCCGAAGATTTGAATTCGGTTAGAACGATGAAACATACCCAAAGAGAATACCTTTTGCAAAAAGACGTCGGCGTTTCGAAGACGAGGAAGGCTAAAGAGTCTTTCCCGGGCCCACCTTCGTTCTTCCGATCTCGACGAGGATGAGCGGGGCGACGCAACGCAAGATGGCGGCCGGCGGTCGCCGGGGTCCGAGCGGACTCCGGCGCGCAAGCCCCGCATCGATCGCCGATCGCCATGGTTACGCCTGCCTGTATGCGCGCGCGACCACCCCGTCCGCCCGACGGCAAGTCGGACACGGCTAGGATTCGTCTCGGCCGAGTCGCGACCGGGAGCCGCTACTACGCCGCAGTGGTCGCGAGGATCCGCCCCGAATCCGCGATCGGCGATCGGCGAGCCGCGATTCGCGATCCGCGCCCGAGCAGAGGTTCGCCAGAGGCGTCGCGGCGCGTCCGACGAGGAAGGAGCGTATCGACCTCCGCGGGCGGTCGTCCGCAGCATCCATGCCGGACCCGGGGAGCCCCTGAGCCGCCGCCGCCGTCTCGCGTCGTCTCGGCCGCCCTCGACCCCTCGGCGACCCCTCGGTGACCCCCGGGCGCGCCATGCCGTGAGGGCTGCTCCGTCTCGGGCCTCCGGAAGCTTTTGCGTTTTCCTCCGCTCCACCTCCCGAGGGAGGGAGAGGGAGAGAGAGAGAAAGAGAGAGAGAGAGAGAGAGAGAAGGCGAGTTTCCCGGGCGAGGCGGGGCGCTCGGGATGGCCCTCCCGGACCGGTAGAGCGGCTCGTCGGGCGTCGCGAGCCCTCGCCCTTGGACGGCGTCTTCCGCGCGCGGTCGGCGGCCGGCCCGCCCACATCCGAGGCGCGCGCTCTCGGCGTCGGAGGTGAAATCGATACTTAGGAAGCCCGAGCCCCAGGAAGGAGGACTACTCGGGAAAGGGCGGGCCCCGGGCGCGTTTTTTCTCGGCGCAGCTCCGCGACGGCGGCGGTAAGGAGGCGGACAGCTCCCGGCGTCCCGGCGCGGAAGTTCGATCGGCCGCGACGATAAGGTCGAGGGGCGACCTTTGCCGACGCTCGGGCGTCGCGCCGCCGAGGCCGCCCTCGGGCGCGAACCGCTGACCCGTGCGAGTCCGTTCGGTCGAGTTCGCCGTGGGCGGGACTCGTTAATTTTAACCCTCTCGCCTCCCGGGTCGCCGGAGGAGAGCGCGCCGTGGACCCACCCGAACGGCCGGGAACTCGATCGAACCTCCCCGGGAGGACCGCGCGACGCTCTGACCCCTCTCGAATTGCAGGTAGCGGGGGACTCCCGGCGATCCGCTCGCGGGGGCAGGATGTGACGGAAAGGTCGCGCGGATCTTCTCCGAAGCCCCTGGTTCCCTCCGGGTGAAGGGTCGGTCGGTCGGTCGCGCGTCGGTCGCGCGTCGGGAAGGGTCGGAAGGGGAAGCGAGAGAGAGAAAGAGGGAGAGAGAGAGAGCGAGAGAGATGGGCAACAAGCTGTCCTGCAGCTGCGCGCCCCTTATCAGGCGGGCCTACCGCTACGAGGACTCGCCCTGGCAGCCGGTCAACAGGACCGGCGTCGGCCCCGGAGGAGGCCGCAGGGGGGACACAGGCCACTTGCTCAGGTGCGGAAGCTTAAGAGAGAGGAAGAGGTGCGCATACCATGCCATTCAGTCGTTCAACTTGGGAGCCCCTTTCCCTGGGACCCCGTCGGCCGATTTCCCTCCTCGTCTCGCCGACGACTTTCGTCGGCGGTTTCCGGACGCCCTGGGGTCCCCCGGAAACGGACTCCGAACGAGTCGCGGCGAGTCCTTCTCGATTCTTCTCGCGGATCTTCGAGGGTCCGATCCTCCCCCGCCCGCCCGTCGTTCGCACGTTCGATTGCACCGAGAAGAAAGAGGGGTATACCTGGCCGCCACTACGGGGAAATAGGCGACAAGCCGTTTATTCAGATCTTTACTATGGATGTGACGTACGGATATAGAAGGCGAGGACGCTACTCTGGAAAGATGCGACGGTCTTCCTTTCCGTTGTTGCATGTCGCATCCCTTGCAGGGATTGGCGCCCATTTTACCCCTGTGGTCGCTATCTATCCCACTCTTTTTTTTCTCTACATCCTATGTGGACCCGGAATGCGATGCATCGTAACGAGGAGGGGTTTCAGATTATGGGCCGAGGTCTTTCACGTCAGCTCCAGCGGCACCGGGACCTTTAAGTGGCAGCAGGTGTCCGAGGACCTGGTGCCCGTCAATATCACCTGCGTCCAGGACTCCCCAGAGTACGTCTTCCACATTACGGCTTACAACAGTCAGGTGGATAAGATTCTCGACCTGCGGCTCGTCCAACCAGGTAAACCAACGATGTCTTTCCTAGACCCTACATCATTGGACCATATCTTACCTGGAGCAAATGTTCGTCATCCTGATTCCATTCCAGGCACCAGGATCAGCCAGGCGTCCGAGTGTTTCGTGTATTGGAAGGATACGATGACCAATGACACCTGGGGGCTGAACTTCACGTCCCCCATTGACGCCAAACAGTTCCGAGAGTGCTGCGTAAGTTTTCCGGACCCGGCTCCGGTTTTTTAAGGCGATGCGAAAGCGCTTTCGAGGAGTAAGTCGTTAATGGAAGTTCTCTCAGGACTTGGTGATCGGAATCGGTTAGAAGTGATTGTCCAGCTAAACTCGACGAAAATGTTTGTCCTGCCTAAATTGATGGTCTGTCCGCAGTCTCCTTCGTCCAAGTTCTCGAGGAAGGCGTCATCTTCGTATTCGTTGAAGCTGGAGCCCCCAAATAAGCAGAAAATGAAGACTCGACGAAAGCCCGTCTCGACTCCTGCATCCCCGAGCAGATCCAAAGGACCGCAATGCACCTGCATGACGGCCGAGCAATTTGCAAGGCTCAGAAGTCAAGACCCCAGATACCGAGGTACTCGCTCTAATTCGACATGTATCAACAGTAGTTCCTTCCAAATCGTAGATCTTTCACCATGCGTCTCCACATCTTGCCAAGGAATTATCCCTCCCGTTAAACGAGACGTTTAAATTCGGTTTTGCTTACCGATTCGACTCCACTGGAGGAAAAATCGCCGATAAAATTTGTTTCGTTTATTGTGCTGATTTTTTTTATTTTTTTTATTAAATGCTATTTACCCGGTTGATTTTAAAATTCATCGCGCAGTAATGATACGTAGCTGTTGACACCGTAGGCGCTTCCACCCTGCCAAGAACTATGGCGAGATCGACGGAAATCGAAGTCACACCAGGTCGTGACAAAATTACTGCAGCCACTTCGAGTGCTTCTCTTTACGACAACGTCAACAACGCCAGTTCAACGCCAGGAAAAGCGGCCCGCAGTGGAGACTCGATCAAACAAAAGGACAAGCAGCAACAGCAGCAGCAGCAGCAGCAACAACAACAGCAGCAACAACAGCAGCAGTCTCAACAACAGCAGCAGCAGCAGCAGCAGCAGCAACAGCAGCAAAACGAAACGTGCCAAACTACACCAAAGACTTTCAACGTTGCCATCGGAACGGTCACCGTTGGATCCCAGGTAATTTCTTGACTTTTATCTCCATCAATTCGCTTTAACGAACCACCCTCTAGTAATCTGGGTGATTTCAAAGAGCTCCAAAGGAACCGTTTTGAGATTTCATTAACTTTACGATTACGTTTGACTTAAGATCGAAAGCCCAGAGGACAAGGGGACGACGATCTCGCCAAAGAAGTCGCAGAAGTCGCAGAACCAAGACACGTCCACTCGAGAAAACGGGACGGAGCGCGAATCTCTGAAATCGGAAGGGACTCAAGCAGGAGGAACTCTCCAGGGTAAATCGATGCGCAAGGAGCAACTGCATCACACCAAGTCGGCGGACTATACGGAGCTCGAGATGCAAAACGGCAACATATTCAACATCGTGAACAACAATCACAGTGCCCGGAAGTCGAAGAGCAAGAGCACCGACGACATGAGAATAGAGAATGCGCAGAACGGCGGCATCAGCTTGGACTCGAACACCTTGAAGAGGATGTTGAAGCCCATGACCAGTATAGACAGTCCGGTTACGTCGCCGGAAATGACCAGGAAGAGACACGTGCACCACGGTTACCATTATCACCCCAGTAACAATAATCTGCACAAGTACGTCGGTTCCGAGGCGGAAAACGAAAACTATGCCAACCCTTATCGGAGCGTGTACAACAACAAGTTTCAAGGGTCGAGGATGATGCACGAATCGGGCAGACAGTACACCGGTGCGATTACGGTCATACTTTATCATCTCTGCACTTGGTGTACACGAGGAGACAACGTTACGTCCATTCTTACGCTCCGGGCTTAATGAGATCATCGACGTTCCGCTGACCGCCTTCCAATTCCGGATAATTGAAAATGTCACCTTGTGTACACCAGTGTAATGATACGCATCCGAGGGTCGATTCTTCCGTTTTTACATCGCTCTCCGTATCGATCCGTCACGGTGCTTTCTGGAAGCGATGTGAAACCGCGAAAAACTGGCTCCGGATTTCTTTCACTAGGTTCACCCTGGGTCACGGTTCAATTGAAAAATATGATTTTAGCGCGTAATGCATTCATAGGTGACGTGTCCCCTCCGTCGGACAACGTAATTTTCGACAATCAGTGCTACGCGACGACACCGAGCTCCTCCAATGGGAACTCCGACATGGAGCAACCGAACATGCACTGCGGATCTCGTCGCTGCAACGGAGGGCAGATGTATCAACCACAAAACATGCAGTCGGTCTCTACCCCCGGAAGTCCGACCAGCAGGCTTCTCCTGGAGTACGAGATGCACCTGAGGAACACCCTGGCCAAGGGGATGGACGCCGAGAGCTACAGTCTGCACACCTTCGAGGCGTTGCTCACCCAGAGCATGGAGAATTTAGGTGACACCTCGTTCCTCCCTTGCAATCGTTGAACGACCCTTCGCGAAATGGAACCCTTCGTCGGCGAATCCTCTTTTCACCCTTGACTTCTTACAGAGTTCGCCGAGAACCTCCCGCTGAACGTCCAACGCACGCCGCAAGCTTCTCGAAGGCGTAAGCGCTTTTCATCCCCGAGTCTCCAGAAGACGAGATTACACGGGCACTAAAATAAAAGTCCAGTTAAAAGAACCAGAATTCCTGATATTTTAGCTCGATTAGATAGATACTTACCATTCTTCAAGTTGAAGGTATCAGATATTTCTAGTGAAATATTGTCTAGTTGCGTTAACACTTTTTTCGGTGATAACAACTAATGTTCCAGTCATGTTAATCAAACTTCGTGAGCAATGATATCTAGAAATCAGGCGCATCTGGTAACATTAACCGGCACTTTATTTTGAGGGTGGTGGGGAAGGAATTCCGCTGACTGACGCGAGGAAACGTCGTTTTCCAGGCTCGAGTTCCAACAACAAGTCATCGACGATGCCGCTGTCCTATCGATACTGCACCGAGAGGCAAAACAGCAAAGACCGTGACGGCTATTACAGCGACCGGAACGAAATCGCGCGAGAAAGACGGGAGCGAGACATGGAGCGAGATCGAGGATACCTCAGTGATTACAATTCAAGGTGGGTCCGCGCGTTTTGCGCTCAGTTTCCCTGAAATTCAGAGTTTTCCTGGCTAAACTGCGATTCCTAAAAGATGTGCCAGCTGTATTGGGGAATCGGCCCGGGCCCAGTGGTTCCGGCATTCGGACGGCTGGCAGTCAGGAAGTTCGACTCTCGGTTCCGGAGCCTCCAGCTCCATGAACCCTGGATACGCATCGCACAAAAGGGACTCCCCTTGGGATTCCCTTCCTTCTCTGAGACACGAAGGAAGCCTCAACGACAGCGGGTACAAGTCGAACCGAACGGATTCCTTCGAGCAGCGGTAAGATTCCTGGACCTCGAGAAGGAGGAAAAGCGGAAAATACGTCTGCGATGTGAACCCTTTGCTAATCACTGTTCCAGGGGCACATTCGACAGACAGGACAGCGTCAGGTCGGACTACATGTCGGACAGAGACGGCAGATACGGGATCGTGCAACAGGCGTCTCTCGAGAGCACGGATTCGAGGCTCTGCTATCTTACGTCTTCGGAGGTGAGTCGGTGGACATTTCCTCCCGGCGTCTGACCGTCCAAGGGGCACGTATCGACCGGGATTAAAGATCATCCCTAAGTTACAGTTTCCCTTAAAAAAAAAGAAACCAATGCCTCCAACATACGTGTCCCGCTGGACGGTCCAAATGCCCGTGGTTTTACCCCTCGATCGCTAAAATGTAAACCACTCCCAATATGCAGCTCTCGTGCACGACTCGTACCCGATAACGCGGTCGACGATTCGATTCACGTTACCATTGATAAATGGGTAAGGGCTAAATACGCCGAGTATCCTACTTCGTAGCAGCACCGAAGCTCGTATATAGGTCAATGGAGAGAGGGTGAGAATAGCGGTCCAATTATCTCTTCGCGACAACGACCGAGCTCATTTTTATACCAGAGACAATTGAAACGTCATCGAGGGTGGGGACTCTCGCGAAATGGCATCGGGTGGATGGGGGACATCGAGGCGGATTTCACCGAGGCGCCGTGCACGTGCCGGTCATTCGGGAAGCAGAGGGATGGATCGTTCGGGGAGGTTCGGGCGATTTCGGGGGTGATTTCCGGGGGTCGGCGAGCGCGGCCGAGTCTTGCCGAGTCCGGCCGAGTCGGGTCTCGAAGATGGCCGCGCTCGGCGTGGGCGGGCGAAGTTGGCGTCGGCGCGGGTTATTGATTCCGCGCGACCCCGGCTCGGCTCCGGCTCGGCGACGGCCCTCGGCTTAGTCCGGGAGGAGCGGAGCCGAGGCGCATCTCCGAGCACCCCGGAAGCTGCCCGCAGCTCGACCCCCGACGAGCTCGGGACCGCGACTCGCGCTCGACGGTCCCTGGCGGTCCCTGGCGGTCCCCGAAAACCCCCGAAGACGCCCGACGACCCCCGAGGGCCCTGCTCGGCTCTCGCCATGGCGCGCCGATGACCCAGATGAGACGCGACCACGCCGAAGCTGGGCGAAGCTCTCCGAGTCGAGGACGGGCCCCCGAACGGCCCCCGATCGATCTCGCCCCCCGTTCTCCGTTCTCCCTTCGACTCGTCCTTCCGTGACTATCTCGCGACCCGCTCGAATCCCGGCAGCTGGTGGCCGGTAAGTGGTCCCTCGAATCTCTCGTTTCCAAAGGTAAAGGGCCCCGCGCGTTAAGCAACGGCGTCAGCGCATCGGCCGATCGCGCTGCCGAAGTCGGACGCCATGTTGGATTTTCTGACACTCGATTGGCCGGTACTTCCGGCTGCCGTTGCGCTAACCGTTGGCGCGACGTATGCGCGACGGGATTATTCGCCGCTCGGTGCAGGTTTCGACGAGATTTCTACCCCCGACTTCTGCCCGGGACCATTTTGTGATCTTCGTCTATTGTCGGCGACCTCGACCTCCCAGAGTTCTCTGCGACTGTCGCGGATGATCTCCCCTAAGAATGGGAGAATTAGGTTTATGGATCGTTAGGCGCCCGGAGTAGGTGTTCAATGTGCAGAGGGTGCTGAGAAAATGTCTCGGATATAATGGAACGCGACTAGATTCGCATGGATCGGGACGATGGTTCTCCGGATATGCGACTCGGAGACTGTTCCACGAAGAAACGAAGGTCCCATCTTGAACGCGGGAAAGCCAAAGAAGCCGCCTTAATCGGGAGCTCTCGAGAGCTGAGCACGAGGAACCTTTCTCGAGCGAAGAGGCCATCCCCTTCGAGGCTTGTGGGACTCGGTAGAGCGAACGCTTCGTGATACGAATTGTATATAGTGCACCCGCGTTAATAAATGGCTCGATTTAATTAAGATACTTTAACGGAAGGTCGATATTCCCATTCCCATCGGAAGGCACGAACCGCGACGGTACACACGGTCGTCGCGAAACGCATCCATTAAATGCACCTTGCGCCAGATTACGCACGAAGGACAGTTCGCGAGTGCATCATTCGGGGTTGACGTTAACGACTGGTTCTGGAGAAACGGACAGAAAAACGAAGGGAAAGTAATTGCCGGCATTTTGCCATTAGCGGTATGCGATAGATCCGCACTACGCACCAGAATACCTGGAAAGCGTCTACCAGTTAAAAATTGGTAATTGGAAAGTGGAGGGATCGAAACGAGCGTCGAGGTATTGTCGGGATGTAAATGGAGTTGCGGTTCGAGTGGCGCCTTTTAAAGGGACGTCATTTGGAGAAATTGCTGGTGGGATCCTCTCCAGGAGTAATGAAATCCACGTCTCGTCCGAGAGGGACGGAAGGGCGAAGAGTAAGCGGAAATCAGGGGTGAACCCTGGGGCGTTATTGTCGAGGGCGATCGGGAATTCGTTCGACTTCCGGCTCGATGGAAGGAGAGACTTCCGGTCGGTGATCTCGCGTCCCTTCTCCACGAGGACTGCCGCCAAAGCATGGTAGATCCAATATGGCCACTGTCCCCGGAGTCTAATTTCGCCGAACGGCTCAGACCGAGCACCAGCTACACGGACCTTAGGACTCTGCATCGCAAGCAATGCAAGAAGTACTTCTGCCTCTGCAAACGACACACCATCAGCGTGATCTGCATCAACGAGACGAAAAAGCTCTACTGGTTCAACTGCAAGAGCATTCAGGATAAGGTCAACCCCGGACGCGGAGAGGGCTATTATTACAAGCTCCTCAAGATCATCGATGGAGCTCTTGACACCTGGGCACAGAGATATATCGGCGGCCTGAGCCACGTTAAAAAGGAGATCATGTTCAAGATCAACGGGACCTCCAAGAGGAACATGAAGCTGCTCAAGGAGGGCTGCTATTGTCACTACCATCCGCACGTCACCGCGGACATCTGCAACGCCGACTTTCTGAAGAGGGTCGTAAGTTCCGCTTTTCCAACTCCGAATTTCGCATCAGATGTCTTTCATAAGGCTTTTCAAAAACCACGCGTTCACTTCGAGTCATGATGGAATCCATGGGACCACGTGACGCGACATAACGTCACGTGGCGAAAAGATTCCCTTTGTGATTCCACATAAGGCAACTTAAGTTGTCTTTTCACTTGCTGCATGGCTGCAATTTTGGGTTTGAATATCTGGGATGACTAGTTCGGAATTATTTATCTCTCATCTATGACGACTATCTGTCGATTTTCAACCTATTGGAGCGTTTTGTTGCGGGGAACTTTGCAGCGACGCGGCTAGTGAAAAGGTACCTTTACCCTACGTGACGCTACGTCATGCGTACTGGACGTATGTTCTCCCTGAATGTTTAGTTAGTATCAAAAGCATCGTCGATCAGAGCGGTACGTCCTGCGGTAGTTAAGTGGGAGGAGAGACTGCAGTAGCAATTCGTCTAGGAAGAGAAAAGAAGGCAGAGAAATATGGTACATGACATCGCGATAGAGAATGTGAATTGTTTGGGGAATTTTGTCGGCTTGCCAATGAATACCATGCCGATGGTAATGGTAGCCAGTGAACTTTCGCATGTCGAAGAAAGAGTGCAATTTTAAAATACGATTTTGTAGAAGAGATTGTCGAGAAAACCATTACGACTTTTTCCCAAAGTGCCCGCGAATTGTGTTCATCGGTCAAATGTGTCGCGATCCGACGAAAACGTGACAAGCCATGGCCAGGAATTTATCTGTCCTTCAGAAACCAGGAATTTGTAGGCAGCCACATTTTCAAATCACGACGGATAGCGTCACGACGCGTACAGCTGGTGCAGGTTTACTCAACGTCGATATATAGGAAATAGTACGTTCAAAACTGCCCCACGTCACGACACAAAGCGTCACGTGGACCTTCTCGTAACATTAACCGTATCGATTGACAAAAAGCCGCCGACGCGAATACGAGTTAGGGCTCGTTCTCTCTCTCTCCCTTTCTTTAAATTGCGTCCAAAGGCTTCAGGAGACGTCTGGAAGTGACACTTGGGGAGCAACAACTTGTTACGGTTGTTGAATTTCTAAAGAGTTCCCTTACCATTGACGGTGCAAAGTCTCAGAGACGTATCAAAGGAGACGCCCTGAAGACTCTACGAGGGCTTTAAATTCGGAATCGCGAAAGCGTAACGTTAAAGGGTTCCATCATCAAACCCGTCCTGGATAGGTTCCAACTTTTATTAATCCTTCCTACAAGATTTCTTACGAATTTCGATTGGATCGACTTGACCCATTCCACTAAAAAAAGAAGGTCTCAAGGAAATATCATACATTACGCCGCTCGGGATAAATTAGATTTCGCGTTTTTGTACCTGTATTTCGAAATCCTTTCAGATGTCCGACGACGATCGAATGTCCCTGACGACTGCCGTAAGCGACGACGACGACGGGGAAAGTGCCATCAACTCGCCGTACCGCGGAAAACAGCCAGGAACCGCTGCGGCCTCCTTCAATTGCACCGGTGCAGTGCGCAAAGCAGGGTAAATTAAACTCCGTCTGGTTAATCCCGGCGAAAAACCGAGCAGCTTTAATGATTTACCTAGATTCGAGTCGTTAACGACGTGGACGTTTAGTTTAAAGCGATATGAAAGTGACACTCAGGAGCATCATGAAAGTTTCCGCATAACTGGGGGTACCGAGTCGTCCTACCACGTGGATATAGAATCCCTAAAGAAGGTCCTGACACTAGTGAAATATAATTTTGTATTTAAGAAAAGGAAATAAGAGGACATTTTCATGAAGAAATGTGAAAAATTGGAAATTTCACGGGGGTCAGGACCTACCTTAGAGGGTTCCGCGCCACGTGGTAGAATGTCAAACGATTCGGTACCTTCGGATAAATTAAATTTCAAACGAGCCGCCTTAAGGTGTTGATATCTCCAAATAGAAAGTTTTCGGCAGGAGTGCCTGCGCCGGAGGTTAAATTTCGAGATGGCGAGAGATTTTAATTCCGCTCGAACTTCGAAAAGGCTCGAATGTCGTTTACGTCGCGTGTCATAACGAAACCCGCGTCGCGATGCCGGCGGACGTTCCTGAAAGGCCCGTCTAGAGGTTGAAAAACCGAATTAGAAGCGACTCGGAAAAGGGCCGCCTCGATTGAAGGTGTCTCTCGGCTTTTCAGATTCCTCAGCGTAAAGAAATGGCTGCTGCGCAAGAAGCACCAGATAGAATTGGCCAGGAAACGCGGCTGGAAGGGTTACTGGGTCTGTTTGAAAGGAACTACTCTCCTTTTCTATCCTTGCGACTCCCACGAGAGCAGGGCCGTCGAGACGGCGCCGAAGCATCTGATCATCGTAGACGGCGCCATTATGCAGCCGATCCCCGAGCATCCTAAAAGGGATTACATTTTCTGCTTGAGCACGGCGTTCGGCGATGCTTACCTCTTCCAGGTGGGATGAAACGGACTAGCCGAGATTTTCATACCCTGGCCAGGATGTGCAAATCTCCCGCTCTCTGTACAAAATGAGACCGATACCGTTTTCAGCTGAACTACACTTTCTAACACTTCTATTTCATTAGTATTGTGCAAATAACATGGTACTGTACACGCTATAACCATTCTACTAATCAAACATATAATTTTTATAAAAAATATAATGTTAGATTACAAATGACGGACGCCGCCATGTTGCATTTTTATCACCCTTGCTTTCTGCGACGATAGTAAGGGTGTAACAAATCGAGGGCATAGTAGTCGCACCGTCAACCCAACACTGTTAATTTAGTGGTATTATTCTATAATAGTATGGTTGAGGGTAACCAGCTGAAATTGTTATCAGTTCGACGAAAGTTCGAAGTTGTATTGAGCATGATCTACCGGGGCAGAAACTTTGGAATTAGATTCCCATCTACATTGTTGTAATGTGCCGGGTGTCTATTCTCACCTCTGTCTTGGTTTTCCTTCCGTATTTACCTGGACGTGGTAAAGGCTCCGTGTCAAGTGGAACTGGAGAATTGGGTCAACAGCATTCACTCGGCGTGCGCGGCGGCGTTTGCCCGCCATCGAGGGAAGACCGGAACCCTCCACTTGCTGCAAGAAGAGATCTTCCGGCTGGAGAAGGCCATAGAGTCGGTAAGGTCAACGGGTGATCCGCGCCCTCGAAAGTCGAAGGCACTCTCCTCGACCGGGTGGTTCGTTTCTCAGGACCACAAGCTGAAGCACATGGCGGACCTGCAGCAGTCGGTGGTCTCCGATGTGGAGACCAAGCAACAGATCAACAACCAGATCGTCCAGTGGGAGGAAAACCTGGAGAGGCTGCATTGCGAGCAGTTCCGGCTAAGATGCTACATGGCCAGCTTGCAGAACGGGGAGCTTCCAAATCCAAAGGTGAAGAGAAACGCGACATTGGATGCTCGCCTGGGTATCGTCGCGAACCCTCGTCGAGTAAAGTAGCGAGTAAAGTATATCGACACCCCCTGCAGGGGGTGCCATAGGGTGCGCCGTTCCTCGATCCACCTTTTCCAGCTATTTTTGTAGAATCGTTCCGAGGAAGAAATAACCGTTCGTCCGGGTTTGACGTGCTTCAGAGCCTGCTGACGCACGTGTCGCGAGCGACCAAGCAGACCTTAAACAAGCTCGGGGTCTTCACCGTGTCGTCCTTCCATGCGTTCATCTGCGCCAGAAGTCCATCCTTGCTGAACAACCTCCTCGCCGGACGAGGCGCCACCAAGAGACGACCACCCTTGTTGTCCAGGTCGAATAGCGGGTCCAGCAGGAGGTCCTTGCAGATATCCTCAAGGGACGAGGAAAAGTCCGTCAAGGTCTCGGTGCCCGACAACCAGGTAACGAGACCTCCGTCTTCCGGGTGTCGAGACCTAGAGAGAAGGAGCATCATCGAAACTTCCATTTGCAGCTCGTCTCGGTGTTCCTGAGGGATGGCATGACGGTGGAGGAGTTTCTGGCCAGTGCCTGCAGCAGGAAGGGTCTCAGCCCCATGGAACACTTCGTCCGGGTGAAGAAGCGTCGCGACATGGAGGACCACAACTACTTCGTTCCCCACCGAACGGACTCCATAGAGACCTACGTTAGTAGTAGATTAACGAGCCCCAGGACGTCGACTCGATGTATCGACCTGCCTTTCTCTCCTCAGCTCCACACCCACGAAGTGGTGGAGGTCTGCGCCAAGATCCTTTACCAGGTCGAGCTGCAGCGGAACACCCTGGAGCAGATGTGGGGATTCTCCGTGGAGGCGGAGCTGATCGAGAACGCGGACCGTCAGGATGAGCTCTGTTGCTACGTCAGCAGGGTGGAGGACAAGAGCGTCGCGATGCAGAACGGTACGTTCCCCCGGCCTCGTTAACTCGAGAAGGAGGAATCTCTTTGAGGAAGGAGGAGTGAATGTTTCCGGGAGAGCGAGCTAGAACCGACCGGCAGGGGCATCCGCTCGCAACGCCTCCTTCCGAGGACGGCGACGCGGATCCTCCGTCGAGCCGAGCCAACGCTCCGATGTATCCATCGCGGATCGACTTTTCATAACTTCCGACTCGGTGATCAAGCGGAGCAGCTTCGACGCTCTGCTGTTTCCGTGTGACCGGACGCGGGGTATCTTTACCGCGTGCGTGCCACACGCACCTACGAACATTCCTCCTACATGCGATGAGTCCTTAATCTTGGTCTCGCGTACTCGAGTCTTGGTCTTGCTCGAGGGGATCTTGGTTCGCCACGGTCTGATGATGGACTTGGTTTTGCAAAAAGTGCGAGACCAAGCCTGGAAAACCGAGACCAATTTTACTCATCGCTCCTCGTTTGCTATCGGGCGGCTATTTCCCTCGATTCGCGGCCACTAATCCCGCTAATCATCGATACTCGATGCTTCCAGGGATTATCAAGAGCGACGAGATCATGGTGATCAACGGGGCCATCGTCAGCGACCTGGACATGATGTACCTCGAGAGCGTGCTCCAAGAGGAGCTAGCCTTGTGCATGATGATGCGCTCTTCCAGAACCGAGCCCCCGGATCTCTCCGGCATCATGAGGGTCACCGACGAGATCATCGAGAGTTTGGTTTGTCCACCACCGCCTTCGGATCCACCCGTTATCAGCGAGGAGATGATCTCCGGCCTCATCGTCCCTGCTCCGGGATGGAGTAAGTCGCTGCTTAGAATCTTCCCAGATGCTCACCTTTAAGGTGATGCGGAAGTAGCATTTGAGAGGTGAATCGTTCGTGAAGCTTTTCTGCAAACGACGTACCGAATCGTTTGAAACTTCACCACATAAACGCGAAAGCTCTATGGACGGTCGTGACAGCCATGAAATTTTGTTTTTTATCAAAGATTTAAATAAATGTCTGTAAAGGAATTTAAAAGGACCTTCCTTAGGGTCTCCAAATTCACGTGGTAAGGGTTGAAACGATTCGAAAGACCCAGCTCGAGGAGAAGCTTCATAAACCAGACCTCTCTGACGCCTGTTTCGCGTCACCTTAACGATCGACCATTTCGAGGGATCTTCGCAAAGTACCAGTTCCTATTTCCTAAGACGAATGCGTTTGCGTGAGTCCTTCTGTGACAAACGACGAGAACGAACGTCCTGCTGCATTCTCTTTCCTCGTATCTAAAAATACTACATTTGGGCGCATGTAGGTCTTGCCAAATCGATTAATGTGACCTACTTAGTTATATACCCGCCACGGCTTACGGCAGTAAAATATACTGGCAAGGTTTCAAAGAGATAGAACGAATGCGTCCTTGTAACGTATCATTAAACTAGGAGCCTAGCGAGAATTTAATTATATATATTCCTTTATTGATAACGATTCGAGCTCATGCGAGGAAGTTTTCCCAGGTAAAGGGGGCATGCTTCAAGAGTGCTCCGCCCTCTCGCATTTGGACAATGGGAAGCAAACTTCGAGGACAAATTCCTTCGAGATAGAGAACCTGTTGAAAACTGCCGAGCAGGTCACCGGGATTTGTCGGTCCCCAGGAGAGACCCGGAAGTCCAGCCCGACCGGAAGCGTGGTCAGCTCTCAGTCGCAAACTTTGACCCCGAGTAGGCAGCTGAGCGACGCTGAAAAGCTCAAGAAAGTGATCCTAGAACTAGTGGAAACTGAGCGAACTTACGTCAAGGTAACCCTCCCCATGCTCTTGGAAAATTACGTTCTCTTCTTACATTCGATACGCAGTTAAATTTCATTGTCAAACGGGACTATTGCAGAATTTGAATAACTTGCTGGAGAATTACCTGGAGCCTCTGAAGCGCGAAACCTTCCTGTCGAATGCCGAGATAAACGCGCTCTTTGGGAACATCCAGGAGATCGTCACCTTTCAGCGACAGTTTCTGCAAAATCTGGATCATGCCGTCGAGATGGAAGCGGACTTCAGCAATTTTGACCATCCAAGTCAATTTAAGGTGACGAGCATGACACTTGTAAATTCGTTCGGTGGACCGAGGTCTAATGCAAGTTTTAACGTTGCAGGGTGTCCTCTTTTCCATTGGAAGTGCCTTCTTATACTATGTAAATCACTTCAAGCTATACAGCTCGTTCTGTGCCAGTCACTCGAAGGCTCAGAAAGTTTTACATCCCAGTGAGTGGAAGCTCTTATATTTTTCCTACGTATTTGTTGGGAGACTTCTCTTCAAATATTTTTTTTTTTTACTTAACAACTGATCTTAAAAATGTATATTAATATGCATTCTTCGCGTAGATGAGGGTAATCAAGCCTTGCAAGAATTTTTGTCGGCGAGGAATCCAAGGCAACAACACTCCTCGACCCTCGAGTCGTATTTAATCAAGCCTATTCAAAGAATATTAAAGTATCCGTTGCTGCTGCAACAGCTGAGAAACCTCACGGATGAACAAAGCGAAGAACACCAGCACCTGATCGGTAATGCGCGAACGCGAGCCTGAACATTTCATGTTTCAATGTATAATTCTAAAGTGAATATCTAATCGCTTCGATTTATCAACTTCAGAGGCCCTTAAGGGAATGGAAAAAGTAGCCGAGCACATAAACGAAATGCAACGAATCCACGAAGAGTACGGGGCTATTTTCGACCACTTATTTAGGCAACACCAAAAGTCCTGCAAACAAGTGAGTACCATATCCTTTATTAGAAACTATCTTATTGATTAGGACTTCCGATATGTGTGTGGGAAATATTTAATCGTGAATTTACTGTAACTCTACGTAAGTTTTTGGCATTTCAGCCGATTGATCTAAGTCCCGGAGACTTGCTGTACTACGGTGGAGTCGAGTGGCTGAACATTTCCGATTTTCTTGGGAAAATCAAAAAGGGACTCGAGCTGCACGCCATGTGCTTCGTCTTTAAATCCGCAGTAGTGTTTCTGTGCAAGGAGAGGTTAAGGCAGAAGAAGAAGCTCATGGTGAGGGCGACAAAAGGCCGGACGCCCCAGCGTCCATTTCCTTCCGCAGAGCTTCTCAGAGTTTCTCACTGATTTTTTTCTCTGACTTTCAGGGTGTCTCTACGAAAGCAAACTCCAGCGAGGTAGAAATCATTCGCTACCAAGTCTTAATCCCCGTGACAGAAGTCCAAGTCAGGGCGAGCTCTGCTAAGGACATGGAGTCGCACTTCTTGTGGGAATTGATACACTTGAGGAGTCAATTGCAAAGGCGATCCGAAAAAGTCTACGTTCTGTCCAACAGGTGATATGGATCACTCGTCTACTCGAGATCATTTCCTTCCAGAGCGTCAATCTCATCCCAATCCCAGCCCATGAGTAATTAAATAAACCATCGTACAATCAACGTACTCCTTGATTTCAGCACGACGGAGTTCCGAAACGCCTTCCTGAAGACCATCCGTCAGATAATTCGCGAGTCCGTGAGAAACATGAGCATCCCATCGACGAAACAGAATCTCAATCAGCCCCCCATGTCGATTTCTCCTCGCCTCTCGAGCGGCCATGTGGAGAAGTTTGACAAACACGCGGTACAAAGTCAAGTCCAAAACGGAAACGGCACCGGCCCGAGTTCCGGGACCCTCTCGAAAAGGGCGGCCAAGCAACAGCAGCACCAGCACCAGCACCAGCACCAGCATCAACAGCAACAGCAGCAGCAACAGCAGCGAGAGCAGCAGCAGCAGCAGCAACAGACTTCGGCCAGCACGCACAAGAGAAAGTACAGTCATTCGAAGCAAGATCGCGACCAGGATGGCGCGGAGGCGAAGGACGCGGAGGAACCGGCCGTCATCTGCCAACAAACGGCTTTTCGGTCAAGAAGCAAAACCATTAGCGACACCTCAGGTTCGTCCAAGATCTAAAAGCCTAAGGGTCAGCAAAACGGCGGACCGCGAGGCAGAGGTTCTCGTAGACGCGAGGGATAAGGTGACGTACTTGGTCGCGTAGCTCGAAATAGCGAAGTTTTCCGTCTAACGAACGTGTCGGTGTCCTGGCTCGGATATCAGCCTCGACGAAACGTATGACGCGGTCTCACCGAGTCCGTTTCTAGGTGAGGTAAAGATCGATGTGGACTCCGGCGCTAAGTCCGAGGGCGAGGAAGACTCGCAGGCTTTTTTAGGTGAGAAAAAAGCCAACTTGGGCCGCACGCCGAATCACCTGACATTGAGCACGACCTCGACCATTTCGGCTGGGAGCACCGGAAGTCAAGCCAGACTGATCCAATCCTCGCACCAGCCCGAGAATTACCAGCCCATCGTGATCAAAGACCTCGGTAAAGGAAGAATATCTCTCTTTTTTATCGCCATATCGCTTGGATCGAGCCAACCTCGACGTTAATTACTCCTTACTTCTTTCTGCCATCAGGTTCGCCCGTCTGGAAGCCGCGGGAGTTGCCATCGCTGGGAGAGGCGACGACTTTGCCGCGAAAGGGGAAATCGGCGGGCGAATTTGCGGAGATGAGCTCGGCACATAGCGCCTCGCGGAAATCTCTCGTAGAAATCAATAATTGTGCTCAACAATCTAACGTTAATAATCACGTTTAATTCGGCCCCGTTGGGCGAGGTGAAGCCTCGCCCCGGGAAGATTCTTTCAAACCGCGGAAAGGATGGACCCGATGGCCAAACGATACATTTTCCTCGGGATTTCCTACCCGATGTACGATGCGTTTCAAAGTTACCTCCTTATTATTTGCCAATGAATCGACCACTAGAATGTGGGACGGCATGATCACCCTTCGCGGTCGATTCGAATTGAAAGAAATCTCGTACGATATCAAGGAGAGCCATTTGATCCCATTGCCTGTAACAACCCCTTCGCGATCCTCCCTTCTTGCATACTAATTGCGAGGGTCCTTACCCTCTTGAAATTCCATAATTCTTCTTTGAAAGGACGATTAACCAAGCGATAACGTTATAGGATCGAGCCTCCGTAATCGCTGCATATTGCATTTCCATAACATGTGTGTTCGATCGAGGAGAGGATTCATAGGAACGTTAAATGGCGTCCTTAAGTGTCATTACCGACCTCGATTGCCGTTTCCGGGTTATCGGCACGCTCTGGAAGAGCGATAACGAGTCCATTTAATCTAGCCGAGCGCCGATCGTAATCGCGCCCTATTAATCGACCTCCCTTATCGGCATTACTTATCCTCGGGATAAATGCATCGCGACATTCGGTCCCTCCTCTCTGCCGTTCCTAGCATTATTATGAGATACTATGTAACACACTTAACGTTAGTACTCTTTGCTGTCCGGGCTGCGTACGAATCGTGGCAATATACCTATGTCCGTTCTTCGAATTCAGTCAAGTTGATTTCCAGTTGTCTTCCACTTATATCGAGTGTCACGCCGAGAAGAGCCCAAGAAAGGGGACGAAAACGGGGCAGCGGATCTTAGCGAGCGCGAAATTCGAATTTCGAGGTCTCAGCTTATCAATCCGCTATCTCATTACCTCTATACTTTACAAGCGACCGCTCGAGCGCGTTTGCATCCTCGACAATTGGTCCCGTTTCGTTGTACTCGATTTCTTAGCAAGACTCATGATTTGCAATCCGACGCGCTTCGTACTTTACCTCGAGGTGGATTCGAGTTTTCGTTTGATTTATCTGTGATATCGGCAAGGTATTCCGTTAAGTTAGGGGATAACTTTAATTCGAGTTAGAAGGGCACGATGTTAGACTGGGTTCGTTCGACTCGATGGAAAGGGATCGGCCGAGAATACGAAGGAACACAGGGATTCGGCTCCCGGAGCTCGTCTTGGTCTTCCTCGTGACCTTGAAATTAGAACTCTTCCTCCGACAGTTCCGGACAGCATCCGAGATGGTCGACTCTGTATATAATGTAATAACGATAACTATTAACGGCGCCGATCTCGATGGCGATCCGGATAGAGTTATGGGTATCGCTATCGAGGCGGCGTTTCCGACCGACTAAGGTCGACTTAAGCTCGTTTACGCGCACGAATCCGCCGGAATTTTTTTCACTCTTTTCCCACGCATCACTTGTCTCGTTGCGTAAGCGTAAACGCTCCTCTGGTCGCGTGCATCGGTTTAACGATTTATCAAAGAGGGATTTTCCCGACACAGCCTGCCGTTCCGTGTACGGGACTTCAAGTACCCAGAAATATTGAGCAACTTCTCGGAAAGTGTAATATTAATTGAACAATAGGAACGAGTTATCTAATGCAGAGAGGTTTACGCTTAACGGCGGAAAGTCCTTCGCAAGGACTTATCAGCGGTCATACGGAGATTAAAGATTTAACGAGTACGCCTCTCGCGGAGGAGGCTCTTACGTTGGAGGAAATATCGGAGAAAGGGTGGAAAAAGGTGAAAAAGATGGGGCGACCAATGTGCGATAACGACGTTAGGCTTAAACGTTAGGTCGGCGAACCGGGCGAGCTTAACGCGACGTCATACGAGCGCCTGACTTGCGCAGGAAATAACACTCGAATTGATATATGAAACTAAGGATATCTGGAAACTATGTAACCTTGTTAATTGATATATTGCGATAAGAAGTAACGATGTCGGAGATTATTTCGTGTAAATTAGAAGGCAGAAAGTATCGATATACCTTAACTATAGGAGCATCTCTGCGTAAGATTAAGATACACATAGATAACACGATGTTAATTAGTTTGCAGCACGTGGCATCCTTCGAGTGACTTAAAGTCGGTACGCTCGTATTGAACGATTAAACGACCGAGAGCAGACTCATCTCGGCGGAAGGGTTGGAAACTTCCCTTAGCGCGTTCGCTTATTCGCTTCTTTACCTAAGTCCTTCGCTATCGATGGCAATTCTTAACCTGGGTTTAACGAAATCTCCCTTCTCGACCAAGAGTTAAGTTAAAGTGGGCTCGTGAGTGATCGGTGATCGATCGCGATGCCAATAACCACGTCGATAGTTGATTCGATCGTCCTTACAACCCTCGTATGGGCAACCTTAAATTCGATCTTAATCGTAAGAGATGTCAGAATCAATTTCGACAGAAGTTTCCGACGGAAAGTATTGTAACATCTTCCTTTGACATCGATACAATGCCAATAACCACGTCGATAGTCCTTACAACCCTCGTATGAGCAACGTTAAATTCGATCTTAACCGTAAGAGATGTCAGAATCATTTTCGACAGAAGTTTCCGGCGGAAAGTATTGTAACATCTTCCTTTGACATCGATACAATGGAACTTTTGGTAGAGATTGCGAACCATGGGATGATTAAAGGCCAAGACTAGGCACGGACATCCGAGGGAGTTCGAAAATTCCTTGTCAAAATCCGCCGAAACGCGTATTCCCTAATTTCACGCTGGAAGGATGTTCATCCTTGATGAATGATCGACTGGACGTATTCCCCGGTTTCATTAGTCTTCCACGAGTATTGGCATTTTCGTCGATTTTGACAATATCTTTTTGAACGCGCTTTTTCTCCTCTCGTCGAGTTCTGTCGGGGCACGAGACCGTGCTAGCGTAAACTCTTAAAATACTCTCCATAATTATGTATGAAAGTAATGACCTGCAAGGTGGAAACGCGCAATGGCTTCGGCTCGAAAGAAAGCTACGATGCGACCGGTCTCTGCTCAATATATTTATAAAGTAATCGTCTAGAATACTCGTGTATCTCGGTGGGGAAATGTTAGAGACAGGGAACGCTACCGAAAGATTCGAAATACGTAACATTGACGCCTTGCCTTTCCATTCGGCGACATGGCAAGCCATTAAATACATACACGGAGAGAAGCTAAATCGCCGCTCGACAGAACTTGCCTCGAGGAACCACAAAGACTCCTTTTAAATCGCTCTAACAAGGAAGGTATCCCAGATCAACCTCTCCGATTTCATTTCTTTTACAATATGTCATAGTAGACTAAAAACTAATCGACACGTATTTTTTTTTATCCGCCATTAAACACTTTAAGGGGGTGAAACCACCATCCAAAGTAAGGCATGTTTCACCTACAAGAACATAATATTTTTCACCCAACCCACCTGGAAAAGCTTTATCATATCGAGAAATGAGAAATATAATTTTCTGAATTAAAAAAGAAAAATAATTAAGAGGTGAGCCACCCCTCACAGGCCTCACCTTGGATGACGGTTCCACCCCCTTAAAGTGTCCAATGGCAGATAAAAAAAAAAATACGTGTCGCTTAGTTTTTAGTCTACTATAACATATTATAAAAGAAATGAATTCGGAGATATCGACCTGGGATACCTTCCTTGTAAGGTGAATCTAGATTAAGATGACGAGAAACTCCAAGTATCTGCCCCGTAAAAGAAACCCTCCCTTGCGTTCTTGCGTCCCCGTATCCGAAGGTTCTCCATAATTTGCCCCCGGTTTCCTGGAGAACCGTCCATTAACGAGTCTCGGATCCCTTCAGGGGTTAGTGCTTAAGTTTCGAAGTCACCTTAACTAAACCTTATCTATGCAGAAAGACCTCAAAGGACAGTCCCGAGGGCGAGAGACGTCGGCTCGACATCGGTTTAAAAGCGTGCGGAAGGACCCTATGCCAAGTTAAATAATCCATAAGAGTAAGATAGAGGCATCAGTGGGAAGATTTCTCGTCGCTCGAGTAATCCTGCTATCTAATCTATTAAAAATCGTGCCGCATTAATTCTCGCGGAGAGCGCGTTCGACCGAGAGAGCTAAGGAGCGAGAGACTCGCGTTAACGCGTGCCAAAACTCTTTTCCTGTATTTAATATCCTGATTTGCATCTGCCAAGATGCTAACCGGCCGATGGTGCCGGTCGTCCCAGTCGCAAGGCTCGCTCGAAAGATATTAGGTTGTCCCATAAGTTGCTTCCCTTTTTTTCATAGGACATGAATACACGATGCGGAAGGAACTTATGGGACAACCTAATAGATATCCACTCGAGGTCCGCCGATTATTTCCAGGCCCTGTGGAAAGTCACGTGGACAGTTTGTGCGTATCTTTGAAACATAAGATAGTGGGACGGCTAGAGAGAAAAAAAGAATAGGAAAAAAACGGCGTCCCAGGGCGTAAGACCTTCGAAGGGTTACTTACTAGGAGAGGGGACTCGCCTTCGTAGGCCCTTCTCGAGGAGAACTCGCATTACGGAATTAACCGGGATTGACCGGAATCGCAAGACTTCGGATAGCCGTCGACTTAAAGTCGGCTCTACTCTTATCAATTGCCGCTTTCGTTTACTGTCTAAGATCGTTCCGCGATCGGTGGAATGGGATTTCCCTGAGGAACGGGCAAATGCCTGAGCTCTCTCGCTGGAAAGCCTTCGAATGGTTGGGCCTAGTATCCGATTTCACGTATTCGCCCGTGCTGTAACAGATTATTGAATTATCAGATATTATTGAGATTCTTCCAGAAATTTTATTGACATAAGAAATTTATCGCTATCGTTGAGAATATATCGAGGACCGAGTTTCGGGTGGTGGGGCTAAAGGGTTTTCCGGAGGCCGAGACGGAATACGAACCGCACGGTGCGCCGGATAAGAGGAGACATTACGTCGGACTTAATCGTGTGATCGACTGATAAAAGAGAGAGAGAGAGTGTGTGTGTGTGCGTATGCGTGCGTCGGAGCGAAGGGGTGAAGCTGAAGATATTTCCCGGCGAAAGGGGAGAGGGGCGTATCTTTTCGAAATTCTTCCTTCGTCAGCGCGTATTATTAATTACAAGGGTTCGGCGACGATACGGATATTATTACAAGTCTTACTGTAACGAAACAATTATTATATGGATTTTATTGTTGTTCTTCGGTTACTTGCAAATGTTTACGAAGAATCCATTTGTACAATCAATGCGTCATTAAAATATGATTATTCCTTACGGAAATGGCCAGTGTTCGATGGGATCGTCACCGGGAAGACCTCGAGGACTCTTTCGCGTCGCGCATTGTCGCGACAACTCGAACGAGCTGACGAGTTACCTCCGTAACAATGAACTACTTCCTCGGCGTGTGTTTCTTATTTCTTCCTTTTTCTTTCTTATCCTCTTCAATTGTTCGCCAGTTGTAGTCTCGCGTGCAGGAAACGAGAAGTACCGGGATGCTAGAGACGTTTCGTCTAATGGAACTAGGACCTTGTGACGAAGGACTTTCGTGAACTCGTTCGCACCACCTGGTTGGCGAAAAATACCGTATCCTCTAAGGGACGGTAAATTGCGCTTCCATGTTGTCCTGCACTCAATTGTACGCTTCCCTCCACGTGCAGGGTGGACTCGTTACGTAATCGGACACGGATGCGAACCCGGCAGTCCTCGTCAAATCGGAAATAGTCCGCTCGGCTCACAAATTGTCCGCTTCCAAGGCAGCATTGTCATAGGTGGTCGGCACTTTTCCGCTTGCGTCGCTCGCCGTGGTCGACTCGTCCGCCCAAGGTTGTCGTTCCCCCGAGGCGAAGACACCGTAAATTACGGCACCCACCAGGTATATCGAGCCAGCGATTATGAAGACTATCCTCCACTCGGCTGCGGACTAAGGAAAACGGACATTTAGAGGACCGCCTACGAGGAAAACGCGTGAGCTCCTCGTCTTTAAGCTGATGTGGCGTCGAAGAGGTTTCGTTTATAAAACTTTTCTCCCAACTCGGTTTACCGAATAGTTTGAAACGTTACAACGTGAATAGGGAGACCATAAGGGAAGTCCTGAAACTCATGAAATTCTTTTCAAATTTCTTTATAGGTATTTTAAAAATAGTTTATAAAAAGAGAAATTTCGCGAGTTTCGGAACCTACCTTAGGGTCTCTATATTCACGTTTTAAAGTATGAAAGGATTTGAGACACCCAGTTCGTAAAAAAGTTTTACGAACGATTGAGCTTTCGGATGCCACTTTCACATCCCCTTAAATCCCTTTCTCCGTTTTACCTTGTTTTGCACAATGTATCCAGTTATGATAGGACTGACGATTCCTGGGAGAGTGGCCACCGTATTACCTATCCCCATGAGAACGCTCGCGTGGCGCGGTGCAATATCCAGGTGGTTAACGCTGAAATAAAGGAACGTTAAGAAGGACTCCTTTGAGGAAGGAAACGCCGAGGTGGCTTCAATATCCGAGATTCGTGTACCTAAATCCAGACCAGGCGAAACCTCCAAGACCGACAGCTATGACGATGCAGGTGACGGCTCCGGTTGGCGTCATGACCAGTGCAGCACAAATCATGAAAATCGTCTGACAGAGGAAGGCACTGCAATTGAACGCCTTCCGCACCTGAAATATGACCGGGGTCTTATTATTGAATATCATTGGGAAAGCGATGCACGACGGTGGAGCCATCTCTCTCGAGAACGGGACTTGTAAGTACTAAACGGAACAAGGGAGGGATAAAACAAACTTTTACCCTGAACTGCTAAGTATTATATTATATTATTATTGTACGGTAAAAATGTTTAAAATCTCTTCTATACCCGACTTGGTGTCTTGCGGGGAGCCGGTACTTCTTAAAGGACGTACGTACCCGCTGAATGGCGGACTTTATCGGGGTCTAGACTCTAGATGTCCCTAGAGGTTCCCTTCCGGTGGTCTTACGAACCTGAGTTGTCGTCAGGATTTTCTTTGATCTCAGGTAATCCGCCAAATGACCGGAAAACTGGAGCACGATCGCCATTACCAGATACGGCAGGGCCGACAAGAACCCGGTCTTCTCCAGCTTGAAGTGCAGCACGTCTGTAAGCGCGAAACGGATTTTCATATAAACCCATTCGTAACGTTAAGAAAGTTCATCGTGGATGTACGCAATCGCTTACCGTTCATAAACGTGGGCAGTTGAGTAAGCATCGTGTAAAAGCCCCAGTTCTCGCTGAAATGGGCTGCCACGATGGCCCATACTGGCGCCGAAGTCAGCATTTCCTTCCAGGGATGCGAAATGTGCTAAAAAAGCAACATCGAACGTTACAGTTAAGTCGAAACATCGGGAACGGCCCTCCAGGCTGGATATCGATTCAAGGCGAAACTTTTTTACTGACAATGTATATGCATAATTCCTGAAATTACCGAAACTAACCGCCTAACCCGTTACCTCGGTATTATTCAGGCACTCGTATGTACATATTTGCCACGTGCGTTATGAAATCCGCTGCATACCAAAGTAACGCTTGCCCGAAAGGTTCTGTCGACAAAGCGTTAAAACTTCCGCTCATTTTTACGACCCACTATTTATCGTGAAAGGTAACCCTATGTACCTCACCGCGATGGCTTATTACACCGCACTTAGAAATATCTAAGCTCGTTGCCCTAGAGCGTTCAGTGTCCCCCGAAAGTGGAATATCGAGGTTTAATTAATATCCAATTGTCGATACCGATGCCGTGGAACATCGACAAGGAGTATATCGTATATTTATCGTGAAAGGTAACCCTGTGTACGTCACCGCGCTAGCTTATTACACCGCACTTAGAAATATCTAAGCTCGTTGCCCTAGAGCGTTCAGTGTCCCCCGAAAGTGGAATATCGAGGTTTAATTAATATCCAATTGTCGATACCGATGCCGTGGAACATCGACAAGGAGTATATCGTCCTTACTTTCTTCTCCACGTCTCCCAAGGATGCCTTGATGTACTCCAGTTCAAGCTTTGATATGTGCGGATCGTCCTCCGGCTTATCGTAGACCACGACCCACCAAGCGATGAACCAGACGATACCGACGGCTCCGAAGGAGTAAAATACGGACTCCCAGCCGAGATATTCCGCCATGATGCCGGAAATAGGCATGGCGAAGACGGTCCCGACGAAGCTTCCGGAGAACGCCAGGGTCGCTAACTTTGAGCGCTCCAGGGGTGGAGCCCAGTTCGCCCATACGGCGTGGATGCAAGGATACGTTACACCCTGAAACGAGAATGAGGATTCATGTAGGGTGTTTATATAAATGTATTGTCATTTTTTTTTTCAGATATTTACCTCGCATATTCCCTCGACGATGCGCAATGCGACCAGAACGTACACGCCCGCCCTGGCCAGTGGTGGAGTGATGAGAGTCAATAGAGCCGTTGCTGCGATTCCGATTCCAAAAACCCTTTTCCCACCCACACGGGCGCCCAACCAGCCACCTAGCAATTGCGTACTTATGTATCCGTAAAAAAAGGAACTCAAAACCAAACCTTGGATTTTTGAGTCCCAGGGAAATTCTTGTTCCTGATGGATAAGAAAAACACACTACTCCGTCAAGTAATCTTAGCCGTCGTGTCGACGCCGGCGGCATAAAGTGTCAAGTGTAAAGAAAATGTGATGTTTGAAGAGAAGAAAAAAAAAATTTTTTTAATCGAAAATTGGGCCGCAGATTTCTGGCAACGAAAATCTGCGCCTGATCCCGATCATGTTCTGAAGGTTCACGATAATTCCCAATGTCAGTCACGGAATTACCGAGCTGTGTGTCGTTCGCATATTTCTCTAATAGCTAACCAACGATATGTAACTTTTGCCGTCGTTGAGATATAGTCTCTTGATAAGAGGATCGATAAAACATGCAGGTATTCGTATCAGCGACGATTAATCATTGCTCTTCCGTATAAATCTCGCTTGCTTGTACGTACACGTGATAACTTATCCAAGATATGCGATTAAAATTGGTTAGTGTGGCGCGCTCTTCTATCGCGAACCAAATTATTTCTCGCGAAAAGATTATATGGGAAGAAAAGGGAGAAAAATGAAAATAGAACGCATGATCGGCGTCAACGGGAAAAATTATTGTAAAAGAGGCCCACTCACTTTCAATTACAAAAACGATATTAGCCGCAGGCAAATCTTTAAAACGCTAAGGCAAGCGGCGAGACTTCTAAGCGTCCGTATAAAGCTAAAACGCAACTTGGCGTAAGTTGTGATTTTTTTTTTTTCTCCTTTTCTTTTTAAACAGAGACTTACGTAATAGATCTCTCCATTTTCGTCGACTCTAGAGTTGTTCGCCGTCATAGCGACAATGGCCACGCTCAAGTTAACTCGCAATATATAAGAGTTAAAGAAGCCGAAAAAAGCGAGGATGCCCACGACGTATCTTCTCTTCTTCCAGAACTTCCAAGAAGGAGACTCCTCGAGTTCGTACTCCATCCTGGAGGGAAATATATCCACATGAGGCAATTGAAATAAATCTCAGAAAGAGTTGCACCGGTTTCAATTTCCATTCGATTCAAGTTTGCCCAAATCATTGAAACATCGATCCAGGCCAAGCACTCGGTACACGCGATAACCATATTTAGTGCACAAATGCACAACACTTACGCTCCATAATCGGTCTCGGTTTTTGTATCCTTGGAAGGTCTCTTTCTTTCCATCTCAGCCTAAAAGAAAACGTCCACTTGTAGGTATATCCTTGAAATACTTGGAGTAACAACCGCATTGTTCTCACTTATAGCGTCTACGGGAGAAACCCAAATCGGCCGATCATAAGCAAGGAAATTTCCAAATAGTTGTAATAAAATCGCTGTACCGGTAAATTGTACACTTGCACGGTTACAATTTAAACACACATGTACAATTTACTAGTATAGCGATTTCATTATAACTATTTGGAAGAAATCGCTATACCAGTGAAGTGTACATTTCAACCGTCTCGATATTAATGATATCAACTCCCCCAGGAATCCCCGGAGAGTAGGATAAGATAGTGAAATTACGATAATACCGACTAACTAATGGGAGTAAACCGACCTAGGCGGGCTAGATTTCGATCTTTTGAGGATTTACGATCTTATTCGATTCCGCCGATTTTTCGGCGCCCCGGAAAGAACGAATCAGCGCCGGGACTCGAGAGCACTCGCGCAATTCATTTGCTAGTTACGCGGTCGCTCGATAACTAGTACATAATGGTCACGTACGAGCACTGGCATACAACCTACAAGTTACCGGTGACTAACTAACGTACCGAGATCAGATCGCGTCGACTCGGTCCGCGATCGCGAACGGACTTCCTTCCCACTCCCGCGACCCTCGGGGTACATTTCAGAAAATTAGTTAAAATTAGCCAATTCCAAATTTTACCTCTTTTACCTATACGGACCCAAGTAAAGCCTCTATTACCTCCACCTCACCCTTTAAACCCTCCACCGGAAAGGTCGTACAAGTGTCCTACTTAATACAAATTAAGTCCTACTTTAAACCCACAACTAAATGATATGGAAATACCCGCCACTTTTAAGGCTGTAACGATGCAGGGAGTGGCGCTTGTGCACGTCGAGGCCTCGAGGCTGAATTATTTAAATAATTAACTTGCGCTGACTGGGAATTTTTCAGAAATTTAATGCGTTATCCCGAAATTTGGAATCGAACCCAGGACTCGAGATAATCGGAAGGTGTCTTTCGAGTATTGTTATAAAAATCGCCGCAAGATGCAAAGTAGGACATCGGTTACACCGCTTCGGACGTTACCTTTCTTTACGTTATCTCAGATCCCATTTAAGGCCCCTTAATAAATTACTATAATTTACTAATGGGCAAAATGACTATTTAAAAAATGTTATCGGGCTTTTAGGCAGGATACAAATTTCTACTCGGGGTACATACCGATTCCCTCGTATTCTGGGCGACGACGAGTGAAATTGGGGGTACTCGGTGAACGCGTCGCGGTCCGTTAGCTTCCTACTATCGGAGTAGGTTGCAACGCCGGCCAACGAGTCGGATCGAGAGCGCGAGAAAAGGTGTCGAGCTCGAATTCGCGTTTCCCGAGAGGTTGGAAGGTCCGGATACCTTCGGACCGGTCGGCTTCGATCCGTCCCGATCACTGGCCCGACGATTCGCCCGTCGACCGACGAGGTCGGGCAAGTGAAAGCAACTCGCTCGCGCACTCTCTCGCTCTCTATCTCTGCCCACCGGAAAACATTCCAACGAGACCGCGCTGCTAATATTTCCTAAATATTATGGGAATATTATGGTAACACTATGGAGACGCTTCCGTTGCGTAGGGCACGTGTAAAACGAGAGGAAACACGAGTCAACTTCGACCTGGCGACACTTAACACGTTACGGGTAAAATTGTGCATTAATTACCACTATTAATCCGTATCGCAATCCATTGCTGGGCGTCCTCCTTTTTGGGCATCTTACTTTCAGGTCTCTCATGGTCAGACAGGTTTTTTATTCGTTCACGTCGATCATAGTTCACGGATGCACGGCTTTTAATTAGTGATGCGATGAATCGGATACTTTAATCAACTCGAGTTATTGGAATTTGGAAACATTGCCATTTCGAGTTCAAACTCGAATTGACAATTAAAAGAAGAAGAGGCGCGTTCTCGTTCGGCGAGGGGAGTCGAGTCTATGGCGGGTTCACGGGTAAAATAAATAAATACCACTCGAATGAACTCGATATTAAGTGAGTACAGGTTCTTTTCTTCATTTCGCTATTCGAAAATGACGCGACCTCGCGTTGTACACGTTCACGAGTCTGTCGGTAGTGCCGTTCCACTTTTCCGTAGAATGAGTGAGTTCTTAAATAGTAGAGTAGGTAGTCTGAATCGTGGATAGGCTTCACGGTGAGGCCGCAAGATGGCATATTTCACGGATAGAAATGAAATATAGGTTTTAGTTCGGCCATTTTCACTATAATGGCGGTAACGCTAATGTCTACTTTTCTTCTACCTTTTGAATCGCAACGGTGGCAATACTGAATTTTCTGTTTACATGCTTGTCGTGTAACTTCCCGAAGTGATGGAAAACCAGGAAGCAGAGGAAAGTGTTGAATATCCTTTCGCGACGGTGGAGAAGCAATGCGCTCGTGCATTACTCCGAGAACGCTTTTTAAGAGTAATTACTGGAATTGTTGGTAAAAGATAGTTTAAATTACATTTAATCTTTGAGCCGTATGCTTCATTACTTGTGAAATGAGTTGTCAAATAGAACATCAAATAAAAGTCAAGAGTAAAGGTGTTTCTGTGAGAAAAAGAAAGAGTATATCTGCAATTTGAATAATTATGACTTCGTGAATCATTGCTATTCTTTTGCTGAGAAATTATTACCATCGCTTATTCTTGCACTTAAAACTTAAACGCTTTACCAAGCGCATATAAAGTCCTGGTAAAAATGATGATTACACTTGTTCTACCCACTTGTCATTAGTGAGAAAATGTTATTTCAGGAAAACCAGTTGAATTTCACATGCTGGAAAACTCAAATGTAAAGGCGGAATTTCGAGGATGTGACGTCGATAACCTGGAGGTTTTTGTACGAGGATTAGCTACTCCACTAGGCAAAGTACCTGAGGCAGTTTTAAGAACGAGCGATATCATCTACTTTGATGTCAATGGAATTTCTCCATCGTGATAGTTATCCCACTAGATATTCTTTACAACTTTAAAAGCAAAACTATTGTAATATTGATAATAAATCCAACTACCATGTAATTCTCAAGAGCTATATTTACCTATAATATATTTATCTAATTTCATAAATTATCTTTAATGTTAAGTTATGTACACTTCATTACCTAAGATCGGCGCATATTCAACATTGTATTGATTTCTGAAATTATACGTCTGAGGTGATCGATTATCTCCTTCAGATGTCGATTTTTCAATACCACTTGCTAAAAAAAGAAATGAATAAGATATACACTTGATGCAACAATTTACTATAAAATTATATATGAAATAAAAGCATGACTAATACCTCCATTATTTCTTTGCTTTCTTCACATGCAAGTCGATAAGTTTCCGATGTCTTCTTTTCATCAGATTTCATGTCCCATTCTTCCTTTAGAGGTATTAAACTTTCTATGTGGGTGTACTCCATTCCTTGCAGTTGGCAGTTTTCGTTACACTTTTCATAAATCAGTCTTAATCGTTTAAATAATAATTTAAGCGTCCTCAATTGTTCTTGGAATTTCACTTTCTTTTCGTTTGTCGTACTCACTCCTTGAGCCGTACCTAAAGCAATTAGATAATCTTAGTACCTCTGCACAGCAATAATCTGCACATGATACTTTCAATTAAAATGTTCTCTAACATTATTTATGATAAAACTTTCTATAGCATTTTATCAGGTCTTTTAACTTCAGGAGTCAATAAAATTAAATCAATATATGAAAAGTAAAATCAATTAACCATTTGGTGGTTGAAGAACTTTCAATGTTTGAAAGACTTCCAATGTTCGGCTGACAATATCTTGAACAGTTTCCTGTCCAAATCTACATAAACTGGCAGTGTTGAAGTCCTTGTTCTGTGGTTGCTGAGTAGGAGGTTGCGTCGGAGGAACTGGCGTCTGCGAAGTGGTTGCCTGATTACCACCTTGGCTGTTCTGTTGCACAAGAGCAGCTTGCTGCTGCTGCTGCAACTGCATTTGTTGTTGTTGCTGCTGTTGAATCTGTTGCATTTGCTGTTGCATGGCAACGGATTGCTGTTGTTGCTGCTGTTGCGCCAGAACTTGTTGGGCACTGGTCATTCCCATAGTATTCGAGCCAACTCCACCTACGCCTACCCCAACCCCAAACTGAGGGCTTACCATTCCTGAGAAGTTATAATTCTTATTTTATCTAGGTAGAAATTGTTATTACATTTCACCAAGTCATTGATTTTTAGATTCGATGGTATAACAAGTTTGTAAACAGCATCGTCAGGAATACCGACCACCTTGTTGCGGACCCATTAATCCGGAAACCATTTGTCCTCCGCCGAACTGTGTTCGCATAGCAGATTGCTGTGCATTGGAGAAACCAGATGGGAACGGATGCTGTTGGCCAGCCATTCTCGTTATTACTGCTTTCAGCGTGATTTAAATACTCCTGAAAAGAAATGTGCAAGCCCATAAATATCGTAGTACATTTGCAAGCGACATTCTAAACGAATATTCAAGGGATTTTGAGGTTATTAGAGTCCGAATGCACTTATTTCACTGATCGTTATTTTAACCAAAAAATATATACAGGTTACTACCTTTATTTCTTCGTTGTGAAGGCTATCGAAGTAAAAAACACTCCACCTCGTAGATATAAAATCTCTTTTTCCGAAAAGACATAGAGCACGGATCTAACTGTACAGATAACTCGTTCTGCGTATTTCTCACATTGGACATATAAAATCACTGCTCCGTACACTCGTCGTAATTCGTCCTAATCATGTCTTACCGATTCAAAGGTTTACCGAAAAGGTAATAAGTCAGCCACCGTAGATGTTGAAATTGACATCACGCATGATCACGCAGCTCGAGAAAGTATACGCGATTTTGTTTACGTTGCAAAGCGCAACCATTTCTTCGAACATGAACTACGATAGATTTGGGTACACTCACGTTTACGTGATGCAAAAGAAATAAGGTGTGTTTGTTCCCACGGAGTATTTATTTTTGACTCGTTTTGCGCCTTTAACGCCGCCATATTGCAAAATGGCGGCGGTTCGTTCAAAAGTTTCGCGCCGAATAAATTACGTTTTCGAAATAAAAAGATGCCCAGATATTTGGTAAAATCAAATAAAAACGGAAATAGAAGAACCATGGAAGAACGTGTTTTTATTTCATCCTTTTTAAATTTACTTCATATATGGCGCTGCATTTTCACTGCTTGGATAGTAAACATGGCTATGTCTTGAACTGTACCGTCATTGATGCGTCAACTCTCGCTCTTTCCATTTCTTATGACATCCTTATGCAGCGTTTTTCCGTTCATTTTTAATACAATAAAACGGCCAGTATCGATCTCGTCGAAAGCTGTTTTTCATTTCCTTCCTCTTCCTTGATAATAAAGGTTCTCAGGTATAAATTCATCGGCTAATTTAATGACACTTCCAAGAGGACATTCTCGAGTTTCTTTGAGAGCGTCGCTCAAAATAGATACAAAGGACTCGTGCAGTTCGCGTGGCACGATTCGCAATACGTACATACGCACAATGGACGCACATCCGTGGGCTGCTATCGAGGTTCCGAAAGCATCAAACACTGCGACACGGAGCGTGGACCAGGAACGGGTAAAAATCTCGCATTAAATTACAATGCGAAGAGGGAAAATGAAAAATTTAACTAACCGTAGCTTCGAGGGGCTACTTAATCCTGTAAGTACACATCAAGTGACCCTAAAGGTCACCTCGTTCGTCACCTCTGCAGGTCCTTACAAATAGTGCATAGACTATCCTAAGGTAGCGCGGAACCTCGGTACTCTTTTTCCAGAAGGGAAGCGCAAAATGGCGGCGTCTCTTTATCCGAAGCGCAAAATGGCGGCGTCTCTTTATCCCAAGCGCACAATGGCGAACGCGGTTAAACGATTCCGCAAGATTTTCCCTCCATTCCACGGCTCCAATTCGGATTGGAATTTAAAACGGAAGCCCACCCTGAAGTACGTATTTTCGAGACGAGACCAAGGCGCACCTCCCCTTTACCTCAAAGTCTCGTGCGATCATTATTCCTTATCGATCCTTAAGGTGGGACGAAACCAGCGTCCAAAGATTCTCGTTTACGATACTTTTCTCCAAACCGCGGTTACCGAATGATTTCAGATCTTACCACGGGAATACGAGGACTCTAATAAAAGTCCCGCCTCCCGTGAAACTCCATTTTTCAACTTTCCTCGTAAACGTCTTTTAAATTCCTTATAAAAAGAAAAAAATATATAGGAGCAGAACCTTCCTTAGGCCTTCCGTATTGTCTTGGTGAAATTTCAAACGATTCGATACGCGAGGTTCAGAGAAACGTTTCACAAAGGATTGACCTTCCAAAAGTCACTTTCATGTCGCCTTAAGGTGATCTGAAAGTGTGATATACACACACGAAAAAGTCAAAGTAGTTATAAAACTGTTCTCCAAACTGGGCGCACCGAATTATCTAAAACTTTAACACATGATTATGGAGGCTCTAAGGAAGAACGCGTTGCCCGTGAAATTTGATTTTTCGACAAATTTCGTGCACCCAGTTTGAAGAAAAGCTTTATCAATATTTTTGTTATGTATGTATCACACTTTCATATCACCTTAAGATTCACGTCGAGCGTTAAGACCTACCATGAGTCTCGGTCTGCGATTCAAGGGAATTGAATGCGTCATTCTCGACCTTGGTAGGGCACTCAGAGGGGGACCGGATATCGAGGTCGATCGGAATCTTCTCCGGGGCGGATTACGTAGTCCGAGCGCGATGCTCGACGCGACCTCTCCCGGAGGGTGACCCAGTCGGAGGAAAGCGACCGTCCACTCGCCAGACGGTCTCGGTAGGCGCCAGGGGGCTGAGGCTCTGTCTCCTGCGGGAGCCGTACCATACCGACCACCCTCGATCCCCGGAGTTGGTCTCGTCAGGTGCCGAGTCGCGTCCTTGTCGACGACCATCTTCGGTCTCCGTCCTGGAGATTTCTCTGCCGGTGCGTCTGGCCTCCATTTCCCTGGCGACGTCCTTCCGTAAAGGCAGGGCCGTCGAGGAGGCGATTCCTTCCTCGATCGCTCTACTTCGTTTCGAGCCTGGAGTTTCCTTCCCCTCCAGGGTATTCGGGAGCACGCGAGGTCGCCGCCGAACGGTCTCCGAGTAGGTCGCCCTACCCGGAGGAGCGACCTCGCCGTCGAAGGATCGAGTCCTCTCCTCGGCCCCGGGGGAGCCCTCCAAGGACTCCGAGCTTTCGGCGCGTCGACCTGCCCTCTCGTCCTGGATCCCCGCGTTGTCCAGGGTCCTGATCAGCCAGGAGTCCGTCCGGACGTTGCTCCTGCACCCCTGAGCGCAGGGTCTCTTGGGTCTCGGAGAAGGCTTCCTGGCGAGGCCGGATCCAGAGTCCTCCTCCGAGACCTCGTAGCTAGGCAGGTCTTCCTCGGCTGGCTCGACTCCTGGGTCGCTCTTGAACTTTGCCAATGGCTTGGGCTTGGGCTTCGGCTTGGGCTTCATCTTGCACTTCGTCTTAGGGTTGCACTTTGGCTTGCCGCGCTTAGACTTGGTCTTGAAGTTCGAGTTGGAAGGTCTTCGCTGCGACCTGGCGTTGCACTCCTCTCTCGTCGAGGTCCCGTCTTGGGGTCGGTCCTTCACGTTGAGCGCCTCCAGGAGGATCTCGGCGGAGGCGCAGGCGGCCTTCCATGTGACGTCGCCGTGATTCTCTCGAATCAGATGGTCGGACCTTTGGAGGACTCGCCAGGGTCGAGGCTCCGACGAGGAGGACGTTGGGATGAGAAGGTTCGACAGCGGTGCCTCGGTCGACGTCGGCGACCTCGGCGGGGATGACCTGCACGGAGGCGCGAGTGGAGGCGAAGGTGGTGGAGGTGGCGATGATGTCAAGGGCGAGGAAGACGACGAAATGGGGGGTGGGGAGGACGACAACGACGAGGGCTGTCGATCGACCTGGGGATTCGCGACGACCGTGGGTGCTGGAGGCAGCTCGATCGGTTCCTCGTCCAACTCCGCCCTCGTCGTCGGTGGATCTCGTCGAAACCGATCCGAAACCTGATTATGAATCCCCCCTCCTCCTAAATGCGACGAAGACGAGTTTTCATGCCGACGATGGGGTCGATGTTGGTGCCGCTTTTTGGGAACGTTGTAGCTCCCCGGTTTCATGTACACGCGCACATCCTCCGAGGAGTCGTACTCCTCGATCCGACCAGGGGCGGCTCGGGGGTTGGGATCGTTAAGGAAGTTGCAGGCGTTCCACGGGGCGGTCTGGATACTCTGCATGTTCCTCAGGGTGTGCAGCTGCCGGTTGGCGTCGAGGTGCAGCTGCCGACCGAGGTCCAGAGCGCTGCGGGAGAGATCATGCGGAGCTGCAGCGCGCAGAGCCCCTGCGAGCGGACTCGAGTGCCTCATGCTGGCGAACCACGCCGAGAGGTTGGCCGCCATCCCCTCGGGGTCCCTTCCCGTCCCCGAGGTGTTCGGCTCGATCTGGCTCAACAAAGTCATCCTGTTCCTGGGCACGGCGGCCACCCGCAGCGCCTCGGCCGCTTCCGCACTAGCCCCCACCGCGTCGAGACCCTGCACCCCGGAACCATGGTCGACGAACAACGCCTCGACCCGGGTGGTCGCGTTCCTCCTGAACGCAAAAGCCGGCTCCGTCATCCCCGTGGAGTACCCGGTTCCGCTCGTCGAGACGACCCCAAAAACCGACCTCTCGCGGCCCGGGAGTTTGTACGTCGCGGATCGACTCCTCCTCGCGGCGCTCGAGCCTCTACCCTCCATGACTTTGTCCCTCAGGGTGCGGAACTCCTTGGTGAGGGAACATCGACTCGCCCCCGCCTTCCCAGGATCCGGAGCCTTGGCAGGGACCGTCCACTTCCCTCGCGGTTTCCCAGAGGAAGTCGACCCGGCGTCGGTCTCTCGGCGATGACGTCGCTCCGTTGAGCCCCCGAAGAGGTCACTGGTGACGTAGAGGGACACATCCCCGGGGAAGGAAATAGCGCCTGGACCGATGTCGCGCTCCTCGCTCGTATCCGGGGAGGTCGTTCGATTTTTCTCGATCCACAGGAAGCTGCGCACCAGGTTCCCCAGGAGCTCGTGCGTGCTGGCCTCCCAGGCGCGGAAACACCCGGTCAGCTCCGGGTCGTACTTCTCGTTCAGGCTGGGATAGTGCCGCTTGTTGATGTAGTTATCCAAGATCAGCCAGCCATTGCCGATGCGCACAAGGGCGTTCACGAGGTCGTGCACCAGGACGCGGTCCCCGGCGAAGACGGGGAAGCAAGTCGAGGATTTGGTCAGCGCTGTTCTGGTAGCGGATGACAGTCCTGCCAGCCATCCGTGTCGTGGATCTCGCGCGTACTCGGAGGAACTCAGGATGGCCTCTGCTTCGTTGCAACCCCTGTAAATCGTCCCCCGAATCAGCTCCGCGTAGTGGCGTTCCTCTAGGAGGTCCTTGGTCTGCGTCCCGACCGATTTGGTGGCTGATCCGGATGCGTAGTCGGCGCCGTAGTCGGCGAACCAGGAAGTGGTGCTTCTCTCGGATAGGTGGTCCCCGCCACCCCCCAGAGGACTCGTCTCCGGTTCCCGGAGGTCGTTCGAGGAGGCGGTGTTGCAGAGGGCGGAGACCATGCGCTCGGCCTCGATGGTGAAGTCGAAGCTCGTCGACGACTCTCCGGAACGCGGGGGTTCCTCGGGACCGGGTCCAGGACCGAGCACGGGGCCCTTCCCGGGTGGAGGGCTAGACTCCGAGGCCTCGAAGAAGCCGCTCGACGAGGACAAGGGACCGTATCTGGCCGCCCCGGAACGCCACTCTTCCTCGGACTTGATCTAAAGCAAATTTCCGGTTACGGAACAAGGATTTCTTTTGACTTTTTGAGAAACTTCCCGAGTCGAATTCGTTTACCTCGGGTAAACCTTGAGAACGCGCAGAAGAACGATATACCGAGAAAAGGAGTTATGAAATAGGCCCCAGGGTCTAAAAAATATCACGTACAACAAGAGAATCTATGAATAATATTAAGAATCATAAATCCAAAAAAATCGAAAAAATTGGACTTTGCGGTTCTCAGAGAGCTAAAGTAAAATTTTCTCTCGGCAATCCAATCAAATAAACGGTCAATGATCAAAGGTTTTATAAATGATCAAACGATGAAACAAAGTATAAATAATGAAATGAATAAATGATAATTGATGAAATAGTGAATAAACGACCGAGAGGACCTAGAGGTTCAGGTAAAATAAATTCGACTCGAGTTCCAATCGCTCCGACTTAATAATCCCGGAACGATTCGAGACGGCATCGACGCACCTCCTCGACGTCGAGACGCCTCACGGGCGGCACTTCCGTCGTCCTCTGGGTCTCGTTCCCGACTGACCGAAGACTCGTCCGCGCGGTGTTCGCGGGGGGCATCGACACCACTCCGGGAACCTGAGCACCCTGGAAAGCCGCCATCGCGAACGAGCTCGCGGACGGCAGATGGAAGCCAGGGTTCCCGGTGGACGCGGTCGGCGGAACCACCGCGGCGGACACGCCGTAGTAGGGTCCCGGTCGCTGCTGCGGCTGCTGCGGCCCTCCCGCCGCGGAGCTCCGGTCCTGGAGGAAGCAAAAGGTCTGCGGCACTTCCCCGGGAGCGAAGAATCGAGCCTGTGGAATCAGCGTTAAGCTCGAACCTCCGGCAAAGTGTTCTCCGAACGGAGCTCGACACACGGCTTGAGAGGCGACCACTGGAAAATACCATTTTCAACATTTTCCACACTTTTCCGAATTCTTATCAACGCGGTTAATCCTCCATAACTACCATTTTCAAGCGAGAAAACCACTGCCACGTGAAAATTTTTAATATTAACCTCCTGATATGAACCGACTATTTCATTTTTCAATTTACGATCTACATTGGTTTCTTTAATTATAACGTTTATGAATTTTCAATTTTGTTGTAAAGGAGTGACACAGTAATAAGGTACTGCATTCAGTTTAGCCGGGAAAATCAAACGAACTTAAAAATTATTAATTTTCAGGTATGCGATGTCAAAGTCACGTGGCGTTATTGAGGATTAACTCCTATTTTCAAGCGAGAAAACCACGGCCACGTGAAAATTTTTAATATTAACCTCCTGATATGAACCGACTACTTGATTATCAATTTACGATTCTACATTGGTTTCTTTAATTAGAACGTTTATGAATTTTCAATTTTGTTGTAAAGGAGTGACACAGTAATAAGGTACTGCATTCAGTTTAGCCGGATAAATCAAACGAACTTAAAAATTATTAATTTTCAGGTATGCGATGTCAAAGTCACGTGGCGTTATTGAGGATTAATAAGCAAAAGCGTGGAAAGAAGAATTCGTAAGTAAATAAATAGTACGGTATAATAGCAGGTAAAATAAAATAAACTCTGCGTTTAACGTATCGACAGATTCCGTAGGAATTTTCTCGTTCTCGCAGAACGCTAACCTGGAGGTTGCAGAGCTGCAGGACCTGGGGCTCCCGTAGGAGCTCTCTGAGAGCCCGAATAAAGGCAAGTTGAATTCAGACTGGCGCTGCAATGTTGCAAAGTGGCAATGGGGCCGTAAAATACGTGTTGTTGTTGGTGCTGCTGTTGCTGCTGACGATGCTGTCGGTGGCGTTGCTGGTGCAACAGAGGAGAACAAGAAGGAGCGGACAGACCAGGAGTTTGCAGGGACGATCTGGAGGGTCGAGCCGTCGCGGTGGGGTACATGGTCCGATTGGTCGAGGACGACGTCGACTAACGATCACCAGTATCTACAACAGTTGGAACATTCCATTGATTTCTATTTACAGGTCACTCGAGTCATTTTCGCGTTTAAAAAAAAAAAGAAATAAGGTTTGTATCCTCATCATCCCGAGTTAAAAGTAATCCAGATGGAGGGATACATTCTAGAGGCCCGATAAAGGTACCTGGGGGTCGTCGAACCCTGGAATCTTCCGACGACCTCGGACAACATTGAGGTCCATGATCCAAAAACCAACATTCTTGGTAAATTGCAGCGCTTCCGGCACCGTGAACGCGAAAACGAGAAAACCAACGGAAACGAGGAAAGAGCGTCTCTCTCGGCTCGGAGGCGCGAAAGGACGAATGCGCGAACCAAGGATTTCCGATGGGGCGATACGAGACCTCAGGGCACGTCTCGGCTGAGATTACCACCTAATCATCCTGGATGCTCTTCGGCGGGATCCTCGAGAAGTCGCGGCCCGGTCGAACCTAAATCGGTCTCTCCTTAAATAGGCCGTAACTAAACGGAATTATCCTCGGAAAACCTCGGAGAACTGCCAATGGATTCGCACTACCGGTTGAAAGGATCAGAAACAAATGTCCCCGCTGTCCCGTCTGACAACCGAAGGAAAAAAACATGATTTTCAACCCCCGACCTTCTTTTCATGGCGGTCCAATCGGAAACAAGGAGAGCGGGGAGTATGTCATATATCTCCCGTATAAAATACATCTCATGTGCCAGAAATACGTCGGCGGAATATCATTACGGGAGGTTTTATTCTTCCCCTTATATACCTTAAAAGTATAAACATACGTTACACAAGCCGTGACGCCGGAAACGCGCGGTCGATATCAAGTAGAATGACGTGATTCCTTCGGAAAGGCTGATTCACCGTCCGGGTATCCGGCTTAATATTATTATACCGAGTCGACGTAACATTACCCTCGGTGCGACAATTGCGAGATTAAAGAATAATCGGCACTTTGGCTCAGAGATTCAAGAACCATGAGTCAATCTACCGCTCTGAAACCATGAATGCCGTACCGGAATTCCTTTTCACGGATTCCGCTCCATTCCAGACGATAAAACGAATAGATCTACCGCGACGTATATATCGACTGTTCGTCCAGTCTGATTTTAACGCATTATTAATTTTTTTTCTTTCTTCAAAATCTAATCATATCTACAACGGGAGCGCTCTTTTTCCCTGTCTCAACCCCCGACCTTATTTTTACAGAGGTCCAATCGGACACAAGGAGAACCAGGATTACAACATACATATCTGCCGTCTAAAATACATCACATGCGTCAAACATACGCCACCGGAATATCATTACACGTTTTATTATTTCCGTTATATGCCTTAAAAAGTTTAAAGGTACGCTACCAAAGCCGTGACGTCGGAAACGCGTGGTGGTAATCGGGTGGAGTGTCGTGGTCCCATCGAGACGGCTAATTCACCGTCCGAGGGACTTTACCGAGCCGACGTCGCGTCACTGGCGTTGCGACACTTGCTCGAGGATGGATCGATCACCAAAAGCGAGATGATCTCGGCACTTTGGGACAGAAATTCGGAATACAGGTGGATCTATCGATAACGCAACGGAACCAATTCACGCCGTACCGAGATTGGATTTCACGGCGTCACGGGTTCCGTTCCGTGCCGGACGGTAAAACGCACCGTCCTCCCGCGACGGGACGAAAATTCGAGCACCGCGATCGGTAACGCGTTATTATTTTTTTTTTCCAAATCTTATCTTATCTACGACGGGAGCGGTCTTTTTCCCTATCTCGGTGTCCAATGCCCCGGCGAGGATCGACCCCTTCCGAGGTCGACCGCGACGCTGATCGATACGAAGGGCCCTAGAGGCGAACCAGGCCAGAGACGCAACCGAAGAAGCTCCCCAAAAGACATAGAAGAATCAAAGATCCGGAGGCTGCTCCAAATCCAGACCGCACGGCGTCGTTGCAGAAGTCGGTCGTGCAGGAGCAGACTTCCTGACGGCCACCGAAACCACTTCTTTGGTAGCACTTCCCCTTGTAGTTGGACTCGTCCCATCCGCAGCCTCGTATCACTCTGGTATCAGCGGGCACTGAAAGGAACGCCTCGATAAGAACCTCCCTTTTGATACCACCCTCCCACCCACCCTGTCGTCACTCACGTCCATTCACGCTAAACTCGATGACCTGCGTGATCTTCCTGCACATGGTGTACTTGGCGCCCTCCACGTGCTCCGAGCAGTCCTTCTTCAGACTATCCGGTGGCTGCTTTTCCGCGCATCGGCTCTCGTTGTGGCTGTTGCACTCGAAGCACTGCAGAGCCCCCACGACTGTCGGGTACACCAAAACATCGACGTGGATTAGTACTCGGGGACAAATCGACTCCGAGGAGCCTATCGGCCCGAGGTCAAGCTCTGCCCCGAGTCTCGATAAGGCCGTCTCGATAACGAGACGCGGTCGCTCTTTACGTCGATTCCCTCCGATGACGAATCGAGGCGCAAATGCCGAAAGAAGGGGGCGGACGTGCTCTGGCATCGATGACCGGTGTTAACTTTCGATTAGGGTCGACGGATGAACTCTCGGTAAAGAGCGCTTCATCGATCGGCGATGCCGTCGCGACGGCGCAACCCCGTTCGATCGGGCACCCTCTGGAAGACGAGGGTGCGAAAGGTGCGAAGTTGCCACCTTGGCTCGGAACTCACCGCAGCAGTCGAGGAGTAGGTAGACGTTGCAGAGGACGAGGAGCGATCGCGTCCTCATGGTGCCGAGATGATGGGTCTCTGGTGTCCGCACGCGCCTCCGGGAGCTACTGGCCGAGCGACTGCGATAACCGACGACACCGACCGGCCGATCGACGGCCAGACAAACTCCTCGCCACCCCCCGACGCCGCCTCGCTCTGGATAGGCCTCTAACGGGGTCGCGGGTAGAGGGGACCACTCGCTAGCGGAAAGCAACCCAGGGATGCCATCCGAGCCTTCCGTTTCCGTAGCGTTCTTCGAGACGGATTAACGTCGTGGCGAGGGGAACGCCGGTCCAGGATCGTCGGCGGCGACGATCAAGCATCGACGTCGAGAAGGACGACGATCCTGGTCGTCCTGAAACAAGGCTATTAATTAGGCACCCCTTAATTTTATTTTTTTTTTTTTTTTCTTCTTAATTGAAACAATTATATTTTTTATTTCTCGTCATGAGAAAGCTTTTCAAGCTGGATTGGTTGGATTGATTGATGTGTTGCTGCATCTTAAAGACCAAGGATGAAGAAGAAAGCCGGGCTAAAGAAGAAGCTTAGCTCGTACCAAGACGCGGGGCGCTCCGAGGCAATGCTTAACGCGGTTCCGAAGCGCCTTTTGGAAGTCCACAAGGGAGGTTTTTTTAGTGGGTGAAAGTCCCACATATCCCTTTGCGTCTGAACACCAACGCAGGGAACCTTTTGAAGGTTTTTCCTCCCGGAAAGAAAAAAAATAATAAAGTTGGATTGGTTAAAAAGTATTATGTTCTTGTGGTGAAACTGCCAAATCGCCGTTTGACATGCCTTGATGGTGGTTGCACCCCCTTAAAGTGTCTAATGGCAGATAAAAAAAATACCTGTCGCTTAATTTTTAGTCTATCATAATATATTATAAAATATATGAAATCGGAGAGATCGACCTGGGACACCTTCCTTGTTAGAGAGCGGCGATCAGAACTTCGGTCCTCTCCAGTGGATTCGCTTTATCTGAGGCGCACCGATGCCGATTCGGCGAAACTTTGCAAAGTTATCTGAAACGCAGATTGTGCGAACTGTGCCATTGAAACGCGTGTTTACAACGTTTCGTCGGATTGACCTCGGTACGTGTCGGATTCTACTGTACGAGATCATCCTTTCAAGCGGTCGCAAACGATCCTCATATTTCGCAAGAAGGGACCCTTGCACCGTCAATTTTCCCGCGTTTCCCCGAATTTTCCAAGATTTCCCGGCGGAGACGCGCGGCTCGATCGGGGGGGAAAAAATGACAAATTGGCAGACGCGAGGCCGTAGGATAAATAAGGAAGGCCGTAGGTGGTTGCGTGTACGTACTTTACGACGAACCGCGTGTAAAGTGGCCGCCCGGGCTACCGGACCGCTTTGAGTGGATAATGTCTCTTTTCCTGTGACGCGACAATGCCGTGAATCCGCACGTACGCTCGCGCGACCGAGTCGACTTCCCCGTCGATTCCGAGCACGGTTCGAGTCAAGAGACTCGAGTCCCTCCTAATGCCCGACGATTCGCTTAGGGAAAGATACTTCGACGCTTGCTCCGGGTTGTTACGAACGTTAACGCGTCCGTTTAGCGACCACCTCGGGCCCTGACACACTTTTCCACCTTCGGGCTCTATTTGCCTCTTCTGGCCAGCCCGAGCCTCCCAGTCGAAACGATAAAAAGGAAAAAAATTTAAATTTATTTAGAACATTGCTAATATCGAACGTCATCGATGAAAATGGCGAACGATGAAGTTTCATCGATCGTGCCGAGTCGAGCAAAGAAAAGCTCGATATTAGCAATGTTCTAAATAAATTTTTAATTCCTAGGGAATTTATACATTGAAATGTTTACGGATTAACTACTTGTAGACGAGGCTCTTGGGTAATTGAAATATGACTGGAAATTGCCATGCTCACAGTAACGAGGTGTTATAGAGGGTTAAGGGGATGTGAAAGTGGCATCCAAAAGCTCAATCGTTCATAAAACTTTTCTACAGACTGGGTGTCTCAAATCGTTTCATGCTTTAAAACGTGAATATGGAGGCCTTAAGGTAGGTCCTGAAACTCCCGAAATATCAATTTTTATAATCTATTTTTAAAATACCCATAAACAAATTTGAAAAGAATTGAAATTTCAGGAGTTTCAGGACCTCCTTTATAGTCTTCCTTTTCATGCTGTAACGTTTCAAACTATCCGGTAAACCGAGTTGGGAGAAAAGTTTTATAAACAAAACCTCTTGGACGTCACTTTCACATCGCCTTAAATGCGACCAGCGATGGACTAGGGTATAAAGTGAAGTTGAATGTAAGTTTGACAAACAGGACGTGAAGTTTCCAGTTTCTATGCGAATATCGGGCAGGATACATTTTTCATCCAAGTTGTTTCGAGTTTTTCCCACCAAGTCGACTGTGACTACGATCCGAGTTGTAACCTACTCTCGGTCCGAAATCTCGGATGTAAAGCTCGAATGAAAAATCCATCCCGTTCCGGTTTCACAAACTTCGTATCATATCACATCCGACATTCTATTGCGTCCGATATTGCATCAAACTTCACATCTTGGGTCGAGATACAGTATCGAGGACACGAACCCTAAGGGGGCCTCTTTCAAAATCTATTTTCTGTAATATCGATATCGTTTTATACAGACCGAAGGCTATTCAAAGGAATTACGACTCTTCCGAGGAATTCAATGGTACGTACATTGGTAGACATGAATGCCTTCCCATCGTGCATTGCCGTTACCGTGTCTACAGGGAAAGCATTTATGTCCGCCACTGTACAAGCGCGATCCGTTCTCGTCAACGTACTCATCCGAAGTTGTTCTCCATTTCTCGTGTTCCACTTCAAGCCGTAAGCTGACATCGCTTATCATTAATTCGGCATTAATTAACGCAATATATCCATAACCTCGAACGCCTTGGGAGGTGCTTATGATTTTCATTTTGATCCGACTTCAAAGATCTCGTCGAGTCCCTTCTTCGGAAATCCATCGCCATCTTCGTCGGGAGATTTTCAAATACTGGAAACGAGATCGCAAACGTGAAAAATCGCCTCCCATTTCCGTCTCTCGACAAACTTTTGACAAGACAGCGTCAGGAGGAGAAATCTTCTCAGCCTGAAACAAAGAAATTGGAAAGGTTGTAGATCGGTATGTTAAACGTGTTCCGGCGAAAAGAGTAACAGCATAGACGTTTATATTTGTGCATTCAAAGGGCGATAAAGAGTAAACGACTTTAGAGGCCATAACGGTTGAACGCGAATTTCCTGGAGGGAAACGAGACCCTGAAGAGGGCATTGAAACCCGTTGAAGGAAGAGACTAAGTATGCGGCATACCCTGAGGATCTTTGTGGCCATTTTAGCTCTTCACAGGCGTAAGTTCCCCGAAATGTTCCGAGATAAAACCGGGTTTTCCTGGATAAAGTCGATTCACCCTGTTCGTCCGAACTATCTAATATGTCATTCAAAGTTTCGTCAGATCTGTCCGATAAGTGCTGTGCCAATGTGGGTCCACCTTTAGATTTTATCGAATTTGCATCGGCACATGTCGGAGCCAATATACGATATAGTCTGAATCGACCTTTAACCGTATCTCACGAGTTATTTGTGTGATTTCATTCCTGATATCGTGGGTAACGGTGTCGGTAATTTTTCGAATGGCCGCCGACGACTCGGGTGGCGCCATCTGTTCGCCGGCCGCGAGAAGCTTCCAGAGGACTCGAGTGTTACCAGTGCAACAGCAAAGAGAACGAGCGGTGCACGGCCGGTAAAGTAGACCCCTCCTATCTGAGGTCCTGCCCCGAATCGCGGCCGTTCTGTCGCAAGGTCGACTCCAAGTGTAAGTAAACCCCTCGAGACGCCATAATCTTCCGGTGGCGCCGAACGGCCCGAGCGCATATAGGTCGGGGATTCGAGCGACTCGACCCTCCCGTGACTCATATCCGCGAACCTAACGTCGTTCCGTCGAATTGCCGCGATATGGACGGGGCGCCGTCTCGCTCCCTAAACGTCTCTTCCCCTGTCGTAGATTACTTCATGGACTCGCCCGAGCGCTTCGTCAGCAGGGAGTGCTCCCGATCGGTGGACGCCGACGAAGGCTGCTACGTCGGCCGATACACCTACGACAGCTACCAGGAAATTTGCGAGTGCGGTTCTCCGGGATGCAACCGAGCGTCGTCTCCTAGAGGAGGGTCCTTTCCGCTCCTGCAGCTCGCCTTCGCGCGCTTCCTCCTCTTGGACCTCGTCTAGACGTTCTTCTTGAAAATAGTCCTTTTAAAAAGTATTCCGGGCACATGTAACGATAATTACCGGAAGGTCTGCGAGGGCGATTCTCCTGGACGCGATCGAACTTTGTCTGGAGGAGCGACGCCGTTTCCGCCCTCCCTGTGGATCGCTTTCGACTGTCTTTTCCTCTTGAACTTGCTCTAAACCTTACCCTTGGAAATAGTTATTCCCAGGAGCATCTAGATTTGTAGAAACGTAAACGGCCGAGTCGTCCAGTGTTTACTGCCCGCGACTCTTCCGACCACTCGGTGGCAACGTCCGTCGCCGGGCGTGGAGCCACGCTATTTCCCATCTCCGGAGGGGAGGAGCTATTTGGGTCGCGGCAATGTGGCGCCCGGCGCCCCGACGTCTTGCCCGCGGCCGAGCTCGCGGACCCTTTATTTTCGCCTCCGCTCCCTTTGCCCTCCGCGATTCCGCCATTCCTCCGCGGCCGCGTACGTCGTAGCTCCGGAATTGGCTGCCAAAGCCGAGCAATTCCGCGCGTTTAGGCCCGGGTCACTCGTACGCGTTTTTGCACCTGGCAAGGCTGCGTTCGTTGCGGTTCCCGAAATGACTTCTGAATTGGCTCCCAAAACCGAGCAATTGCTCGCGTTTAAAGTAATATGAAAGGGTCATTCTATATATATAAAACGTCAAAGTATTCATAAAACTTTTCTCCAAACCGACGCCTTATTGGACATTTTTCAATTAATTATTACAAACAAACTATAAATCGTAGGGAAAAATTGTATAGAGCTTTCTGACTTCATTTTCAGCATTGTAGCTGATAGCAATTTCAGCGATTTTAAAACAGCGCCGGGTAAACCGTGGTCACCGATTTTGTTCCACCCTGTGTAGTTAGCTATAAATTGCACCCTCGCAAACACGCCGTATGGGGCATTTTTCAATTAATTATTACAAACAAACTACAAATCGTAGGGAAAAATTGTACAGAACTTTTCGACTCCATTTTCAGCATTGTAGCTGATAGCAATTTCAGCGATTTCAAGGCAGCGCCGGGTAAACCGTGATCACCGACTTTGTTCCACCCTGTGTAGATAGCTATACATTGCACCCTCGCAAACACGCCGTATGGGGCATTTTTCAATTAATTATTACAAACAAATTATAAATCGTAGGGAAAAATTGTACAGAGCTTTTCGACTCCATTTTGAGCATTGTAGCTGATAGCAATTTCAGCGATTTCAAGGCAGCGCCGGGTAAACCGTGATCACCGACTTTGTTCCACCCTGTGTAGATAGCTATAAATTGCACCCTCGCAAACACGCCGTATGAACGAGCCCTTGCTCGAACGACGGCCGAAAGAAAGGGGTGGGTCGACTTTTCGAGACATCGAGATCCCGGTCGATCCCAGAAGAGTCGTTCACGAGCGATCGGCTGATCGTTGAGACAGGGTGGCGGGTGGCGGCCACGCGTCTCCGTGGCGTCGAGGGTGGGCGCCGCGGCGCCGGGCGTCCCCCGACCCCCGACCCCCGACGCCGATACACCGAGCCCCACTGACCAACCGTATTCGACTCCGGACGACGAGACGACGAAACCGTATCGATCCCCGAGGACTCGACGCTCGAGAAAGTCGACTCGGTGGTATCCAAAGACCGAATTTCCAACGGGCACCCTTCGCGCATAACGCCATTAGCAATGAGTCCTCTAATATAGGAGTACCATAATTTGCAAAAATTTGCAAAATTTGCAAAATTTGCACAATTTGCAAAATTTGCACATTTTGCAAAATTTGCGCTAATTGCGCAATTTATACAATTTATACAATTTATGAGCTCCGACCTTGATCTTTGAAACCGGGGACGGAAAGACGGAAGATCTCCCACGCATGTCACATATGATCTCAACGCGCTCGACGAGACTCGTGCGACTCGCTAATTTCGCCCTGGATCCCTAACTATGCTAATTAGCAGCCGCGCTAACTACTGAGCTTTGCGACGTGGTCGACATGTACCGAACAATGGCGTTAAAAAAAATACGACGCATATATGACTGTTTTGAAGCCTTGGAGTTCATTTGCACTAGATCCTCCGACTTATCGATCGACGGTGTAATTCCATGATAATGAGAATAATCAAAGTTTAGTATATAGTTTATATGTAGGTAAGGGTTTCTTTTCGAGAAATATTATACGAGAGCGAAGGGAGTTCCGGCACGGAAGTCCGAGTCCATAGGCGACTCTCGCCTGGACGACTTGACAAGATTCGTATCATAAATTCTGCTTTTCCGATGCAGTTTTGAAACAGTATTCACGCCTGTGACAACGTGTAGATGTGTGCGAGGGCGGGGCGGTATCACGTAGAGAGAAAACCTGGAGTTGGAAACACGGAAGCATTTTTTTTTTTTCTGGACAAAAGTTTCGAAAGGGGCGCGTTCCCATCGTACTTCACGTGCGCTTCGACGATCCGACAAAATTTGTATAGACAGCTCGCAATGTCGTCAAATTCTGAATGGTATGCACATCCGTGACATGTACGGATGTGCGAGTACAACGCGGTATCGTGTCGAAGTCGAGCGTGAAATCGGAAACACCGGAATACTATTTTTTTTTTTTTTTTAAGAAATGTACACGTGGCATATTCGAGGAGGAACGCGTTCCCACGAGTTTTGACAGTTCTGCAAAATTTGTATAGAAAGTTCGAAACGTATTGAAATTTTAAATAGCATCCACCCTTATGACGACATGTACGTGTAAATGCAACGCGGTACCGTGTCGAGGGTGAACGTAAAATCGGAAACACGGGAATTCTTTATCATTTTTTATTTTTAAACGCACACGTGGCATATTCGGGGAGGAACGCGTTCCTCGCGTCTTTTTAGGCCTTCCCACGTGCGCTCGACTATTCGGCAAAACTCATATAGGAAACTCTGAAGGTTGTCAAATTCTAAACAGCATCCACCCTTATGACGACATGTACGTGTAAATGCAACGCGGTACCGTGTCGAGGGTGAACGTGAAGTCGGAAAGCCGAGAACTCTCTCTCTCTCTCTCTTTCTCCGTATCTGTCTCTCTTTCCGGAGCCGCGCACGCGTCGGTCGGGGAGGGCCGCGTCCCCCACGCCTTCCGACGCCTTCCCACGCGCCCCACGCGCGCTCGAGCGAATCCACAGGAGGGATCAAAAGAGGTGGAGGAATCGGCGCGCCACGCATGCTTTCCCTCCGGGTATTTACGCGGATCGCGGCGTCCGCGCCGGCGAGACGGGGCGGCATTCTCGAGCTCGCTCGGCTCCGGTAGACACGCATCCTCGGAGACGGTGCGTTCGCCATAGGATTGTCTGGTGCGTTGTCTGGTGTGGCAGCGGGTGGCCAGTCGAGTCCGCCGAAGAAGAGCCAACGGAGATGGGTCCTTTCGGGGCGGTGGGAACGCTCGCGCTTCTCCTTGCCCTCTCGGTCGGTTCAGGTGAAGTTCAAGTTCCTCGACCTCCCCGACGGCGGGAGTCGCCCCGAAGTCGCCGATTCCGGATCCTCCTCGGATCGCGTTAGGCGCAATCGGTCGTCGATTTTTCCGGAAATTTCCCACCAAGAGGGGAGCTCCTTTGAGCCGTCCTCGCGGCGGACCTCCTTTAACGAGGTCGTCTCCGGGAACTCCGGTCCCAACGACGTGCCGGTCGATATTCTTTCCGTAATCCGGCTACGGGAATGGATCCGCCCAAACTTACGATCGGGGATGCGTTTCGGAATCGGCGGAAATTCGACTCGATCTCGACCCTTCGCCTCGAGGGGTGGTCTCTATACGCCGTGTCCATTTCTTCGCAGGGGTCGCTATCAACTGTTACATGTGCAACTCGGTGACGAACGCCGCGTGCGGAAAGGACCTCGATAAGGCCGAGCTGGAGCCGGTCGAGTGCACGGCCGCCAAGATGAACAGCTGGTACGCCAAGACCCAGGACAACCCGATTCTTAAGTCCATCGCCCACCTCTTCGAGGTCGACACCCCGAAGCACTATCAGACCGTCCTGCCCGACATGTCCTGCGCGAAGATGGACCTCACAGGTGCGTCTCGAGATCGCCGATCGAGCATCGATCGAGATCGACGAACCAGAACTCGATCCCCGTCCTCTTTGTTCATCGACCTCGACGACCACGCGAACAAAAAAAAACATTCAGAATTTTGGCAAAGACGAAATTTCATTTTCTCTCATACCGCAGAAATAATCGCAGAGCAAAACTGGAATTTCAAGAAAAAAGGAAAAAAATCAGAAAATGTATATGTAGCGATAGCCAGAAGAAATATTAATGTCACAAGTGGAAAGAATTCCCGGTATACAATTTTTTGACGCTAGCGAAAAATAATGCAATTCTGAATCTTGTTGAAGTAACAATGTTTTTTTTTTTTGTTCTGGATATACCAAGGGCATTTCTAGAATAATATGTAGCTCACCCATTTTCAAGTGTACACGTGAAGCAAGTAAAGCGACTTATGAGGGTGAATTACTATTCCGTGAATAATTTGATTAATGTCGAGGCTTTCCTTCCCGTTTGTTCCAGTCGGTGGCCGGGAGGTGACCATCCGGAGCTGCCAGACCGCGAAGACGGAGTCGATAGACCCGTGCAAGGTGATCTCGTCGAAGCTGTCGGAGAGCGTGGTGGGCGCCGCCGTCGCCTCGGTGGACTACTGCGGCCTCTGCGAGCACGACGGATGCAACGGGGCGCGCGCGCTGTCGGCCCTGCCGCTCCTCCTCTCGGTGCTCGTCTCTGCCCTCCTGGTGGGCTCCCTCGGGACGATCGCCCCCTAGCCGCTCCCGGGCCGCCTCCCGGGGGGAGCCGAGTCACCCCCGGGCATCGCCAGCTCTCCCGGCCACCCGGGGCGGAGGCTAGTCGACCACCACCCGGAGAACCGGCGGATTTCGAGGCACCTGCGGACGCGGTGAATCCGCGACCGCGCTTTGCTCCTTCGCCAGGGTCCGAGGAACTCGCCGAGAAGCGCGTTCTCGGAGGTCTCCTACCAGGCCTCGCATCGCTTTGGTCCTCGTGCTCTCCTCTCCGCCCCCGCCCCCGTATCGTTTCCCGCTCCTTACGTCTAAATGCAGGGCACTCTTCTCCGCGTAGATCTCGTTATCACCCGATAAGATAGTACCGCGCGGTGCACGGAGGTGGGCCGGGTCCGGAAACACCGTCTCAGCCTCGAGATCGTGATCGTCGCGATCGTCGCCATCCTCCACGTGGGCATGCCTCTCCTCCTGCTCTTCGTGGTCCTGGCTTCCCTAGGCGAGATCGGTGAGTAGAGGGGAGAAGCGTTCCCCGATGGTCCTGGGACGCTGATACGCCCCCGCTTGTGTCGACAGACCGCTACGTCGCCGTCGACGCCGGGGAAATCCGATGCTATCGGTGCAACCTCGATCTCGAGGATGGACCCAAGACCGAATGCAACGACCCCTACGCGCCCACCTCCGAGGACCTCCACGCGTGTCCCCAGGTCGGGAGCCACCTGTGCCTCAAGAGCCGCGTCTTCTGTGCGTATATGTTCACCGAGAGAGGTACTCGAAGAGCGTCAGGTAGCGTCAGGTAGCGAGAGGAACCACGTGGAGGTGTCCCGTGGATCGAGGCTCGTTCACCCGGTGCGATTTCAAACGCTCGTTAACATAGCGCCATATATTCTCCTCGCAAATGCGCGGTCTCACGAATAAAACGCGCGTTTTCTCGTAAATGGAACACAGCTAAGCCATTGTATTAACTGACAATGAGATGTAATGTCACCGTGCCATTGCGGGCATTTGAAAAACGCGCCTTGCGAACGGGGCCTCTAGGAGCGAGACGGCACTCCGCGCTTATTTCACTCCTACGAATTTTCTAAAGCGGCACGCTAAAAGAGCCTTCGGCCCGATATTTAGCGAGATTTCTCTCCGGGATGTCTCACGAGGAGCATATCGCGGTTTCTGTAACGTCGCAACCCGCGATCCAGGGTCCGAGATGTCTCGGAAGAAGAGAGATCCTCGTCTCGAAAAGCACCGTTTCAAGGTACAACGGAACCAAGAGAAAGCTCGAACGAATCAACCGTGTATTATTGTAATAAGGATCGACTACGAATAAGTAGTAGCTTTTATAAGCGTTTCTCGCTATTTAGCCATGTGTAGTACCGAATTAGCTGGCATACCGTTCAACTGAAAAGTGCCTAAAGGTGTCCAGAGAGGAAATGTTCATTCGTGCGCTAGCAATTCGTGCAGATAATACAATGCGTTACGCATCGTGTATGTTTGCATTACCTTATTTCCGACGTAGTTTCTCACTAGTAGACTCTCGTCCCGTTTCGTTGGATTCGTGACATTTCGTGTGCTCCTTCTCCACTTGTTCCCGTTGGACTTTCGGCAACTTAAGAGCCGAGCGAGCTGAAAGTTACACCACGATGAAAGTATAGAAAAATCGAAACAAACGCGGTTGCCAGAAAACTAAGACGTACCTTTTTCTTTCCTCGTCTTCGAGCAGACAGGAACGTCCTGACGACCGTGAGGGGATGCGTCCCGGCGTCCAGGGCCGCAAACTACTGCCACTTCCGGGAACGCTTTCCGGAAGCCGAGGTCGAGTGCTTCTTCTGCGGAGGGGACGCCTGCAACGGCTCGCCGGATGCCTCCGTCGTTCCAGCCATTCCTGCGATTTCGATGATTTTTCTGGCGATCCTCTCCTACCGGTAGAAACATCGTAACAATACATATACATACAATAAACTTCTCGGGGGTCGATCGCTCCTACCGGAAGGAAGTAAAGCTAGAATCTCTCCCTCTAAGAGGAAATAAATCACACAAATGAACAAGCTTAAACGTACCTCGTTCGATGAGTGTCCTTCGATTCCTCCTCGGGCCCAATTTTTGAGTTCATACTATCAACATTCGCGTGCGGAATTGACGATTTCATCCAAGACTTCGAAATGGTGACCAATGAACGCGACAGTGTGAGGTTTTTCATGGGAATATATTTCTATGCGAAGGAAATATGAATGAACTCGAAAGTCGGATCCCTGTCGCGATTTTACCACCGCCAGAAGTCGTCAAAACGTCATAATTCGAGGATCGATCTCTCCCTCTAAGAGGAAATAAATCACACAAATGAACAAGCTTAAACGTACCTCGTTCGATGAGTGTCCTTCGATTCCTCCTCGGGCCCAATTTTTGAGTTCATACTATCAACATTCGCGTGCGGAATTGACGATTTCATCCAAAACTTAAATGTTGACCAATGAACGCGACCTCGCGACAATGCGAGGTTTTTCATGGTAATGTATTTCTATGCGAAGAATATCCGAATGAGGTCCCTATCACGATTTTACCACCGCCAGAAGTCCGAGTCTTGCGGAGGAACGAGGTCAAACCCACCGAGTCAATTTGGTTACGTCGCCGGGGTCAAATGCATCCGCGACCTCGCCGCGACTCGGCCGCGACTCGACCGCACCCGTTTCCCCTAACGAGCCGGAGGCCTTACTAAGCGTTGCCCTTACCATCCGAAGAGCCCGACGTCGTGACCGCAGCTCGGACACTCCGGCTACCCAGAAACTCGAGGGCTCCTAGAGTGGCTACCGCCCACCTACGAATTAAGCGAGGATTAAACTTACGTGTCTAATTGTTCGCACTTAAATGCCCGCACGAGGAAGCCGAGCTCCTCAGCGACGTCGCGGACCTCCGTCGAGGGTCCGATTCTTCCGATCCGTCCCCTCCGACATCCTGCCGAGCTCGATCGACAAGGATCATCTGCACGGAAGAGTAATTATGAAAAAAGAGTTTCTTACAAGGAACGATATTTTCTATACAGATTCGGAGGGGTATTTACGATTGGTACATACATGGTACGGTTTGTCCACACGACCACTCTCCAACGATCTAGAATAAAAAGAGTGCAAGATCAAGAGCCAACCGAAGAGAGGACGAAAGTCAAGGAGGGCCTTGCTTACCGTGCGGTTTATAATGACTCTGTTTACAGCTTAATTGGCCATTTCCTTTTTCTCTAGGGCGATGTTTAAGGATGACCGAGAAGTCAACGACGATCGGAGAAACGGGGATCCACTGTAGGTCTGCTATTCCGATTTCTATTTCTCCTGGAAAATTTCCGGCTACACTTAAACAGAAAATGTACTCATTAAGCTCCAATATTTGGTACAGTTTCTTTCTTCTTTTTTTTTTTTTTAATTAAAATTGGTAATAATCCCTGTCTCTTCTCGATAGCGGTGACTCCATTGAATTTATTTTACCATATTCAAGGTGCGTTATTCCCGGAATCTTCCTAACCGCGGCCGTAAGCGGACATAATTACCCGTATGATGCACGACAATGAGTAATCAGTCGAGAAGACTGGAAGGAATGAGATAAAAAATACATCCTCCCCTCATCTATATCAATTTTTTACTCACTCGATCGAGTCTTGGCCGCGCAATTTGTCCGCTGGATCCCATCGCATTACTCACGGAGGCAACGTAATTGCAATCGTAATCACGCGTGTATACTTAAGGATGCGCTCTCGAATCGTCTGGCTTCTACACGCTCTCAAGAGTGGGGTTATGTTCGCCGCCTCCGCCACCTCCGCCGCTGCCGCCGGGCTCGAGCATAACGCTATAATAGTCTATGTCATCGAAAGAAGCTGGGAGAATACGCGCCCGAGCTCACGGAGCTCCACGGACCTCCGAAAAGAAGTTTCTTACGGTTTTGTGCGGAAAAATCTCCAGGACAACCTGAAAAAAACACGCCGAAATGGCGCGAGGGGACGCGGCCTGGACGCTCGCCATTTTGGTTCTCGCAGCCTTAGCCACGAGGGGTAAGCCCATCTACTTTTCTAACGAATTATCATTTCTTCTTCTTCTTTTTATTTTGGTTTTTCGACTCGGGTTAGTTTCCCTTTAATCTGTAACTGCAAAACATACTGTAATGTTATGGCTTACCGACGTGTATACCCGAGGAACGCAGTTAACAGGTTAAGGGGTTGTATGCAGTTGTCATACACGAAGTTGAGGAATTTTCTTTCGTAACTAAAATGGATATATTAAGCCAATACAGAGCGTGATTTCGTGGTACAATTATTGAACTTAATGCATCATGTTTCTTTGTCGGGATGTATTTAAAAATTGCCAAGGTACAGCAATTCTCTGAAAAGGTCTTTTTTCTTCTCGCGGTGACCAGGGTATCTCAAAATGTATTTCACCGATCAGCTTTTTTATTCATTTTTAGGGCTCATTCTACACATGGAGGAATACCGAATGAATGAAGGATTCTTTTTCCTCTTCCATGAAAACTTGCAGTTTTGTTAAGGAAAAACGAAAATGCCATGTCGAAAATATCGAACCTCGCGCCATTTTCTTCTAATCACTACTCAGGCGCATAAAATACACATACAATTTGCACGCAGCATTTTTTCTTCGCCCTGAAACAAATACCTGCACTATTAACGTAAATCTCCATAAATACACATACACAGTTAGATCCCATCAAACAAGACTCCGTAACAATATAATCATTGGAAATTTCTTTCCCGACATTTAATGTATAATATATCGTATTACGTATTGTTGATAATTTTTTAATAATATATTAAGAGAATGCTGGCAAATTTTTAACGATTTTATGGAATGGTAATAATTCGACGTAATATATCGTTTATTTCAATTATACGCCGCTGTGATAACAGACTAAAATTGCATGTCGTAATTGCAAACTGCTGTTGGGTATCGTACCCTTTTCGGGGAGTAGCGTCTATTTCACACCTCTTGTCATAATGTTTAATACCATTTTCGCCCAGTGCGTCGATACATCGCGTCGTCGAGATCTTTAAAACCAATTTGCAAATGAGTTTCCTAGAAGTGCCAACTTCGTTGAATTTTTAACTCCTCCTTTAGACATATAGACATATAGACGCACCTCGCTGCGGTACGTTTTGTATGACCAACTCGTAAATATACTCCGGTGCGATGAGATATCGCGTCTATTTTTAAAAATGACACTCCGCGTTCCCCATCGAGGTTAATCCGCTAATTCTTTCCATATCGTGGTCCTTGGGTGTAATAATCTCCCTTTCAACTTCCGAGTACAAAAGGGTTTCGGAAAAAAATAGAATTACCCTTTCCGAGGGTCACTCCGATATATGAAATGCTATTACTCGATAAATTCCGCCAAAAGCTCTCGTTCTCTTTCCATATATATGGATTTTCCAATTAAAAAAAATACGTATATGTGTTCTTGATAAGGCGGTCCTTTCAACTTAATTTCCTCCACATTTTTTTTTTCGGATTGCGGCTATGGGATAAGAAGTTCAACCATTACGGATATTGATGAATCAGGGAATCATTAAATTCTGGCAAAAACTACGACGTTTCCTTTCGCCTAACTCGAGACTATATCGTATCCTCCGTGACCAGGTTCGAGTTTACGATGCTGGCAGTGCTCTTCGGACATGAACTCCGTTTGCGGAGACCCAATGAACAACACGGAACACCACAGTCTGTTCCATACCCGGGACTGCGAAACGACCTTCGCCCAGCACCCCTACCCTTACGAAAAAGCAGTGTGTCGCAAGATCGTGCAGCGAGGTGAGTACAAGGTTTCTAAAGCCATCGATTATCTTCCGAGTGGTATAAAATGATGCGCGTGAGCGACCCCAATTTCTACAATGAAAGGAAATTACATCGAAGTTACATTAGAAGGTCGAAATTTGTCAGCGCAGTGCGAACGAACGAGGGAGGGGTCGGATCGATAGGAAACTCGCAACGCCCCTGGGAACGATTACGGTGGGAAAATCGATAAAATTTCGGAAATAAACGGCGTCAAAAACTCTTATCAGGAGATAATAAAGATATTAATATCGGGTTTTGGCGTTAGTTACCAGTCTTTTTTATGAGCGCCTAGAGTCGCACCTAGCTCGACGATTCTGTCGGTGTGATAAAAAAACTCGTAAAGCCTTTAAGAACGATTACAGCGGAAAATCCGATAAAATGTTGAAAATAAAGAATATCGAACTCCTACCAGGATATGTAAAAAAAAATATTTATATCGGGTTTTCGCATTATTTGCCACTTCTAGGACGAGCGCCCCAGAGTCGCACCCAGCTCGACGATTCTGTTGGTACGATAAAAATCTCGTAAACCCTTTAATAACGATTCCAGCGGAAAATTCGATAAAATGTTGAGAATAAAGAACATCGAACTCCTACCAGGATATGTAAAAAAAAATATTTATATCGGGTTTTCGCATTAATTTCCGCTTCTCGGACGAGCGCCCCAGAGTCGCACCTAGCCGACCTTACGATAATTACCGAACGCGAGAGCACGGAAGGTCAGGCCGCGCCCGCCTATGGAAAAACGCACGTTCGCGGTTACGTACGCAGTTCCGTCCGCGATTTGCGACGCCACCGGCTCTTCCGGAACCTTGGACGCGAGTTTACGTAAGTCGCGCCTCGGTGCACTATTTCCCCGGGCGGCACGGTATTCGTCATCGATCAAATCGCGTGATACCCGGGGACGCGTTCGCCGCGAAATTAATTACCGGCTCGAGGCTAAGAGCGTTCCCTGGGGCCGCATAGTCGAATCTGCCATACCGACCGAGGGCGCCCGAAAAGACGACCCGAGCGCGGTAGAGTGGGAATTTAAATCCGGCGCATCTTGCGACAGGTCGTACCATCGTCCATAATACGCCGCTAGGAACGGACCGGCCTTTAGAAAGTCGTCGAATTTGACTTTCTACGCTTTCATCGGCGCGCATCGGTTCGCAAATCCGAGATTAAACGACCGGGTAGTTTCCCAACCGGATGTCGCCGAGCGTCATTAGACACATTCGAAAGGAATCGACGGAGGAATCGGCCCCGAGATTAAATGATATTTAGGGCCGGTTTCGAAACCGCCGTCTCGATAACGAGGGAACCTTGCGTTGCGTCAATCCTGGTGCGTCCAATTAAAACAACCGTGGCGAAACTGGTCCCGGTGGACACGCTTTACGAGGGTAAGGATACTCGGCGGCCACGTGCGTCCGACATGCGGCCGAGCCGCGGCGGACGTCTCGCATCGGCGCGCGCGTCACGCTCCGGGGAGTTCCCTGGAACGTTTATAACAATTGCATCGCGTTTCAGGCGACAGTTTTACAAGACAACGAGTCTTTTCTTTCCAGTACACGGAGAACGCGTCATCGTGAGAGCCTGTGCGATTCCAAACCCTGACGAGAGGGACATCGTCGACGGGCCCTGCACGCCGGTCGTGTCGGCCAGCTACATCACGATAGAGTCCTGTCACATCTGCCGAACGGATCTCTGCAATTCGGCGACCAGCTTGTCCGGATTATCCGCCAAGGGATTACTAGGATTCGCCGCGATCGGCCTGATCCTCGCGAGCGCGGCCACGACGACGAGGTAGACCGGCCCGGTCGGACCCTTCGCCGCCGACCCTCCTATAAAACTTAACGCAAGAAACCTAGTTCACCGGGAATCCGTCCACGGCGCGTAGGGTATGCGCAAAAGCTACGTTCGCATCGGGGTACACCTTGCGAAATGAATAACGCCTCTGAGATGTTTCTTCACCAGGTTCCAGGATTAAATCAGAATCCGATTTACTAACCCACGAAGGAGTCTTCGGGTGACCTTAACCAATCGTCGAATCCCCTTAAGAGTACTATCCTAGACGAGCACGGTAGCACGGGGACTGAGAAAATGAAGGGAAAACGCATTTAGCGGCAAGAACGTTGACTTTATTTCTGCTCGGTGTAGTTCCCTTCATTTTCGGCGCGTCCGGTCTCGGTCCGCGGCCCGGATTCCGGATCCGGATTACAGGGAACGCGCGGTCGCTTTCCGCTGGCACCGTCTCCTGGCACAGGAGAACTCTAACGTCCAGGTGGAGCTGAGACCCTGCTCAGGGATTGCTCTTGTATGTGGAGGAGCTGGATGTCGCGAACTTGCCGCTGGTGGGTTCGCATCTGCAGACGCAGCAGGAGGGGAAGAGGAACCAGTCCATGAAGATGCCTTTGCAGTCGTTGTCGGGGTCGTAGGCCAGCAGTCGGTGCCACTTGTACTTCTGCTCGCACCCGCAGTCACCGTTGCACCGATTGGTCTGCGTCTTCCTGCGAATTGGTTCCACATCCGATTAGACAAATCCCAGGGTCCACCACCCACTCTGTCGCAAAACTCACGAGCACACTTCCTGATGAATGGCCTGCTCGAAATGCTGGGTGTTCACGATGGCCCTGATCTTGCCGGCGCTGTTGCTGGCCCAATAGGGAGTGACGATCTCCACCTTGGATTCGCAGGCGTCGACCCTGAAAATCCATAACCACCTCTGAGGCTCGAATTTGGTCGCGCCATGATTTACTAATTTACCGATTTACTAATCTACTAATCTACCAATCTACTTGTCCACCAAAGTACGTACCTGCCCGTCCGCTTCGCGTTGGCGGAGTTGGGCCCGTTGGCCGGGGTTGGTCCACTTCCATGGGCCTGTCTGGTCGACCTCCCGTGTCCAAAGTAGGAATCCCCGCTCCCCTGGTGACCTCTCCCCGACCCGGGACCACCGTCAGGGAGGTCGTGCTTCGAAGGCCCCGACGACGAGTCCCTGCGACGGCGACTCGCCCCAGGGTCGCGAGGAGGTGGCGGTTCCCCTTCGCTCATTTCGAAGTCCCCGTACATCCTGCGCATCAGGGCCTTGTTCTCGTCGATGAACCTCTCTATCCGTTCTCTGGAACCAACGGAAGGAACGATTCTTTAATTCCTACCGAACCGTTCCGATTTAGGAAGGCATCCGGTCTCTCTACTGACATGGGGTAGGTGTTCCCAGCGGTCGGACAGAACAGCTGGTGGTACCTCTTGATGCAGGGCGCCCCTCTGACCAGGTCGCCCCTGAGCTCGACCCCCAGCGCCACGGAAAGGGCTGTCCATAGGATCTACGAGAAGGGGCAAGAAATTATCTCTCGGTGTCCCAGGGTGCGTGGGCGGGTGCGTGCGCGCGCCTGACCGATCGGGTCCGCATACCACGGCGATAGCCGAGGTCAACGATATAAATCATCGGCTCGGGCGTGTCACCGAGCACGGGCCAAGCTTCGGTGCTCGGTATACGTGAGCACGACGCGTTACGGTTATCGAGACTTAATCTGTACCAGAGCGCGTTGCACTCCTTTCGACGCGCTGCCCAAGTCTGACACACCCTGGGCCCGACTCGAACCGCCTTACCGCTTTTACGACCTGGCCGTTATTATGCCGTCATTTTACAGGTATTTCCCGGTAGCGACCCGAGAGCCGTTCCTACTTTCGCGTGTCCGAGGTTTCCCCGACTCACTGGGATCTGGACGAAGGTCCCATTGTTGAGCTGGGGATAGGAGAAAAGCGGCACCACGGGCACCGTGCCGTTCTTTAGGAATATGGGACCCTGGATAGGGGTCACGTGGGCACCCCTTGGCACCCCTCGGTTGTTGTCCTCGAGGTAGTCCTCGAACTCAGCGTCGCCTTCCCCGTCGGCGTCGTAGTCGAGGACGGCGTGCACCGACGTCTTGGCGTCGGGTCCGCCGTACCCGGCACCGTTGACCCGGGTGTACCTGAAAGACGATGATATTTAAAATACCTATATTTCGCCTCTTACATTGTAGAAACTACCTCGACGATCGATTAACAAATCCCGGGGACTTTTCAAGGATTCCTCGGGGACTTCTCGCCGGCATGGGAGTTCCGCGCCACGGCGAAATCCCCGAAGGTGGGAATAATCGTCCCGGCACTTTCTCCGGGGGGATTCCCTCCGTTGCGGAATATTTCGGTGAAACTGCACTCGACTTTATGTCATCTATGTGCAGTTTCACCGAATCCCGTTTTCACGGGTTACACGGTGTTACACCTTGCGTCGAGGCTACCTCGCCGTTAATGACAACTTACTTACACTCGTCCGTTGCGCAACTGGCCAAACATACTTTAAGGTCGAATTTCAGACGACGGTCTAAAAAACCACGACATTTATTCCTCGCCACCCTGGCCAGCCTACCTCGACTATTGACATTGACCATTGCCCGTCGATTTTCCGATACATTAATGAACAATCGCCCGAGGAAGAACGTCCTCCGCTAATTGGTCGCTCTCTGGAATTCTCGATCGGTACCTAACATCCAAAAATTTCCTACGCGTATTTCCCCGTACAATGATAACGAAGATAATACTAACGAGCGCCTGCATCGAGGTAAAATTAATTCCGAAATAGGCGGTAGTCCGTAAAAGAAATTCGACGCCCACCCTGAGAGAGAAAAAGAAAAAGAAATACCACCGAACCAAAGGAATACTTTGTCAGTTCAATGAATCATTAGATTCGATTGGAATAAACTGGAATAAACCGAATGGAACGTTTCCTCGAAATTCCGACGATTTATTCGAATTTATTTCAGCGATTCCCGAATTAACGAGAAATACCTCTTCGGTTCGATAAGTCTCTTCCTCGGTGCCTCTGCAAAAATTGATAACAACTTTACAAATCGTGCCTGTATATCATCCTTCTCAGGGATACGCGTCTATTTCCCGGCTCGTTTGATAACAATTGTTACTATTCTCTCTGGATGTGCCCAATATACATGTACCCCCGGAAACATGAATTAAACGCATCTCGAAGCAATTTTGTCTACTGCATGAGATACAGCCTAAGCTCGAAGGAAAAGGGAAGGCATCGTCCGGAATGCGCTCACCCATCGGGTCTCCCGGGGTAGTCGTCGCGGGGGGTCTCGACGGCCCTCTGTTGCTGCTGCAACTGCTGCAGCGGTTGCTGCGTCTGTTGCTGCGGATGAAGCTGTTCCCGCGGTGGCAGGGGCTCCCGGAAACGATCGGGCTGCCGGCGAGGCTGAGTCCTCTCGAAGTCCCCGGAACCGAGTCCCGGGGGAAACCGCGTCTCCGTTCTCGCGGAAGAGGCCTGAGGAAGAGGCCTCGCTCGGTGAGCCTGCCTCTGCCTGTAATAAGCCGGGGCGGAATAGGGCCGACTGTCGTAGGACTCCTCGTCGTTGCCCTCGTCGTCGTAGGCCAGGGGGGCCGAGCGCCCCGGGTCGGGGCTCGGGCCGAAGGCTTCCGGCGCTCGGTGGCTCTGGAACAGGAACGGGGACGGAGTGGCCTGATACGGCAGGCTGAAGTTGGCCAGCGCCATGTCGGGGTCCTCTCGGTGCTAGAAGAGCGTCGGCGGGGCCCTCGCGTCTCCGCCGGGGTCGGAGAGAGTCATCGCTCTCTCCCTCGCCGGGCCTCGCTGTCCCCTCCCGGCGACGCCTCGCCTCCCTCTCGAGGGACGACCCCCGGACGGCGGGGACGGTCTCGACGACGCGACCGACCGGACCGATTGGCGCCACTCGGTAACCTTCGGATCGGCGAGAGCAGCGAAAGCTGTCCGATATGTCGCGAGCGCGCCGCTCGCCCGGTGAACGTCGACTGACGGGCCCGGCCTCCTCGAGAAGGGGATAAATGACCGTTGCCGAGACCCCGGCTTCGGAGGAACGGCGGTTCCCGCTCTTGCCTCTCTTTGTCGGGGCCGCGCGCCCCACTCGCGCCCGCGCCCGGGCCCCGGCGCGTCGCTCCACGCGGAGAGAGTAACGCGGCCGATTGCGCCGCCTCGAGAAAGGCGAGCGCGTCACCCGAGCCAGACGCTCTCCGTCCCTTCGCGTCCGCTTCCTCTCGCTTCCTCTCGCTTCTTCTCGCTTCTTCTTTTCCGGGACGCGCGACGTCCGCAGGACTCGACTCCCCACCTCCCCCTCGGCGTGCCGCTCCTTTTATCTGGCCCACGCACGGCAGGCTCGGACCCTCCTTTCCGGCACGAGATTCGGGTACCTACAGGCGTCGGAAAACGCATCTCTGCCGTTAAGGTAACATATAAGTACCCAAAAAGTTAACATATTTATCAACCAAACTGGGTCCACCGAACTATCCGAAACTCTAACACGCGATTATGGAGGCTCTAAGAACGCGCTGCTTGTGGAATTTCATTTTGTCTAAAAAAAAGAAAAATGATGCATTTATCTCAGACAAAAACCAAAAGAAGATATTTCCTTTTTGAAAAATGATATTTAATGTGAAGTTTCCAATAATTCGGTGCACTCGGTTTAAAGGAAAGGTTTATAAATATTTTCGCTTTTTGGTATGTACACTGGGAGACATCAATGCCCTCCCATTCTGCACAGGCGATGCCGTATCTGCAAGGGAGACATTCATGTCCGCCATTGTACATATATCACCTTAAGGATCTGCATGTTCGATTTTCAGCCGTCCTGGGTATGTTGGACGTATTTTTTTTAACTCTGGGCAAGACCTCCGTCGAGGTACGAGATGCGTTTTCCTGAAGTAGAGGCGGAAGTCGTGGGGAAATGTCCGCAGGGCTTTTTACGCCGATCATGGTTGTCCATGGACGAAGGGTACCGGTCGATCGGAACTAAATGGCCGAAACTAATCGTGGTCTACGTGTCCAATTGGACGAGGTCGGGTCTTAGAGCTAAACGCGGCTACCCTGCGGTTTAAAGTTGCGGCTTCCGCGGCGGATCCTTTTCTTTCGACGGTAATTGCGTTAACGAAATGCCGGGTGCTAATCACCGTCGTTACGTTTAATGGCACCCTCGGCCTCTCGACGATCTCAGGTGTGAATTATGGAGCACCGCTTTGCGGAACCGCTACCTGGGTTCTTCGTGGCTTGCGTGCTCCGTCCCTCTTCTCGCCTTCGAACTCGACGACGATTCCTCTTCTTGTTATCTGCAAAGTAATACAAAAATTAATCACCAAATTGCCTACCGGATGACTTTCTACCTTAACCGTCGGTACCGCGTGAAAGCATCGCTCCTCGTTTCGGCGCCTTTCGACCAAAATTACGGCAATAAACCGCCATTACGAGCGGGACGTTACCTCCGGGAGTATCCGCCGCGTTTTCAGGTGTGAATTGCTCGGTATTACGTTTTATCGCCACTTCCTTATTAGCCGTGGTTCCGCGACTCGGTGAAAATCGAACGAGCACGAGAAACCTTTGGGCGAGGCGCTCTCGTTTGTGTCCGGAATCCGGCCGAGTTGAGTCAAGTGGAGGAAAGTGAAAAAGAGAAGTTTCAACAGTTTAACGTCGGGCACCACCCCAATAATGGGTGTGCACTTCAAAAGAAAAGAAAAAAAAAAGAAGTTAAGTCAAGCCGAGAAAAGCGGACAGGAGGGTTTTACCCAGAAAAAGAGTCATACTACCCGACTAATGAATGTCAACGAGGATTTTCCCTTAACCCCTTAACGCACAGATTTAAAAAAAAAAACCGGCAAAAAAAATCAATTTTTTTTATGTAAAAAAACAACACTAGAACATTGCCTTGGCAAAAAAATAAAATTCTCGATCATATTCGAGGGTGAAAAATTATAGTAGCATAAAATACAACGCCGCTCGAATTACCTCGAGTGCACAAGTTAAGGAGTTAAAAAAAAAAGTTTCGACAGAGTGAAGTCCCATACTACCCGACTAATGGATGTGAACAAGGATTTTCCCTAAAAAAAAAAAATTGGATGGAGTCAAGTCGAGAAGAGATGTCAGATGTTTTGCCCGATAAAAATTTGACACTACTCGACTAACGTGTCCGTGTTGATTTTCCTTAATAAAGGAAAAAAAAAATGGAGTCAAATTGAAGAGGCAGGACAGTAGTTTTACCTGGTAAAAGTCCGACGCTACCTGACTAATGCATGACAGCAAGGATTCCCCCTAAAAAAAAAATAAAAAAAAAAACGTCAAGACAAGTCGCGGCTTCCCATTCGACTCGGACGGAAGTCGCGGCGCCCGGAGTCAAGCCGAGGGACAGAAGCGAGACTGATAAGGAAAAAGAAGAAAGAAGCGACGCTAATAAATGAAAAAAAAAAAATCGACTCAAGTTGAAGAGACAGGACAGTAGTTTTACCTGGTAAAAGTCCGACGCTACCTGACTAATGCATGTCAGCAAGGATTCCCCCCAAAAAAATTTAAAAAAAAAAAACGTCAAGACGAGTCGCGGCTTCCGATTCGACTCGGACGGAAGTCGCGGCGCCCGGAGTCAAGCCGAGGGACAGAATCGAGACTGATAAGGAAAGCGAAAGAAGAACGAAGCGAGGCTAATAAAGGAAAAAAAAAAAATCGAGTCAAGTTGAAGAGACAGGACAGTAGTTTTACCTGGTAAAAGTCTGACGCTACCTGACTAATGCATGTCAGTAAGGATTCCCCCTAAAAAAAAAATTAAAAAAAAAAAGACAAGACGAGTCGCGGCTTGCGATTCGACTCGGACGGAAGTCGCGGCGTCCGGAGTCAAGCCGAGGGACAGAAGCGAGGCTGGGAGCGCAATCGCCCTCTCGATCTGGATCTCGATCGGCGATCTCGATCCCGATCGCTCCTCGGCCGGTGAAGGTCGACAGCCGTGTCGACTCTCCGGCGACTGCTCGGAGCCGCGAGCAAAGCGCGTGCCGGCTGCACCCATCATACTCCATTCTATCGAGTGCTCTACCGAGCTCGACTCATTGTCCGGAATGAACGATCGAGGCGGAGGTCGGGGATCGCGAGGAACCCGTTGACCCGCCACCGGATCGAGGCCTGTCGGCTTGTCCGAAGAGAAAGGTGGAAGCGGAAGAGCTTGACCGCAAGGAAGGTCTTGCTCAAGGTCCGCAAGCCCCCAAAGATCTCGCTAGCCGGACATCCGCCTCGACCCGAAAGTACATAAAAAACTATATCTCGGGGGTATTTCCCGGCCCCGAGTTTCCACCTAACGATCGCACCTCGGAAGGGGAAATTCGAGGGAAACGCCGCCTTCGAAAATCTACCTACAATTTATTACGCCTACGGCATCGCTAAGTGGAACCGCGTCGACACCAAAGTAGTCCTCGAGCGGGTATTTGTACAAACTTAAAATATTATACGACGCTACAACTAAGGATGTATATACAAACGAATGTTTAGCGTCACCCTGAACCGAGCGTACGAAAGCGCGAGTACGATCCGGCGAGGAAACGCTCGTTTCGAACGTGCGACGTGGAAAACGCTACCGAAAGTAGCTGTCCTTCCTTTAGAGATCCCTATCTCCTCCGAGACATTCAGCGGGGCGCGAAGGATAACGCAATATCAAAAAGTACATTGATTCTTTCATTTCGATGACGACGGCTCGGGCGGCTCGGTTTCCTTATGATCCTTTGTTTCGCAAACAGTGTTAACGCAATAATAATCATCCCTCTGGTCTCACGGTGCTCGCGAATAGGCAGCTATTTCAACATTCGGCAAATGGTTGACTCCTCTCTGCAAGGACGTCGCCTGGATGAACGAGTCCTAGGAAGGATGGGAGCTTCCCTCCTCCTTACTGATCGTCGCTGTCGCTTCCTTTGGGGTTCCCATCTCTCTCGTTCTTCTCGCTCTTCTCGCTCTTCTCGCTCCTTTCGCTTCTGTCGTTCCTTTCGTGGCTGTGCGCGATCCAAGGATGGGGCAGCCACTTGTCCAGGAGCCAGTGAACGAACATCCTGCGATCCGTGCATTCATTCCGCTCGCACCGCGCGGCCCCCGCGTTGCGTCCACCTGCGGCGGCTGCGGTGGAGGAGGCGGAAGTACCCGCGCGGTTTTTCACGCAAGAGTCGTCGCGAGAGCGCTGGCGTTCCGGAGTGCGTTCCGGAGGATATGGCGGGTAATCGGAAGCGACCAAGGCGGTTGGATCGAATCCGGCTCGTCCTCCAGCCTGTCGCGAGGTGGAGGGTGTCGGTTCCGACGGGCTGGCAGGATTCCCCGAAGGTCCAGCCGAGGGTCCGGCCGCAGGACCTGCCGCAGATGCTGCCGCCGACGCGCAAGGATGGTCGATGCGTCCAACGTAGACGGTCGGCCCTGCGTAGAGGGACTCGTTCGCATTTCTGCCGACCCTGTCGAGCCTCCCAATGTAAATGGCTGGATTAGAGCGCGACAAGTAGTCGGCCCTGCAGGTGCATCCTACAACGGAAGGATTCCCACACCGGCAGAAGGACTCCCAACGGAGGCCAGAATCGGCGAGTCGATGCGCCAGCAGCGCCGCATTGACTGGGGGTCGTCCCGAGTAGCAGGGGGCTTCGCCGTGGCACAGGAAACACCTGCAGGCTCTGGTTACCTGGTAAATGTACTGTCTAGGGTCCCCCAGGATCCCCGGCTTGACGAAGTCGTAGTAGCGCATTATCTTGTACACCTTCTGACAGTAGTGGCAGACACTGGCCGGCTGGCCGTCCAACCGTCTGCAGAAGTCGCAGGTGCATCCGTGCCCCAGCTGGTAGAGCTGGTAACGTCTGCCGGTGACGTAAGGTATGTTCTCGCTGGAGAAGCAGTTGCGCCCTAGGCGACCCATTCGATTTAAGCAAGGCTGACTGGCCAAGCCTCGAGACGAGTCCAAGCACTCGTTCCTCTGGCGGTCGTTGCGTTTCCAGTTCCTGGGCTCCTCGTGAAATCGGTAGAACGCCCCGAAGCGACGTCGCATTCGGTCGAAGCGCTCGTTGAACCTGCGCTGGGTATAGAACCTGCGTCGACCGTAATTGCCATCCTCCTCGACGTCGTCGTCGCCGACTCTTCGTGGGATTCCATTGTCGTCGTCGTCCTCGCTCTCTTCGTCCATTGCGCGATGACCCGCCGGGTCCCAAGCGTCATCGTTACGTCCTGCGGCGTGTCCCTCCTCGTCGTTGTCGTCTTCGCCTGCCGCATCCCCGAAACGATCCAGCGTCTCGTAAATGTTCTCCTCGGACTCTTGCGGACGCCTCTCACGGTCGCCGTTGCGCGGCGGGTCCATGGGGTTGACGTCGACCTGCCGTGAAGGACCGGCTCGGGGTTGGAAGGGAACTCGACGGTTGGCGGCTTGCCCCTCGTCTGGCCTTTCTTGTCTCTCCTGACCCGGGGCATTTCTGTTGCGATTCAGAACTACCACGGCCAGCTTGCCGTTCTCGTATCTCTGGCAGAGGCAACGAGCCCCCTCGCAGTCGTGACTAGCGAGGTCACCTGCGGAATCGGCGGCAGCTCGATGTCGACGGAGGGTACCTTGTTCCTGTGCCAGCGCGCCGCTGGGCCCGGGCTCGCGCGACGACTCGAATGCCTCGGCATCCGGGTCGCCGCCTTGCTCCGAAGCATGCCCAGCGGACTGTAGACCTCACATCGTCGCACCCGCTAGCTGCGACTTATCGATGATAGCGACACCTGCGTAGCTCCTGCCGATGCCCATGCAGGTCGGGAGAATGGTCCAGGTGTCGGTCCTCGGGGAGTAGACTTCGACGGAGGAGAGGTTGGAGGTCCCGTCGTCGCCGCCAACCACGTAAAGCAACCCGTTCAACGCGACGACACCTGCAGAAAATCGGATGCAAGTCCAAGGTTAATTTCCATACACGACTTGATCGAGGCAAGACCGATGTTGTATAGTTCGCTTCTACGTTTATTTACCTGCGTTTCTGCGACAGAGGGTCATGTCGCTAACCGAGGTCCACTGATTTGTCTCTGGGTTGAAGGCCTCTACGCTCTTCCTTACTAGGGGCCCGTCGTGACCTCCGACCGCGTAAAGAATGCCTTCCAGGACGCCCACGCCGGCGCCGCTCCTGCGCGCCGACATCTCCGGTACCGGCTTCCACTGATCTGTCTCTGGATTGTAACATTCCACGCTTGACAAGCAATGGCGAGACGCCCCGTCGTAGCCACCCACCTGGAATTATACCTTGGTTACTACCTTAATCGTCATATCCCTTTCAACACTTTGGGTTCCCTGTTTACCGCGTATAAGAGATTTTTTACGACGCCGACTCCGACGCTGCTTCGTCGGGTGGACATGGGGGCTATCATTCGCCACTCGTGAGCCCTCGGGTCGTATACTTCTGCGGAATTCAATCCTGTCGAGCCGTCGAAACCACCGACCTGTGAAGAAAACCGAGTCCAGTTACGGTTAATGAACGCAGGCGATAGAAATTGTGCAACATTAAACGGCTAAATACTACTTTCAAGTAAAATGAAATATAAGTCCTCACCGCGTAGATGCAGTTGCCTAACACCGCGACGCCCAAAGTGGAGCGTCTTGCTTCCATGCCTGGACATGCTGACCACTGATCAGCGGAAGCATCGTAAACGTCTACCGTCCTGACCCTCAAGGATCCGTTGAAACCTCCAACGGCGTAAACGCGACCGCCGAGAACCGAGAGTCCTGTAACGAGTTCCCGTCTCAACTGCGAATCTCGAGGTCGTCGGCGGGTTTGGCTTCTTGCTTACCGGCCCTGCACCTTCGGGTTGGTAATTCGGACACGTGGTACCACTTTTCCTCCGTGAAGTCGTAACACTCAACGCTTCTGATTGCCTTTGGTGCCTGACCACCGACGACCAACAGCACCTTCGGCAAGCCTCTCGGTTGTCTAGGCTTGGTACGTGGTGTTTTGAAGAGAGACTTCTGTTCTCCCTTCAGTAGATGATACTTGAGGGCTTCGATCAAGTAATCCTTGCCTAAACAAGAATTCCTTCCTCTTATTAGTATGTTGATAGCGAACCGATGGAGTACATCTAGCTGACATACACTGCAAATTCGCCTTGAGCAATGGTTCCTCCTCTACGCGTTGCACTAGGTATTCTTGAGAAAGAAGCGGAAGACGAACGTGTTCCATTAATTGTGCCAGATACTCCTGCCTCTTCTCCAGGTCACTGTGAACCCACGAGATCACGCACTCAAAAACCTTCTCCTCGGACGGAACCGTTAATCGATCGCTGCAAATCAATTTGGCCACTTGATGGGATGCCAAAGTTAGAAACTCTTCCCCTTCGACAACCTCCCTGTAACACCAATTCTCATGAACATAGATCCTAGTTACCCTTCGATACAATTAGGGTATCGGTGGCCATAATAAAAGACTCACGAGAAGTGCTGTTCGATGTAGTTATCTGCATGAGCCAGTAACTCGAGGCATCCATGTAAATCGGCAAAAGCTCTAATACCTAAACAATTTGAAGGGTGCAACTGAGCTTGAAGAAAGTCACAACATGCATCCCGAACGTCCGTCAGTTGAAGCAGGTTTGCAGCTGGCAATAAAACTTGGACGTTGTCCTCTGTTACGTGAACTTCGGCTGTATAGGCATAGTCAACGAGCAACTCCAAGGCTGCGTGATCGACACCCAGGAGCGTAATCCGTTCCTGGTCACGTTCTTCGAAACTTGTGAACATAGCGTAAAAGTAAGGGCTGCATGCTGCTAAAACTACTTTGTGAGCGAGAACTTCCATCCCGTCATCTGCCACCAAAATCACGTCACAAAGCAGATTCCTCCTAAACATGATGTAGAAATATAATTTATGTGCGACGACAGTGTTTTCATCTTTTAGAAAATAAATGTGGTTATTAAAAAAACAATATTAATGGCTACCAATAATGTACCTGCGCATTGCATCCATTGCCTCAAATGCCCTATTGGTATGGTGATGATTTCTGTACGGAGGTTTGTCTTTCCCATTTTCACGAGGCACGTGTTTTTGTGAACTTTCATCTAAAGAATTTTGGCTTGCATAGCGTAGCAGCAGACAACTACAAGCAGACAATGTGTCAACTGATGAAGTCATTATGAAAATACTATATTAATTTATTAAAACAAGTTTGGTCTATAAATAAAGTTATAAGATTCATTCACGTATATGAATGCTTTAAAAAAAGGACGTAGTCCAGCAGAGATTTGAAAATTTGAATAAAACTATTCTAACCTGCCCTTACTCTCCGATGATTCTCCATTAACGCCTTGGCACTGTTTTTTTGAAGAGGGATCCATCTTGATATACCTTGAGCAATGTCGTACAGTTTACAATCCAATAATAAGATATAATATTGGAACAACTCAAGACTCCGTTTGCAACCACATCAAAAACCTAAAGAACAGTGAACACTTTCTTTTCACAAAGAACGATACAGGTAAGTGATGATAAGTGTCGAGAGCATTAGCGAGCCTTAAGTCACTTTCTTCGCCTGCTTCGACATTAAACTTTGCAAACTATGGTATAAATAACAAAATCCCTAACATTTCACTCTATCGAATCATCTACATATTTAATTAAATACCCACATAATTTTAAAAGCTTCATTTGCAAGCATCTCTTTAAACATAAACTACAGAACTATCGAAATCTAATAAACAGTCTGCCACCATTCTCGACCACTTACCGCCCAAGTTCAGATAACCAGAGACCGCGTTACTGTTGATATCGACTTGGTTGACAGAAGTGCATATACACGCCTGTGCACGGTAAGTACGCCTCTATACACTCATGCACCTACACAACGGAGCACAAGTGCATCCTTTGCTCGGCAAGCATTTCTCCTCCCCTTTCGAAAACCCCTTTAACCGTTTTCTCGTTCTCGAATGGCATCGACTAATTTCAACAATGAGTAGCAAGAGTGTCCACACCCTAATTTTTCTCGCGATTGCGTGAGCCCCCCATTAGAAATGTGTTGCACCGCCCCTGAGGGATAACAGGTGCATGTGCATTAGCCGTCCACATCACCCACCAGGGGGCAGCACAGGACGCGATCGCGCGACCCTGCCCGTGAGCAATCTCCCAACTCATCTCTGTGCCAATATTTAGTAAATACCAGTAAATGCCGTAAATACTTTGTCATTGTAAATCATAGAACGGAAAGCCAGTAAAAAAAAATTGTTAATGGTTAACTGTAGAAATGAGGTAATTGGTTTCACATTTGTGTCTTGGATACTACAAGAATTTTTTCTCTTCAACTCTTGGAACATTTCTCCCTTAGAGCGATATAAGCCATGAATGTAGAGAAAAAATAGCTAACAGTATTAAAAAGCATAGAAATAAAAAAAGAATAAAAAAGAATGGCAATGGAAAACAAAGACTTCATTATAAAGAAAGTCCTACATGCTGGAACTAAGACCGTCGTTTTTGTACCTGGAACAAAAGTGAGTTTTAAATGGCATACAGCAAGTTGATGTGGATGCATTAAATGTATTCTTTTAATTCCCCAGGTAATATTCCACTTTAGATCAATGAAATGCAATTCGGAGCAAACTGTCATTGACGACACCAGAGCGTTGGGACGGCCCATGGAGTTAGTCCTGGGTAAGAAGTTCAAGCTCGAAGTCTGGGAAGCAATCGTACAGAAAATGGCATTGAACGAGGTCGCACATTTCAGTATCGATAAGAGTGTAAGCTTCATCTTTTACTCTTAGCAATAACCGAGAATGATCAAAATAGATTCATTGGCCATTTTATCATGCAGTTACTCTCGGCATATCCATTTGTATCCAAAACCTTTCGGGAAATCGACAAACCACGATCAGAAAGACGTAGCCATCATTGCTGTGGAGTGACATTGCAAAATGAAGGAATTGGATATGATGATTTAAATGATCTCGTTAAGAATCCACAGGATTTGGAATTCATAATAGGTAATTGATCAGTTGCCTAACTATTTACTGATTCATTACAATGACCATATTATATGTTTTGAAGATGCATGGTTGTACTCCTTACATTTTATAAAGAGGTTTTCATATTTCTTTTGTATACCATGTAATAGAATTATTAGAAGTGGTCCAACCCAACGAATACGATAAGGAGACATGGCAAATGACGGAAGAAGAAAGGTCTAAGAGCATTCCTATCTTAAAAGAGAAAGGAAACCTCTTATTTAAAGAAAAGGATTACACGGGTGCTGCCGAGGCATATGCAAAGGCGATAGGGATAGTGGAACAATTAATGCTCGCGTAAGTTTTACACGATCGCACAACGGTCGTATTCGATTGGAGGAACCTAAGCAAATGTTTCAGTGAAAAACCGAATGACACAGAGTGGCTCGCATTAAACAAGATGAAAACTCCACTGCTACTGAATTTTGCTCAGTGCAAGCTATTGGAAAAGGACTATTATGCAGTTATTGAACACTGTACGACTGTACTTAGAAGTGAACCAGGTAGATTTGAAAAATTTTTCTTTTGCGTAAAAGGTATTTTATATCATCAAATACACATTATTTGCATTGACCTTGCTAATTTTCAGATAACATCAAAGCACTTTTTCGGCGAGGTAAAGCACACATGGGTGCATGGAATCAAACCGAAGCTATTGCCGATATGTCCAGAGTTGTTAAATTAGATCCATCGTTAGGGTCATTAGTTAATAAAGAGTTACAAGCTTTTGCCTCTCTTGTTAAAGACAAAGATAAACTTCAAAAAGAAAAATTCTCAAACATATTTGTATAGAAATGGAATTTACATTTTGCACAATTAAAATTAAGCATACATGGATTTGAATTCAGGCATTACGTTAACCAGATGCTTGGGTAAAATATGAGTGTAATATGTCTTATTCAATATGTAAATGTTTGATGTGCACAGATTTTCGCACTAAACAAAAAAATATTAATTTTTTAATTCTGGTCACATTTGTTATATTTATCACTTGCAGGTAGTCACGTAAATATATCAATATCAATCCAAATAGAAATTTGAATGAATTGGCACTAGAAAATATACGCATTATGACAAGAATCAATGACATCAGTAAGATTACCTTATAGTTACCGTTACTCTTTATTTTGACAGCATTTAATGAGACATTCATACATCATGTTGGAAAGTGCCATAAGAAGAGCTCCCTGTCACGTGTCGGGCATTTCCCCTCCAGGTACTAACTGTAACGTGAAGAAATTCATCACCAGTTATACTTTTCTAAAGTACACAGACTACAAAAAAATTATATAATAAAATCAAAACGGAATGTGTCTCACAAACCATTGTAATATTATTTCCGTTAAGCAGAATCTGATCCAGTTTGGTAACCCTGCGCCCCTCGGGTGTTGCTTCGCTTTCTGTCACATCCTCCAGTAACATATTAACGAAGTCATCAAATCCTAACAGTGTACCGACAATCTCCTTATCGTTCTTCATGATGATATGTATGCGAGAGCCTATGCATTTATCCACCAGTTCTATACAGACAATATTTTAAAATGCTATTTGACCTTTTAGGTTCTGTTAACCAAAAAATCGTTTTCTCCTTCTTCGATAACTTACCCAGAGGCAATAGCGTCGATGGATTTGTAGTTACAGAGCTGCTCGTCATGTTTCAACGATAATACGCAACGAGCTCAACTTTCACAAATTTTCTAGTTGCAACCACCAAAATATGTATGTTGGGATGATTCCAAGCAAAGATTTCAAGGACAGCTCAAGCCGGTAAGTATTTCAGAGGTTATGTATTTCAGTGGCTGCGGCTCACAAGTTCTTCGGTAATTCTGTGCCTCTTTGACCAACTATGCCCTTTGAATAATACTCGATAATACTAGATAATGCCGAATAATGTCGAACAACGCCAAACATTTACCGATATCCACCGGCATTTGAAAATGTGCTTATAAACTTCAATAGATATGTCTCGAGTAATGACACTGATATCGTTGATTCTGTGCCGCCATCTTACGAAATTATTAAACAGCTCACGTGATCGGATAATGCCATCTAGCAGCCGAAAACACAAGTTCATGCACCATCGAAAAATAAAAAGAAGCATCCAACAATCCATTATACCGATACAGATAAAATATGAAAGCAATTTAATCTCAATTATAAAATTGCATATCAAAGACTGGAATTCGCAAAATCCGCTAATCTCAATCTTGACAACTCTGATACTATCTTGCCAAGGCGTAGTTTGCTGATATGATATCACGTCATAACAGATTCCACTTATAAGCGTAGAACTAATTGTTCTTTCATTCCCGAGTTCCTCCTTTCACCTTTCGAGCAAAAATGTGCCCAAAAAGGCTCGAATAACCAAGGTCAAACCAATTACACCGGTTCCACCTTGACCTACCGTCGAACTTAGATTTCTGATCAGGTCCGCGGACAACGAAAGCATAAACGCTCCTTGAATTTTTATTCATTGGCCTCCCCATCCGCGTTTCTCCTTCTAGCGAGAGAATACGAAAAGTTAATGTCAGTGCGAGGTAAAACTATAATCGGTAAACGAGCACATGCCCTTGCGCTCGTTAATCGCGGTTTAACTTAGCGTCTTTAAAGCCACGCGCGCTGCAAGGCAATGCAGCACTTCCTGCTGCAGGATGAGGATGTTCCCTGAACTGACATACGCTCTAAAAAAAAGATATAAGTTTTTATCACAGGATTTCCCGACCCTCTGAACGTATAACATTTCCTTCTCGATCGAGGAGTGCAAAAAAAAAATGCAAGTTTCCGCGAGGCGATCGCAGCGCATAACGAATTACGTGTCCTCGCGCTCATTATCCTCGCGTTTCCGAGCTATTTATCTGAAAAATTTATCCCGAGTGTATTTAACATAGGACAGGCGCAGATCGGCCAGCTAGAAGGCTCGCGCGATTACGCTCCTCCGTACTCTTGGACACGTCGAAGGACCGACGAGGGGACCCGCCGATATCCCCGATCCGGGACGTTTCCGCGTCGCGAGGAGGGGACTCGCGACGCGTCCATATATAGCCGCAAACCCGGAGCCGCTCCTCCGGACCCGAGTGCGCGGCTTTAAGATTTCGGTATACCATGGCCGTGACCACGAACGACAGTGCCCTCGAGGGATGCGACTCGTCAGGGGAGATTGGCACGGATGGGAAAGATGCCGCCCCATCTCCAGGTAACCGGACAAGGAAGGATTTGGCTGCCCCAATCGCCGGGTAACGATGTGATCCTCTGGCCCAGGTTGGTGCACCTGGAAAGACAGACGTGCCCCACCGGAAGAGCAGCGTGTTCGATAACTATGTTCAGTATTAGATACCTGCTAGATGACAGTATGTTGTTAACGGTGGTTTTTCTTTACTAGGGTCGTTGTTTAGTAGCTCGACGCGGGGTATGCGTGCTTCGTTTGCGGAACAGCAGTGGGATTAACAGAATTCCGTTGGCATACCTGGTCTAGGCCTGCCGACAGAATCGCTATAACACCAACCCAATGGAATACATAGAACCGAGGAGAATTGCATAAACATTTGCATTTATTGCGAGTTCGCGTGTCTATTAGATTTTCCGTCCATTAAGGCCCAGCTTTGCCGAGTTATTGCTGACGTTTAACCGGAAAATTTTCATCATTCGGTTAGCTTATGTTCAGTCTAAACGCAATCGCGACTAGAGACCCTGAGCGCAGTGGCGCTTTCGTTACATAAATCCGCCGATTACGAAAACATTTTTCCTTTGACATCCATCCCCGGAAGTTGCGCAAACTCGGCCGCGAAGAAACAACTTATCCAGATAGAGAAATAAGCGATAATGTACCGTGAATTAAATCATTTCGTTACCTCACGTGTCCGCGTTCTCCAGGTTCTTCAATTTTTTCTATCTTTTTTTTTCTCTCCAGCGTTTCCTCAATTGTTTCCACCGTAATCCGTCACTCGTGATAACGGGGCGATTAGTTATCAGAGTTTCGTCTTCAGCTGCCGGCTATGTTCGAGTTAAGCCTAAGACACTCGCGTAACTCGGTGATCCGTATAGCTCGTGTTAGCGAATATTGATAACAACACTTTCAACGACACTGCCGGTATAAGTGTGTGTCGTCGAATATACAAGCCGTATACGATTTCACTTGCGCCGAACGGGCACACAAAAAATGCAGGAAAATAATCTGTCTTTGAAGTCGATCTCGATTACTGGTCACCTTGACCACTTCGGTACCGTTAGTGCTGCGTTTGCAGATTTTCGCCGACCACAATGGCTCGTCCACTTGCACCTGCAACACGAGTATAACGTCCTTGCGATGTTAAATAATCGGGCGTACCTAGTCTACGGAAAAAATGTTTCAAAATTCAAGTCTCACCTGATGAGGAAATCCCGCAAGAACTTATCAACGATCTCACTACGTGCATTGTTTTAATCGACGAGAGATCTCCATCGTAGCGGAAACTCCGGATCTATTAACGATGACATTCCGAGATCAGAATCTCGTTCGCCCGCACTGGCGTGGAATCTTCGTCGAGAAGTCCTGGAATGTTTGGTGTATCTGTAAAACGAGATCAATCAACAATCAGAGAAAAACTCAGTCCCGATCTAACATCGCTGTCGACTGAATTGCAAAATATTCGAGCACCTGCTTAAAATTAATGTGAACCCGTCCTGGCACTGATTATCCATATCTTCACCGTAACGTCCGGGTTTAACGATAACGTGTACAAATGCGCAGGCACGTAAGAATACGAGGAATGTTAAGAATGCCTTCAGGGCGAATCACTGTCCTCAGGAGGACTGGGCACGAGACACCTGCAGATCTTGCTGATGTTCTTGGGAATGATGCTAGGTTATTCTCTCAGGGTGTCCATGTCGGTCGCGATAGTTGCCATGGTGGACAAGTCGACGGCAAATCCGAATATGAAGGTGATAACCTGACCCCTTCTCCGGTATCCCCCGTCCGTTCCCACAAGTACTCCATTTGCCGTTTGTTTTACATCGCAGGTCATGTTTGCCCTCTGATTCTTTTTTTTTTACCCTTAGAGCTATAGGGTCCATCTCTTGGATTCAACATTTATTGCTTCGGTTAACCCTTTGCACTCGGTTATCCCCTCTGAGGGGACATCGTAAGTCTAGATGGGATGGCGCCGAGTGCAAAGGGTCAATTCATCGCATTTTGTCTTTCCACCTTGTACCGCAACATACTGTGAGCTGACAAGAGATCGGTACATTTCCGTGGCAATAAAGCCTGATATCGCAAGGGCAATTTTCTCAAGGTTCCCGGCGAACGAGGATGCCCAGACCATGATCGAAAAATTGCCCTGCCCGTAAATATACGCTGTAAAAATGTACAGTATGATAAACCCGCGTTTAAAAAGATACATATTCATTTATTTTATGTCTTTCTAGGACACGTCAGCTTTACAGCCTATAAGAGTCGTTAAACGATACGAAACTCTCCAGTACGTTACGGTACGATCCCTGACCTACCGCAAACTTCCAATGACGTTTCCTTCCGCTCACAGAGCCGCAGTTAATTCTCATATCAAGCCGATAAAATCTTCGTGACCTTGCAAAAGCGAAGCATATCCAGTTTTTTTTTTTAAACGGTTAAATTTCTGAGCCCATCTCATTTTTCCTATTTTGCAAAGCCTGGAAAAATTCTCGTCAGAATATCGGATCAAATGCACGTGCAGACATACGTTAAATATATTCCTTCGAGTACCGCTATGAACTCGGTACAGTTCCAGATAGATTTCTTATCACGGGAGATAATCAAGGTACGAGGATCACGAAGGAAACTTACCATTGGAACGTTCGTGGACGACATTACTCATACCCCAGATCTTCCCTGTCCTCGCTGTTGTATAAGGGATGAAATTTTTCTCGTCTGCATGAGTGGTCTCGACTGAGAACTTTTACAGGAATACGATTGGAACCAGGAAATCCAAGGTCTACTCCTCAGCTCGTTCTTCTGGGGCTATGCAATCACTCAGGTACCGAGTGGGTACTTGGCACGAGTCTGGAGTGCTCGCAAAGTCCTCGCTTTGGGCCTTTTTTTCTGCGGCCTGGTAAACGCTGTGATTCCTGTTGCCGGTGACTATGCGGACTGGGGAGCGGTTTGCGCTTGTAGAGTCATCATGGGTCTTTGCCAAGGCTGTCTCTTGCCCTGCATTCATACCTTGCTGTCCTCGTGGGTACCTCCCTCTGAAAGAGCGAGGCTAGGTGAGTACATACACCTCTTAATTAACTAATTAACAAGTAGTTACGATCGCCGAGTAAAAAAAAAAACAGAAACCCTCTTTGAAGCAAATCTGAACAGCGACAGGACTGATTGCATAACAGTTCACTTATCATTCCATACGCATGGAATATTAAAAAATGTCTTACTCATCGGATGCCAGTGATGTGTAATAACGAATGGCATGTTCAGAGCGTCCTATGAATAATTTGCAGACAAAAGCATGGAAATTGGATAGACAATTACTGTGACTTATCTCACGGATGACATAAACATGACATAATGTATACAGCGACACTACCATAGTGAACATCGAAAAATAAGTACTCTGTCGATTTTCCACTGAAGATGCCTCTCATTTGCAGGAACATTTGCATACGCTGGAGCTCCGGCTGGGATGGTGATAGCAATGCCAATTTCTGGACTACTTGCAGCTTCTGCTTTGGGATGGCCAAGCATTTTCTACATATTTGGAGCCTTGGGAATGTGCTGGGGCTTGGCTTTCTTCTATTACGGGGCCGATTCGCCTGCCGTTCATTCTTCCATTTCACAAGAGGAAAAGCTCTACATAGAGGCGAGTTTAGGCACGTCTTCGTCAGAGAAAGAGAACGGCAACCAAGAAGTAAGTGGTCAAGCAATAAACAAGGAGCTAACCGATAATTCCAGCGATTAGATCCTAACGATAAATTTTTAGAAGCTGAAGATTCCGTGGGTAAAGATCCTCACATCCTTGCCGATGTGGGCCTTGATAATCACTCATTGCTGCCAAAACTGGGGCTATTGGATCCTGGTCACGAAGATCCCCCTCTTCATGAAGTCCGTTCTTGGCTTCGATATCAAAGACGTAAAACAGAAAGAATTTATTCGTTAATTAAAAGATATTCGTGACTTCGCTCAGTATCTACAACTTAATTATTAAAAATCCTTTCAGAATGGGTTCTACTCGGCACTACCTTATTTAGCAATGTGGATGCTAAGTATCCCGATAAGCTGGCTATCCGATTTTGCTTTGAAGAAAGGCGCTACCAAAGGCTTTGCCCGCAAGGTTTCCAACAGCATCGCTTTCCTGGGACCAGCCGCAGCCCTTATTAGCCTCTGTTTCGTGGATGCCGACAATAAATCACTGGCAGTCTTCATCCTCGTTTTAGCGGTAGCTTTCAACGCAGGATCGGTATGCGGTTTCCAGATCAATCACATCGACCTCAGTCCAAATTTCGCCGGGCCCATGATGTCCATCACCAACTGCATGGCTTCCATCGTGGCCATACTCGCTCCCATCCTCGCCTCAGTGGTCGTCTACGACGAGGTAAACTCTCCTGAGCCACCTCAGCGTTTTTTTGAAAATACAAATACCCTGAAAAGTAATGCAAATAGAACACAACGAAAGCATGCGTAAAACGAAAAGAAAGACCTTCGGAATTTGGAAAGAATTGATATACCTGCCCAGAGGCACTCTGTGATTCCAGTTGGCTTCGCAGCTAAAACAAGTCGTTTTTTCTTCCCCAGGAGAACGTGTCCCTCTGGCATATCATATTCTACATATCAGCGGGAATCTACGTCGTGGGAGATGCGGTCTTCGTTTTGTTCGGCCAAGGGGAAGTTCAGCCATGGAACGACCCCGATGTAGTTCCTGAGAAACACAAGGTCATCAGCGATAAGCCTTGAGCCGCATTCTACCGCTCGAGTGAAAGTAATTGAATAAACGAACGTGAGATAATTATTTCATTGAAAGCAACCGAGTAAATCGAGTCGTTAATTAATAATTGCGACTAGCTCCGGGTCCGAGTGATGTCAAAGCGAAACGTTAGAATGCGACTCGGTTCCACGGTGCGAAATGTCAACGCGACGTTCCTAGAGACATAAGACGTCTTAAAGAGAAAGATCCAGCTCTAGTTAGCGTATCTAGAATCTAAGAGCAAGGAACTCTCTAAAACGCAACAACTTCCTTGCGCCTCCTACATGGATATACAAGTTCTCTTCCTTTATCCGGAACATATTTGTTAATAACTCACTTCTAGTGCGCGAGTTCCGCGAAAGGGAAAGATTTCACAATCTCCATGGAAGAAGCCGAAAAACGTGATTCCCCGTCCAAAACAATATTCTCATGCATTCATGGATGCATTCGGCATTTATTGACGGCTGTTTAAGTATGCAAAACAACGTCGAGTAAGTGCTATCGCCTCCCGATGAGATGGCCCGCCGTCTTTACGTGACAACGGGGCGGTATTCTTGTCGCTGTAACAATACATCGAAGACGACGATAAGAAAGTTATCCGATTACTTGCCCTGTATTTCCCAAGATTAAACTAATAAATAGTACAAATGTTTGAAGAAGTATAAATTAACAGGACTTTTATAATAAAAAGGGAGAAAAAAGGGGGATATACGATAACGATAAAAGGCCATTGGAACCCCTACAACGGGAAAATTTCCCTTCTAGATTTCCGTTCGACTCCCCGGAGGCATGCGTCACCTCCAACAATTACCCCGATAAGAAAGCCATCCGATTCCTCGGCAAGTCCATCCAGAAGAGGCGTTCGTGAAGATAGTCGGTGACTCGACTTAATTGCCTATCGCTAGCCGGTCCGATATAAGAGGAGCAGACGTCGATCGAGCGCGACCACATCGCGCGTGTACGTTTATTACGCACGTTGCGTGAACCGTATGTACACGGGAGACACGCGGACACATTCCGCGTACGCGTGTGCGCGCTATCGGTACATACGGGCGTTCCTTATATTTTCTTCTCTTTTTTTTTTATTCAATCCGTATTCCACTCTCCCACGCCCCGCCTGGTAAAATGGAAAACGACATTGCTGAGGCCAGGGCGAGGCGACGGCGGCTCGGCGATTCCCGACTACGTTGAGTTCGCGGTGACCGTCTCGCTAGTATCTTCCGGTCTGTTCCAGTATCCCCAGACGTTTTGGAATATTTCCTCCCCTATCCTGGACGTCCTTGACTACCTCCGATAGGAGTAAAACCCGAGGTTACACACGCCCGATACCGGCCGTCGCCAACTCGGAGGAGCTTAATACGGCCAAGTGTACTTTGCGGCGAAGAGGCGGACGAGCGCCGCGTTATGTACTCATCGGCAGGGCCATGTATAAAAACACGGCCCCTTGATCGTATACCTTTAGTCGATCGAATCCCTCGTTAGTTCAAATTAGGACGTGGAACCACGTCGAGGAGTATACCAAGGAGTGCCTCGAGGTACACGGAGAGGCACCATGACGGTCGGACTCGGGACCAGGAGGATATCCAGGGTGGAGATGATGAAGAGCCCCTCCTGTAAACCGAAAGGTAAGGTACAGTAGGTGAGCCAAAATTGCTGAGCTATGTCTACTCATAAATCCAAATACCTAGTTCCTTCAAGCGACACGTTTACGGGATTTCATTTTCCTTTGTGAGAAATATTTCTGGAGAAAGTGAAGGATTTATAGTCGGTGGTGTTGGTATACTTCTGGATGTTTTGGGCTCAGAAACGTGGAATTCTTTTCGTCAGTTCAGGTGCTCGTGATCGATCGGCGGTGATTAAACGTGTGCATCGATAAAACAAGTACATTGCTGTACTTTCGATTTGAGATAAGAGGATGGTAATGAGCTTGATTGAATTAATTCTTGTTGCATACTCACGAAACCTTATCGCCTGCGATATTGCTCAAGAGGGTGTAGAAGTGTTTATAAATTCATAAATAGAATAATGCATGTTCATTGAGAAGTGTGATATTCCATAAGATGCTCGCTGCAGAGTGCAACGTTCAATCGATGCAAATTGTGCACTCGAGAGATCTCCCTGGACCTAGAAAAAGAGGTTACGCGGCATTATAAAATAATCCTCATCTCCTCGTGATAAATAGCTGAAGCCTTAATTTTAATTTTAAACACTCTGTTCTCGAATCGAGAAGATTCATATAAATGATAAGGGAACGGATTCTTTAATCGAAAGATATATAACGTGACGCAATTAGCTCATACGTTTGTAACTTCTGTTTAGAATAGAAAATCTTGTTTAACGAACGGTGGCGCCTCGGCAGCTGGGTCGCGTTTTCCGGGTGTCTGATTTATTAAGCCATATTTCATCTTACGTTCTGACTCAGGGATGTCAGTCCACTTTGGGGGGGCCGAAATCGTGATAAGAACCAGTGTTATGCAAATGTACAGGTACCTTATCGCTATCCTGAGACGTAGAAATGAAGAATGTCGCCATATCATCGCGCAATCCCGATTTCTATTAATTTCCGAGAAAATCCGAATTCCAAATTTTGGTCTCATCCAACTGACTTTACACAGCTATGAGAATTGTTCGTCTTTTTCCGAAAACGTGAAAGAACATTTGAAGCCAGGAGGAATTCTTACGTGTTAACCGAGTTCCCGAGGGCAAAGAAAAATCCCATTCGTTGGACGAATAGCAAACATGGTAACCGCAATAAAACACATTGATAACGCGCACCTACGCGTTTAGATAAGATCTAATACTGAGAGTCGTACGATGTGACTATTCTTTGGAGTGACGGATTCCGATTTGAGAACCTGTCCCCCCGACAAGTCTCGTTTCGGAACACAACGCACACATTTTAGATAAATTAAAGTTTAAATAATGATAACAAAATGGCCGATAGCAACGAAAGTAACGCCATGTTGCACGGAAAATTTCTGATTCGAAATTCCTTCTCGTATTTAAAAGTGTTTCCTGCAATACCTTTTCCTTCCAAATGCTGCAGTACTTTCGCCAGACGATATATACGACTATATGTAAATCCATGGTTTCCTGTCACAGCTCTGATAGGATGCAGACACGTGCAGATCCTCCTGGCGACGTTGGGATTTCTGTGCTGTTACGCAGTCCGAGTGACCATGTCAGTTGCTCTGGTTGCCATGACCGATCCCAAATCAGCTAATCCGGACTACGAGGTACGGTAAGGTGTCTCCTTATGAACGATACTCCTTCCAAAATCTAGCTTAACTTTCAAAATACTTACATTTAAAAATATCGACTTCGTCACTTTTCTGCCTGCATCTAGGCCTTGGTGCAAAGAATTCATTGGAATTTCACATCTCCACTATTCTCTTGAATTCAGGGATTCCAATGGGACGAAACCACTCGGGGCTACATCCTCAGTTCGTTCTTCTGGGGATATGTGCTGACACAGATCCCAGGAGGCATCGTAGCTCAGCGTTGGGGACCATGCAGACTGTACGGGCTCTCTGTAGGAATTTGCGGTCTCGCCAGTCTATTTGGTCCGTTGGCAGCTCATTATGGTGGATGGAAAGGGCTGGTATTCTGCAGAATAGTTGCAGGCCTTTGTCAGGGCGCTGTACTGCCAACCATTCACACATTACTCTCCAAATGGGTGCCACAAGAGGAGAGGGGCAGACTATGTAAGAGAAACGAGAGTTATACGTTAATGTAAAGAGTTGATTTCTAAGAAGAAAAAGGTTCTTACAAAGCTAAAAGAGTTCCAAGCATTTGAAACAGTTGTGATGCATACATGCATGTACTCTGCATGAACTGCTATCGATGAAGTTAAGATTTAGTTTAATTTTTGTACCTGAACTATCCCAATTGATTGATCCGGTGCAACTGTAGTTTAATCCAATCTTCCGGACTAATTGTCATATCCAACGATCGCGGTGACGCGTTCAGCTGCCTTCCTTTACTCTGGTGGATGGATTGGCAATGTGATATCCCTGCTGAGCTCTGGCGTGCTCGCAGCCTCGGACTATGGATGGCCTAGCTGCTTTTATGTCTGGGGGGGCCTCACCGTACTCTGGTCAATCGTTTGGTGTTTCCTGGGTAAGGATTCACCCGCAGATCACCCTAGCATACCACATGACGAGAAAGAGTACATCGAGATCAGCTTGGGAACTGTCTTGGAGGTTGGTCAGGTAAGAAAGCGGAACAAAGCACTGCAGTAAATAAAGGTAACACTACTTACTAACTTATTGAATATTTTCCAAGGTTCCTTCAACACCATGGCGTCATATGTTGACATCTTCTCCATTTTGGGCTCTTCTAGTTACACAGTGTGCTCAGACTTGGGGCTTTTGGATGCTTTTAACCGAAACTCCACTGTATATGAATGCCATCCTGGGTTTCAATATTCAAGAGGTAAGCGCGTAAATGTAAATACATATTTATTTAGTAGAAGTACTTATGATGAATAATTATTTCAGAACGGATATATGTCTTCTCTTCCTTACTTGACGGCATGGATCCTTAGCTTTCCATTCAGCTTTTTATCCGATTTGCTCATTAAGAAGAGAGTCATTGGTACCGGAATGTCACGCAAAATATTCAATTCCATCGGGCAGTACATTCCTGCAATAGCTCTCATTGGTTTGGGATATGTACGAGCAGATCGGCCCACTTTGGCAGTGACTATTCTCGTATTGGCAGTCGGATCTAATATCGCCGTATACTGTGGTCATCATGTCAACCATATGGATCTTAGTCCAAACTTCGCTGGCACCATGATGGGCGTTATCAACGCTGTAGCTAATGTTTGGGCTATTGCTGCTCCACTTATCGTTTCAGAAATTGTTAAAGAATCGGTGTGTCACAATTACTTCTTTAATGTTTACGCTAATCTGCTTCTTTATTACAAAAGGACTATGTTGTATTTCCTATTTGTTTTTTGCAGGGTAACATTTTACAATGGAGAATCGTTTTCTTCTTATCATCTGGTATTTATGTTGTGGGGAATACCATATTCTTACTTTTTGGAACTGCAAAAGTTCAGAAGTGGAATGATCCTAGTCCAAAAGATGAGATCGTGCTGGAATCAGCCCGACAGACCATTTTAAGCCAACCTGATTTGAATCATTCACTTCCACTGAAAAGTGAAACCACTGAATTGCATAATTGTTCTCAAGACGAATGCAGTGCCGATGATCGTCACTAGCAGAGTTACATATGTCACTTGTATTGTCTGAGATAGGTTTCCAATTGGAACGTCCCACAAATAATCCTCCATACTCTGCAAAAGTAATTAATCCTATGAGGTGTACTGAAGTCATCAATGTCAACTATGCAGGTGTACTTACAAACTCATAGAAAATCTCGAGCCATTTGTGGGATATACTGGTGCAAGGAGAGCACAAGTTCACGACAGACACTCTGTGCTCCTCATTTTTGTTAACACTGCCTATAAAGAGCCTCGGCCGTTGTAGAAAAATTTGTGCATAAGTGCCATTTAGTTTGGCAAATTGATATCGTCGGTGAATAGGAAGTAAGAAAGTAGTACTCGAACTCATATCACTTATAGGAGAACAAATTGTCAGGTTTTGAGGGCCTGCCTTTTCGGTAAATAATTCAACATTTGTTTCGCCCTGAGAGCAACCAATGAGCTAGAAGAACGATAACACATCGTATCATTTCAATCAATTCTAAGTATTTTAAAAATCAAATAAAATATGTGTTTAAATCCATAAAATGCATACTTTGCCAAGCCTTAGAAGACCAGCTAATTCATCTGGATCTACGTACAAGGCCGAGGGTAATTCAAAATACAAAGCAATACAGGAAGTTTCTGTAGAAACTTCATTCACGTCGACGCGGTACTTGAAAGTCCTATGAAAAAAAGAGAATTATTGATAGTATGAATGACCATGCTCTTATGAGTAGATTTCACTTTTTACCTGTGGAACCCAAGTCCTTCAACATGAAGACTGATACTGGCATTTATTCCATTGGCAATTGTCACCCAGTTAAAAACTATGGATATAACCACCATGGCCAAGGTATCGAAAGAACTGAACTCCATAAGGAATACTAGGTTCACTCGACGAGAATACTCAACCAAACAAGATTTCAACTAAACAAATCAATAATGGAATATTTATTTTTTATCTTAACCTGCTTAGCTGTGATTTTGTACCCAAAGTTATATCATTCACCAAGGCATTACAAACATTCAATTTGTACACAATTTATCAATGAATACCGTGAATGGTAATACTACTGAAATGACGGCTAATAAAAATTAACAATCATAAAAACTACTAAACAACACTAGAACCAATTTATACGTATATTCATACGTACAAACCACCCAATATCCGTAAAAGTTTTGTCAATGAAAATTACTATATTCAAGAAGGAAAGTATTCCGCACATTTGATACAAATACAATATTTTGAAACAACCCTTGTAATATTTATTAAAAAATCTCCATCATGTACCATCGATAAAGTGTAGGTTATGTCAAGATTTGAATTATATTCTCTTAGTTTTATTGAATATAAAAAATACTATACCTTCACTAAATCTTGATCGTTCAATTCAGAATGTGCATGTTAAAAATGATCATTAAAACATTTTTTTCAAACAATAAATTTATAAAATATAATACCGGACCGCAGTGTTGCCACCAATCATCCAAGGAGGGAGTAGATTCATCGTAACGGAGTAGAAATTAGCGTTATAGAGATTCCCTGGTTACCATCAGCATAATAAAAATGGCCGAACTAAAATCTAAAATGGCGGATACGGCGGGATATTTGAAATGTTCTTTTTCATTCTTAAATCTGTCATCAGATAGGTTAACTGATGAATGCAAACGTAACCAGAAATGTATTTTTCTACAGTGAGAACTAGACAGATTTCTTCATAGCAAAGTAATTAAATTCATTGTCTCACAGTCAGTTATATATAAATAGTATTTCAGGAATAAAACGAAGTAGAAAACATAGAAGTTGGAGTAGAATAGTAAAATCACATTAGTTGATCTACTCCGATCGGAGCAGTAGTGGCAACCCTGCCGGACCGTGGTGAATACAGTCACAGATTACAGCGATCACAGTCAGTCACAGCTCTCTCTCTCTCTGTCACATCTGGTCACATCCAATGAATGGATGTGTCGCCTCCTTGACCAGTTTTAGCGAGGGATTCGTTTAAATTTGTGTACGACAGCAGTTCGAAACGACAATTCGAAATAGAAGCGGAAATTACGTGTCCTATGCCGCGAATGTTCGGGACACGGAAGCGTGCTGGTGCGGAAACCGTAAAGTTCAAATGACAGGTTCCAGGAAAATAAGTCACTACACTGTTGAAGGTAAGGTTAGGTATTGGTACATCTCAGTTATTGAATTAACTGTTTAGCATTAGATAGAGTGCATTCTGTGTATTTGAACTCGCGCTCGCTAACATGCCCCCACGATCTTTGGAATCGATTTCTGACTCATATGTTATTCTTACAATGTTTGTTCCTCCTTGCAGTGAAGATTTTGACAAGACACTTTATCAGTCCTTCCTATTCCTTTGACAAAGGCTATTGTGTAGTACATTCATGTAACTGAATGTGGATTTTATTTTTAGAACATTTATCGTTTCCGGAACCAAGTCTGTCGGCAGTGGATGTTCCAAGCATTGTAACTGTAATTATACATTCTTGCAGACACTTTATAAGGCAAGCTACATAAATTAGTAAAGTGACACAACATGACAAGGAACGTAGTAGATTGGACGACTCAAGATGTGGCGACTTGGCTTGAAGAGACTGGCAATGGAAAGTTTGTATACCAGTTTAAAATACTACATGAAATTGACGGAAAGGCATTACTCAGTCTTAAAGAGGAAGATCTAAAATCTCAAGAATTGTGTATTAAAAAGATCGGTGACATGAAGAGGCTATACATCAGTATTAAGCAACTACAACGAGATAATGTTTCGTCACTATACGAGCTCGGTCTTTTAGATTTATTTCCTTCGACCAACTTTTATACTCAACAAAGGAACGAAGTAAGAAAACGAAAGATTGTAATTAATATGATTAATCCCATTTTAAATGTAAAATAGGGTACATTTATAAGAGAATTACTATCTTAATTTTATTTAATGTGCCGTAGGTACTAAGTAGTGGCGGTACAATTAATGAAGGATCGATGGAACATGAATTCTATTCAGCTTCTGTATCGGAGGACGGTCAAGCCTCTCATTTACCTCCGGAAATCTGGAAAGCGTGTATTAGTTTGGCATATTTATTCATTGTCACTTGGATTACTGCCTTTGTAATGGTTATTGTTCACGACCGAGTGCCTGATATGAAAAAATACCCTCCATTACCTGATATTTTCTTGGACAATGTTCCACACATCCCATGGGCATTTGACATGTGCGAAGTGACTGGCACTTTGCTTTTTGGCATATGGTCGGTCGTCCTTATTTTTCACAAATACAGGTAAATAATTTCCACAAGCATTTCTATGTTTAGCCTTTTGATATCCACGACGAACGGGTGGAAGTAAAAAAATTCAGTCATGAATTTAGAATCGTCGTACTTCTTTAGAATCTACAAATATGTTCCAGAATGACAAAATTCTAGATATGAAGCATACTAGTTGACATAGATACACTTTCGTACGCATTGCCCTTAATGCTTTGGAAATCCATAGTACAGGTCGTGGGTTGTACAAATAATCACATTGCGGAAGAAAATCTGACTCCAGAATGGAAATGCTCTGGCCAGAGAATAATGTTTCATTAACACAGCCCAATTTTGTGTCAGGTTCATTTTATTGCGGAGGTTTTTTGCGCTATCTGGCACTGTCTTTCTCCTGAGGTGCGTAACGATGCTTATAACCTCACTATCAGTGCCAGGTGCACATTTGCAGTGCCAGCCACGACCAACTTCTGAAGAAAGTTGGACAGGGTGAGTACACCGAATTGTGCTCAAAACAAATATTTATAAAAACTTCAATGTACCTTCTATTTATTTAAATAATATTTGATTGCAGACCTGCCTATCGAGAATTGTACAATAAAATTGCAATGGCTTATGTCATTTGGAGAGGTGCTGGTATGTCCATTCAGGGTGTTCGGACATGTGGAGACTATATGTTCAGTGGTCATACGGTGGCACTGACTATGTTAAACTTTTTCATCACAGAATGTAAGTCTTGGTTATCATTTCCAAAATTAAAAAAAAAAAAATCACCGCTGCAGTATATCTCCATTCAGTCAATTCACATGTTGACAGCAAAAGTTGATTAATTCTTTTCTCTGCTTTAGATACGCCGAGGCATTTGTATTTCCTACACACATTCACGTGGATGCTCAACATGTTTGGGATATTTTTCATCCTAGCCGCGCACGAGCATTACTCCATCGACGTTTTTGTCGCCTTTTACATAACTTCAAGGCTCTTTCTCTACTATCATACTTTAGCAAATAATCAAGCGCTCATGCAGCGGGACTCGAACCGTACTAGAATTTGGTTTCCTTTATTCAGCTTTTTCGAATCGTCCGTGGACGGAATAGTCCCGAACGAGTTTGAGTCGCCTTCTGTAATAATTTGTAACATAATCGGCACCATCAAAGACACCTGGCAGACCTTGCGAACGTGCGCGTATTTTGAAAAACCTTGCGTCAATGCCGACTCGAATGGCACAAAAAAGAAACTTTAACGTTACCTCAGCAGACGCCACTTAGGTTCTACAAATTCTCCTGGCTTCTGAAAAAGGAAGGGAAAAAGAAATAAACAATTGTACAAATGGGGCTCCTAGTGAAATGCTTAGATCGTACGAATTATTTTCGGAAAAGATTGTAAAAGATTATCAAGCGGTATATATATATATATATATGTGTATAAATGTAAATCTTCGCTAAGCGAGATCCATCAATCGGCGAGAATGTAACCAAATTGTATCTTTTTTTTTTTCTCCCACTCGGATGGAAATAATTCCGTTCTTCCGAAGTATGCGTTCAAACTAAACGAAACCAAAGTCTTTACACGTTTAACAAATCCGAGCACTTTTTTTCTACTGGTGCTCGATAGACATGCGCGTATATTTACACGTACTCCAGTACGTCGCGATTACACGCGTTTTGTAAGCTGTTACTTTTTAGCCGTTTGATATTATTTTTGACACATTTTTATATGTATATATACATATTTATATATCTCTCCCTATATATAACGTGCGTATTGCCATGGTCCACTCGGTAGGCAACTCAAAATACAAATGTACGACTATCGGCATTCTAATTTTGTACTTATATTGTAACGTTGGTGCGGCAATGATTCTGATAAGGAACTCTCGGTTCTGATTACGGAAAGGTCATTTGTCTGTTTACGCGTATTTCCCTGAAAACAGTGTTCAATGACATGGAGGAACTAGATTTGACGAAGTCCGTAAATTGGAAAAATCTAATATTATATACATACACATTAAGAAAAACAAAAAAAAAAGAAGATACAGAGATTAATTTTTACGAAATTTTATCGGTAATATGTATTTAAGATGTTAACATAAATTGGCAATTTTTTAAGAGATAACTAGCAAACGGTTCTCTTGAAGACGGAATATTTGAATCCTGTATTTTGTTAGTAAAATGTCATTCGTATCAGGAATTCGACGGTGAGGGACGACAAGGTTTATTAAAATCAATGCATTGTTTGCACCCTTCCCCAAACTATAAGACTTCGTTAGGGTCTTCGTGCTGTTACTTTGTGATATGACGTATAATTATACTTTCCCCTTAGCCGATAATATAAGATAGTTTTCCAGAGTATTTCCTTAAGTTAATGATTTCGCGAACAAACTACTCGTAGAATCTTCCGCCGCCGGTAGAGTTCGACTGTACATACCGAAAACTTGTATAAAGGAAACGAAGAAAAGACAAATTAATGTTTCCGCGTGAATTGTAATATACGTACCTAATTGCTATATTAAAACCTAGTAGAGTGATTTTCCTAACGCAGTATTGAAATATTATTTCGTAAATGAAGTTACACGGTAGTCGTGTGCTTAACTCTCATACTTGGAAGATGCAAACGACTGAGGGTTACACATTATTTATTTTTATACCGTGATTTAACTCACGGGAATTACTTTTGATTAATTGTTAAATACATTTCCAGCAATTGCCGAATCGTACTTAGGTTCGGGCTTAGAGGGGAACAGCCGAAGAGAGCTAATTTTTATTCAGTAACTAACAATGTTCGCGTCCCGGCGACTCGTATCCATGTAAATATTTGTATAAAATTTGAACAAATTTTGATAAGCCAGCATTATAGAAGGTTCTTCTCGTTTAAGAGAGATCCAACTGCTGAATAGCGGAATCTTTATGCCGGATTATCTTAATTCCATTCTACTTAATAAAGAACCGTAATTAAATGTATCGACTATTGTGCCCGTTTTCGTTCGTATGATTTATCGCTTAATTAAGGTAATTAAGACCGACTTGGCGACTAGGTATAGGTGCATCTTCGAAATTTAAGTTTCGCCCGACTTCTTGAGTGGTATTTCGAGTCTATTCTAGTTCGGTTATATAATTAAACGCAAACCCCCCGACGCCTAGCAAGAGCTTTCAGTGCTGCAGTACAGTAAGCGCCATATGCGCGCATCCAGGTCTTGCGACGCCTCTTCCGATTTAATTAATTTCCGCTAGTACATAGCTTACCTCTAAATATTAAATAACGATAAAAAAAAAATTAATTGTTCGTAGGAAGCCGAATCAACGCGATACAAGTGGGCATTAAGCGTACAACCAGGTCTTGCGACTCCTCTTCCGATTTAATTAATTTCCGCTAGTACATATATATTAATTTGAAATATTTAATGAGGATAGAAAAATATTAACTATCCGTAGGACTCGATGGACTGTAATTTCACATAGATCCAGTTTTTCGCCGAATATTAAATCGTCAAGCAGTGTTCTTACATATGTTAACGAGTGCAATTCTTAATCGCACCGAGTTGTAATGAGGGTAAATTAGGAGTGGCTTATTACAAGGCGTTGCCGCTGTCGTGGAAAGAGGCCGATAAGAGGCCTCTAAAGCGTAATCCCGCATTATCTGGTAATTCCTGTCGAAATCTCGAGCATATACCTCCGGCATGTCCCGATCCTACCATTAATATAATGACTACAGGAGAGGAGCTATTAAGAACAGTGATCGCCGTGCCGGAGCCACATTGATAACAGGGATGACTTCGGCTGATAATACCGGGGCCACCTGTGCCCTTTGCGGGGACCCTGCGACACTCAGGTGCTCGAACTGCAGACAGCAATTTTACTGCAAGAAGGACCACCAGAAGGAAGACTGGATGCGGCACAGGATCTTCTGCAGGGTCTGGGAGATAAGGGAAACTCCGGAGCTGGGACGCCACCTGATCGCTACGAGGGATCTCGCTCCTGGGGAGATCGTCATCACGGAAAATCCCCTCACCTGGGGCCCGGCTCTTCACACAGGTGAAAGGGTCTGCGTGGGCTGTGGAAAATCAAACGCCACCGCCAGGTGTGTCAGGTGTGCCTGGCCTGCTTGCTCCCAGAAATGCGAAGGACTCCTAGACGACGACAGACACGGCGCCGAGTGCGCTCTTCTTGAAAAGGCCAGGATCATCCCCAGGTATGTATGTGGATCTCCCTTTTCGGAATGTATAATTGAATCTGAAAGACAATTTATTAGGAAATTTATTTACTTCAACCCTTTCATCCGATCTCGTTGGCACTTGCCAAACGACGATGTGTCGTTGCTCGGCACTGAAAGGGTTAATTATTCCTATCTCTTTGGCAGTAGCATTTTTATTCCAGGTTCTTTTTATTTATTTTTCATAATTATTGCAGGTGCGACGTGCTCCTGGTCCTCCGCGTGCTGCTGCTCAGGCGCAGGAGCCCGAAGAAGTGGGCTCTTCTCTCCTCCCTGCAGAGCCACGAGGAGGCCCGAGGTCCTGGAACCGAGGCTCACCAAGAGATGCAGGAGGTCGCTCGTGCCCTAGGTCCTCTGTTTACTCTGGACCCTTCTTCTCGGGAAATTCTACCTAAAGTCTGCGGCCTCATCGACGTCAATGCGCTCGAGACGAACCCTCCTCAAGGATGCGCTGCGCTTTACGAGGTCGCGTGTCTTCTGGAGCACCGTTGCATCTCTAACACCAGACACGGGTTTTCGATAGACTTTAAAGGGAGACCCTGTATCTCCGTGACCGCGGTTACATCGATTAAAAAGTAAGAGATCGTTTATAATAATTGAATATTTTGTATATTTCTCACATAGCTTGAAAAAAATCCTGGGAGTCAGGAAAATGTTTAATGGTGGGGCTGCAAAGTATCCATTCACTTTTTAGAGGCGAACACCTGAGCGCCACGTTTTTAATAATTTAATATTTCCCATGTTTTTCATGCAGCTTAAGGAAAATCCTGGGAGTCAGGGAAGTATTGAACGGTGGGGTTGCAAAGTATTTATTCACTTTTTAGAGGCGAACACCTGAGCACCACGTATACACACGCATTATGGGCAACCAGAGCAAGAAGGGACCATTTGATGGCCACGAAATACTTTGCGTGTCGGTGCGAGCGGTGCGCGGATCCGACCGAGCTGCAGACCCATCTAGGGACCCTAGTATGTCCCTGTGGGCCAGGACTCGTCCTGCCGAAGGATCCCCTAGACTCGGAGACCGAATGGTCATGTACATCTTGCCCTGGGGTGTTAACGTCCGCGGAAGTCGCGGACTTGACGTGCAGACTCGGCGACGAGGTCGAAACCGCCATGAGCAACGCCAACGAGGACACCTTGTCGAGCCTCCTGTCCAGGTATTCATTTCTTATTTTATTCCCTCCTTACGGTACATTAGGTCGTGCCCGACAGGTGTAATTAAAGATTCGCGCAAAATGTTTCGAATGGGCAATAATCGAATTAGTAGTGAAACTTCAGCCCGCCGCGTCCGTTGTAAGGTGAACCGTTTTGGTGTAAGTTTTGCATATCGTGTTAACCAATTGAATGTGTTCAGGCTGAAGGTGTTACTACATCCTGGACATCAACACTGCATAGCCGTGAGCCACTCTTTGATCCAGTTGCTGTCACCAAATGACCCGCAGAAACCCGATACGTGTAAGCGGATCGTCGAAACCACCACGAGGATCGATCCTTACGGATCTCGACTCGCCCTTTACACGGCCATAGCTCTTCGGGAACTCGCTTCTTGTCCTGGAGAAGACAAAAAGGCTCTCTTGTCCCGGGCCGTGTCGCTCTTGACGCCCGAGCCTAAGGACAGCCCTGGGGGGAAACTCTTGAAATTGATTTCCGGGGAGATCTCGAAATGACGGCGTCCCTTAGGGTTAGAAAATTCTCGGTGACATAAAATTGAAAAAGGTAACCGCGAGACATATTTCAAGTAACTTAACAATATCGAGAATTTATGAGAACGTTCATTTTTTATTTTATTATTTTTTTTTTTCACTTATACTTTCGGTTTCTTCGTTTGAATAACGTTTTCCACGCGAAGTACAAGCTTTAGAGCGATAAATACTGTCAGAAAGTAATTATTACAGGGTCTTATTTATTTCCAGGCAAAATCGTTCATTTGTTTCGTTATCGCTTTGTTTGAAAACGAGCCGATATTTCGTACTTGGAATTTTTTTTATCGTTTTTCGCGTAACTTACCGTGTTTTCAACTTTACGTCCCTTGGGCAGCTTTTCGCGCCAAATACATTTTTGCCTTAAGGTCGCCGAATTTTCGCACGAGTTCTTTTCTTCGATTAATTATCTCTAATAACGAGGAACGTGTATAAAAAATACTCTATAAAAAATGTAATACTTGAATCATGGGGAATAAGGACCTCGCGGTATCTTTACGGTGCCGATGCCGATGTCCTTATTTTCGCGATTCGCCGTGGTGACGTCGAAATTGTCCTTTCTCGAGAACCAGTACTTCAGCCAGGAAACCAGGGACAGAGTTTCGTTTAGAAACGCGTAGAGAAACGGATTAACGGCCGCGCCGATGAACGACAATGTCGACAAGACGACCTGCAAGTGCCACCAGAACATGCCGCTCAATGTCACGTTCAGTTTGTAGAGGAGGAATATCCAAATCGGAAGTCTGCACACGGCGAAGACAATTATCAGGAGAAGAATCACTTTGATGATCCTCTTCTTCCTAAGAACATGTGCCGGGCAGACCTTCTTCCTCTTGCTGGCCGACCCTGACCGACTGACACCTGTTGAGGCTGAGAAGACGTCAAACTTGACTCGAGAATATGACCTCTCCCCCAAGGATCTTCAATTTATTAATCTATATATTTTTAATTTAATATCTTTAAGAATCTTTAATATATTAATAAACCCGCAATTTATTAATATATTAAAATAGAGTAAGGTGTAAAAGGAAATCAGCTCGGCGAATTTACCTGTCGCCGATTCGGTGATTTGCGAGTCGCCGGTCGCGTGTCGCGAGTCCCCACCTGGATTTCTTCTCTCCCAGATGTTAAACGCGAGTAACAGGTGGATCGTGACGAAAGTAATCCCCAGTGGAAGGAAAATCACGGCGAAAAGTATCGTGTAAATGGCCGTGCCGGAGGATCGGTCGACCACGCATAATTGCGACCTGTATTTCGGGAATAATGTCGATTACGCACCTTAATTGTATGCCGATGTGAGTAGACTATGAATGAGAGTACCTGTAACGAGAGGATCCGTTGATTACGAGGATCGTGTACGTCTTGTAGATCCGTAAAACCGGGTACGAAGTCGCTGCAGCGATGCACCAGATGAGGAGGACGAAGCCGACTGCGCACGGCCATTTTGTCATCACCGACGACGGGAAGTTCGACTTCATCGAGCTGTACCTTTATTATCAAAGTGGAGCAACCGATTGACTGGAATTTCCTTTCGGTGGCTGTGATAATCATCATTTGATGTCAATTTACCTGTCTGCTGCAATTCCTGCCAGGGTCAAGGAGCCAACCAGCACTGCAACTGTTTGCAGGTACGGCAAAACCGTGCACATGCATTCCGGAAGTAACCACAAGATGATGCCTTGTCGGGCGACGGTCAGGGTGTTCAAGCCGGAAGTGGTCAGCAAGAGGACATCCGACATGGCCATTGATAAAAGAGCCCCCCGATAAAAGATCTTCAAAGCCGCATTTCGGTACTCGGCGCGATAAATGCGCCACACGACCCCGAAATTTGCGACCACCCCCGCGATAACGATCGGCCAAATAAGAATCTGAAACGCTACCCTCGTTTCCGGATCGAAGACAGTCAAATCGGATTCCGGGATTCCGAACATTTTCCGACAAATCGCGAGCTTGCAAATGTCCGTACACTGAACCAGTTAAGCAGCTATTACCAATTTTTTTCCTTCGTTTTTATTTAATGGCAGGCATCGACCATCTCGATCGTTAGCCTATTAATTGCCTAATTAAATCCCGGAAAAATTCACACCACCAGAGCGCATGTTAAATCATCACTGGACTCCTTGCAAAAGCAGCTTCGATGAGTTTGCCAATGATTTCTTAATGAAATATCGGTACACCAAACCAGTGAAGCGGATTTCTTCTTTGACATTCAATGATAGGCTCAGACCTTTCGATCGTTATTAATAGATAAATTAAATCCTGGAAAAATTCACACCACCGAAGGGGATTTTAAATCATCACTGGACTCCTTGCAAAAGCAGTGCCGATGAGTTTGCCAATGATTTCTTAATGAAATATCGGTACACCAAACCAGTGAAGCGGATATTAGGAATTTTTTCTTCTTTGACATTCAATGATAGGCTCAGACCTTTCGATCGTTATTAATAGATAAATTAAATCCCTGAAAAATTCACACCACCGAAGGGGATTTTAAATCATCACTGGACTCCTTGCATAAGCAGCGTCGATGAGTTTGCGAATATATTCTTAATTAATTGCGCCGTCAATTTTGTAGCATTACGGCCAGTCGGTCGAGTTTTCTTATTTCGAGAGAAATCGCTCGTTCCTCCTCCTTTTATCGCCGGGGTCCCACGTTTCATAAATAATTCCACCTCTGTCAACAATCGGGCGGATCGATTTACCGATCAGGGCGGCATTATCGGCCAATTTGTACACGTTTCACCAGGCCGATAAGCTGAATGCCCAATAAACCTACAGTGTACCGAATTTCCCTGCGGCGAGTCGAGAGGCGCGACATAAACCGGTAAATGATCAAATTATTCACAATCGGGACGTTTATTGAGCAATCAGCCCAGTCCGACGAAGTCCGGCCGATTGGCCGGACATCTTCATGGGGCTGCTGATCGATCGGGAATCGATCTTCGATCGGAAGACCCGAAGAATTACCCTCGACGACGAGCGGCCACTTACTGGGCCCTAAGGGGCGACATGGCCGCCTATAAATTCCCGACATGTTAAAAATCCTCCTGGACGACGAACAACCTACCACTGGCGATCCATTAGCTTCGATTTTGCATACATGCGAGTTGATAACTCGGACTCCAGACGAAACGAGACAGAAGGCCTCGACAGATGGCAAACTCGAGAGTGTTTGCTCGGATCGGCTCTGCCGGTCGCGATCGCAATTTTGAAATTTCTTTTTCTCCCTTATATCCCGAGGAATGAAAAAAAAAAATTAATAAATCCGAGGGAGACCTTCGACATTCACGAATGATTGCACTAATTGAAACGGATAGGAAAAGTAAAGGTGCATTATTAATTGGATTTAAGTACTCCTGGAAAAGGAAAAAAAAAGGAGGATTGTGATAAAAAGAATGAGATACAAAAAGTTAGCGGGGAACTTTATATTTTCGCTTAGAATAATTGTAGGTGTCGAATTTTTATCAATAGAGGGAATTCCAGTAAAACGCCGAGCGAAGGGTTCTTCTAGCTGGTAAATGTATATTCACTTTTGTCGATTATACAACTGGGTGTATGTGGAATTGTTTTTCTTTTTTTTTTTTTACTTCAGAGGAATTAAAATCGTAGGAACACGGCGGTCCTCTTCGAGGAGAAGTGCACCTCAGTGGGCTAGTAGTTGTAAATTATTATTAAATGTCCCTCAATGCTTAAGGTGTAATTGTACAAAAGTGAGGAAATGTAATGGCCGGGCGTGATATCGTCTGCTGATTCGAATGGCGATTGATATAGTCCTTTATGAAAGTGAGCGGTCAATTCGTAAATTCATTAATTCGTAGACTTGAAGTAGTACCGATATCTGCGAGTAAGGCACGAGATATTAAATTACGCTCGCGAAAGTGCAATGGCGATTAACCCGTTGACAAAGGATTCAACGTGAGAGATCGGAAATAGTCGGGATCGAGTAATCGCAGCCAGCTTATTCTAAGATCTTAAGTAACCTAATGGAATTACTTAAGGCAAGAAACGTAAACTTTTAGAGGCATTGAGAGGAATTACTTTAACATGCGATAGAAAAAAAAAACCAGCCGCTCGTCGTATATATAATAATAATTAAAAAAAGAAAAATAGAAGAAACTCATAAAAATCCGAGTCGGCACCTTTCTAAATGCACAATTCCGCTGGAAAATCTTTCGAGGTACTTTGCAACTACCCCGAAAATTATGATTAAAAAAAAAGTTTTCGCTTAAAGCGAATCGCAATTGCGAGGGCAATGTGCTCTTCGATAGGACGACAAATGCACCGCAGTGGATCTGGAATTAATTACCTGGCCGTAATTTCGGTAATTGGCCGAAGGTCGATAAAAGGCGCTCTTATCACGTATCGATACGCGCAACCGTACCCCCTTTAAATGCAAAATTAATTCGGAGATCCTCGTGACTCATTTGAGGTTCACGAACCGGAGCCAGGCATACAAACATACATACATACATACACGCATATGTACAAGTACCCGGGGCCGAACATTGCTCGCAGCTATTCCTGATTTAATAATAGCCTATACCCGGAGACGAATCGCGGGATAAACCTGGCGATGTCAAGGTTGACAGGACTTCCTCGTCCTGACACCTAGGAGCGGATATGACAGGAATTGGCCTTGCACCTGTGCGGTGATCTGGATGACATAGGCCCTGCCAGGTTGCAGCTTCCTGACAGTAAATGGCAGCGCTCTGTCCGTTGGTGGGCTAGTCTTCTCCTCGCACAATTCGTAGGTGTACTCCGATCTTCGACGGCGATGCAATCCGCACTGGTCCGGGACCGTTGTTATCCCATTTGATAACATGGAACCCCGAAGTTCCCGGACGAGGACGCAGTACTTGGCCGCTCCCGCAGGCTCGACCCCAACGGTCACCTCGTGGCACTTCCTCAGCGACCTGTACTCTCTGGGTGGACTTTTCGACGGGACCTAAAACGTCAGAAAGGCATTAAAACGGCCCAACACCTCAAGGGATGAAAAACAATCCGTGCGAGTGACATAGTTGACGAACAGAACCCGCGGCAGTTCCGAAACTCGGCTGAGTTTCGCACCAAGTGCATTATTCGGGATTTTTATCAGTGCATGTAAAGTGATGTAAATTGGTAAATCCAACCTCGGGATAGACGATGGACCCTTCCTGGGCCGCCAGTACCTTGACAACGGACACTCTGACCAATTCTTGAGGAGTCGCCGATATTCGTAGCATGTACCTCTTCCCAGGTGATACCGCGGGTGCTGTCAGGGACGCGTGCCCGACGACCTCTTTTTCCTGGGAAATGTGAATCCGTTTAAGCGACAAGTACATCATCTCACATAGGTATCAAATATTGTCCCTCGTACCTTCAAGAATCCAGGGCCCCTCAGTTTAGCGCGCACGATTCCGCCCCCACAGGGTAGGACATGAAAAATCGTGGAAGTGTTGTCTTTCGGCCGGTACCGGAAATTGATGTAGCCGTCGTTTCTCCTCAAATTTGCGATGGCATAACGACCAATGCGGAGGGTTTGTGCGGGAGTCTTGCGGAATTTGTGAGCCTCCGAAGCCGCGCGACTCGAGACGTTATTCCGCATGCTGACCTGGGGTCGGGGGGTAATTCCAGTTTTAGGTGATTAATTAGACTTTTCTACGTTTCTTGGGGACTTACCACGTAGAGGGTGAAGTTGTAGGTGGTGTTGTACTTCATGCCGTGAAGAGTTAGTCTAGTTTGTCGAACGCAGTGCAGACCTTCGGGGACGCCTCTATGCTGATGCTCCCTCGAAGAGCCACCCCTTGTGGGTCTTGGATGAACTCTTAGGGTGTTCTGTGCGGCGCAAAGTGTTGGGGGGTGCCATTGCGAGCCCGATGTTACCGCCAAACAGTAATCCGACAGATGAGGATCCACGTGGCTGCGAAAATACACACCGCGGTAACCTTTATAGCGAGTATATCGACTAAAAATAAAGCCGGAGGCACCGCGTCTGGCCGCGACGCGACAACACGAAGAAGATACTTCCCGAGCCAGACTTCACTTCCTTCTCGGATAAAGTAGTGGGGAAATGCCCTCGAAACGATCTATTACCTCTTGCTCCAGGATACGGTCAGACGGCGACGACTTCGACGCTGCTGGAACCGCAGAGAGTGATGGCGTCTCCCCTTCGCGTCCTCGTAGGGTCCTGATAGGTCTAACGAACTCGTTGTGGCGTACAATAGCACGGTGTCTGATCGTTCAGATTTGGAATTTCCATCCCCCTCGGGTATCGACTTCATCTCGAAGCGGTACAAGCCAGCTCGTGCCCTGGGGATCGTGAAGTTCTGCGCTTCGACCCCTTCGTACGTAAAAAGAGGAGAGCCTGGCACCAGCGTCTTCACCGGCCATCTTGTCTGTGCTGTTTAGCAAGGTCGGATTAATTTTCCAATTAGTGGCCGAAATAACTGAAATTAATTCCACGGTCAATGGGGCGTGGGTTTAATTAATTTGCCGCTTAATGATTTGGCTTTTGATTTTTCTTGACAATCGGTGACCGATTAGGGGGCGAATTCTGGTCTCGTCTCTTCTGACTCAGACGCCTAGAGGTCTGGGGAAAAATGTCATAATCGCGTCTGGAGGGTCCATTATTTAGGGCCGACATGGACTTTTAGTTAGCCGAGTTACCTTGACAATTTTAAATTCTATATCCAGCCCCGACGTCGGAAATAGAGACGCCTCACTGGCTGTGCTCGGTCTAGATGGCTTGGAACAGTGGTATTCACATGCGGTGACTTTTGAGCGAATTACAAATCCTTCTCCCGAGAACCGTGAAAAACAGGCATTGTTTAGACGACCCCCGTTTTTTATCCCACTGGTAATAATAATTCCTGAGAGGTTGTCGTCCGCGGAAAAAAAGAAGCGCGGTCGAGTCTCGCGACAAGTACTTTTTCACGTGCGAGACGGTCCAGGCCTTGCAATAATTACAGCCATTTCGGGAATTTTGGGGGATTGTTATTAATTGTCGGGCATGTTTTTAGCTTATCTTTCTTGGGTTTAAAAATTCTTACGATTGCTTGGGTGGGTCTCTTATATTTTTCTGAGCACCACTGTGTCGGGGTGGGTGGGTGACGCGTTAAGCGTTTGACACGATACGGTATACGTCTGGACGGTTTACTTTACGTTGCAATAAAGTGGGCACAGACAGTACACGCGGCCTGTACATAGTTGCAGCATGTGGTTTTTGACAGTTCTTCAGGCGTAAAAGTTACTGTCTGGCACTGGGCCCAACCATGGCCAACATCCTTTTGGTAATTGTCGCGCACGTAAGAACCCACTTCTTTCTCCTCCTCTCTTCCAGGACGATACCGCTAATGCAGCTAATTTTAACGAGACATGTCTTTCCTCCTCCTGGCCACTTTTTTCCCGTCATTCTGCCGCACTTATCCCCTTATTTCGCGTTTTTAAAGCCCTACTTACTCGCGGTCGCCGGTTTTCAGGAAAGGGTCTCTATACCAATTTTATCGAGGGGTTATTCCACTCCGGAAGTCATGGATTTTAATGGTTCATTTAATGAAATCACGTGGAAATCAGCTGAAACATTGTCAGAATTTTAAGGCCCAGCGCCATTGTTATCGGATCACATTGTTGATGATATGAAATCAATGGCAATCGATTCGCAAATAAGGAAATCGTTTCCATTGATTTTCTAGTGAACTTGACTTTTATACTGAGAATAATTATCGGAGTAAATTGCAGTTCACTTACATTTAGCCCCCTCGGATTGTTGACCATCCTCTGGGGGGCCGACGTAGCTGACCGTCCAGGAAATGGGCCCACTACAGGGACTCACCAAAAGCGTCAAAGGTGGGCCTTCTCGGGGACTCAAGTAGTAAAACCTGAAAAGATTTCATCTGCATCCAGTATGATATTTTCATTCAAAAGCAGTCAAGGGTGAAAAAATAGTAAATTGCGAGCCGTCGTTGTTCTTTTCTGTATTTCCTTTCGTGATTTTTGACTCTCACGTGAGATAAACCAAAAGGGTGCATCCTCGGTGAGATTTAGGTTGAAACGTGTAAACGTACTTAGTGGCGGAGAGTAATCGCTGTTTAATGATCGGCGATTTGTCTCTGCCAGAGCTCCGGGGAATTTACAGCCGAATTTATAGGAATGGACCATTGACCTCCACCTTCCGTTCAGGAGGAGATACATTGACTCATTTGTTGGCAAACGTTTGCTTCTCCTGTCAAACCCTGTCAAAGGCATTTTACTGATACGTCGGCGAGACCGTTAGCCATCTTGACTATTTGCGTCGAGCTGGAAATGTTTGGACTGTAAAGTAGAACCAAAACATTCGCGCAATTCTACTTGCGAGCTCCCATGTCTGTTAAGGTGGTGTGAAAGGGCCATTCTATGTAACAAAACGTCAAAATATTTATAATTTATCGAATTATTGGCAATTTCATCACGTGACTACGAAGGCCCTAAGAAAGAACGCGATGCTAATGAAATTTCAATTAATAAAAAAATTTTTTTCATCATCCCAGACTAGAACCAAGAGGAATATATATTTTTAAGACATGAAATTTCACGAGCACCGCGTTATTCATTAGGGCCTTCATAATCTTGTGATGAAGTTTCTAATGACTCGGTGCACCCGGTTTGGCTGAGTTTTATAAATATTTTTACGTTATATATAGAATGGCTCTTTAATATCATCTTAACGTTTCAAGGGGAACAAAGATGGAGAATAATCGTCGATAGTCTTAATCTTTGAGGTTCTTGAGGTTCCTGAAAAATATCCCAGCGAGCTACGGGTCGGAATAGCCCCGTTAATTATAAATTCGCTCAAAGGCAAGAACACGTGGACATTGTTTTCCGAGCACGGGGTTAAAAAAAGGCAAAACGCGGCCGATACTCGAAAAAGCCCGGTTTCGCCGTCACAAAGGCTCCTCAGAAGTGAGGAAGTAAAAATCCGCAAGAGTGGCGGTTTATTTTAATCCCTTTAATGTTTGTTTCGGCCGAACCCAACGGAATCGGGCAAACCATACGAGAACCATGTGGCCCAGTTTAGTAAACGGTCAAACGCAAAGACCGGAGTTCAGACACAAAGGGACCCCCCTCGTGGAAAGAGAGGGGAAAAACGTAAAAAACCATACCAGTACGTAAAACGGTGTGCAAAAGTCGGAAAGGAAACCTCCCAGCAGAAAATCATAACCTTCCTATACAGATCTATCTAATAGAAACCGTACAAAATTCTAATTCACGGCGTGCACCAAAATGGCGGCCGGTGGCGTCCTCGACTACCGCTCGAGGCGGGCATACGCTGAATATTTTCCAAACTATTAGGTTGAAAAATAAGTTCCCGCCGTTTTTAACGTAACGTAACGTAATTATAAAGCCGGGGACTTATTTCTCAACCTAATAAAAATCAATTTATTCAACCAATTATATGAACAGAAGCTAAAATCCGGGTGCCATGACCTCTCGGAGAGAAATACTTTCCAAACTAAAAACCGATTCTCTTAAACCAATTATACCAATCGAAACCCACATTAACTAATTATCACGAGGATAGCGAGAACGTGAATGGTAGAATAAAAAATAATGAACATTGCAAATCGCAGAAAATTTAAGGAGAGGGGAAGATGCAATAAAGTCCGGGCGCCATAACCTCTGAAAGGAAGGAGAGAGAGAATCGAGCCTCTCGCGTCGCGGCGTCGCAGGAAGTCGCGGCTTGTCGCGGCGTCGCGGCGTCGCGAGTCTCGGGGTGCGTCCCGCGCCTAAACGGCAGCGTGCCGAGGAGCGTCGGCGGGCGTCGGGACGCCGCACGTGCTCGCAGTCAGGCCGGCTATTGTAAAATTAGCGTCGGGACACAATGCCGGCGTCGCGGCGTCTGGGGTCGCGTTCGCGACCCCCGTGCTAAATCCAGCGCCGACTTGTCTCAAAGCACGAATTGATTCTGTCATCCGACACAGACCTCTCCCCCCCTCCTCCGCCTCTCTTTCCCTCTTTGCGGGTTCCATGGAACCCATTTGATAGCGAGATTTTATGGCGCGTCGCGTCATTTGGTCCACCCGAGGGGTGCAGTCGCGCGCCGCCCCCGATCTCGGAGACCGACGCCGACCTCGACCTCCGTCGAGTCGACTCGGCACCAGGGTGTGTAAGTATAATACGTCAAGTAATATACGTGGTTTTCTACACGTATATTACAACGTATAGTACGTCCCTAGTTTTCTACGCAGGCACGAAGTATATTACCTCAAACTAAATGTGCAAAGCGCATGCGCAAATCATACCTTGGAAATTTCAAATCTATGCATATATGTGCGTTTGACGTTTCTTTATAACGACTGGTAACGGCTGTTTGAAGTCGTAAGATTCGTAAACAATATTTGTATCGAAATGTATTAAGGTGGAAGAGCAAAAAGTAAATTATGGGATGAAACTAATGGACAAGATGAATGTTTATAATCTAGCGGATACCACATGCTCTACGTCTGTCTTGTCCGCCATATTGGATACGTTTTCTCCTGGTTTTCTACGGTTTCTGCGGTAAACTACTTGATTTACGTAATATACGGGAAAAACCTCGAAAATCGTGAAATTACCTAACCTTGGTCGGCACCTGACCTCCTTCAAAGAATTTTGAAGTCCCATAGAAGCCCAGATCCTATGTTAGCGCTTGATGCTCTAAAAGTTTGCGAACAACCCAGAAGTGGGGGTAAAAGAGAGATCGCATGTGTTAGCCAACGATATCTCACATACGGGAGGAAGAGGGACGCATATAGAAAGGCGAATATTGTGGGTAAGATAAAGAAAGAATGCAATTCGCTATGTATCGCCATAAGATTAAGAGAGATGGAGGGATGATTACAGCGCCGCCATCCGTTGGCTAACATACTATTTGTCGAGCATCGAACGTCCGTATCCTTCTGGGCTTCTATGGAGACTTCTGAATTCTTTGCCTCCGCCCACCCCACTTCGACCACGTAACATAACCTAAAACTACCCTGGGACGAAAAATTGTCATAGAACCAGAGAACAGTAGGGAATATTTTCTCTATCAGAAAAATTCCCTCAAATTGGAATAAATAGGATGCAACGCGTTTCTACGGGATTACGACGATTTATTGAAGCTTATTTAGGATTCTTTAATTTTTCCAAATTATTCATATCGACAACACATTCATTTCGCACTCTTCGAAGAAATATTTCTTCGGCTCGATGACAACTTTCTACTGGTCGCAAAAAGTCATCTACAACGGTGACCTCAGATTTCAAGATCTCAACTGTACATTTTTACCCCGCGAAAGAAATATCAATAACCAAAGAAATGTTGCAAGCAATTTATTCGAGTTTGAGTCAAATAATTATTCCATAAATTAACAAGTTACTTCTTTCGTTCAATAAATTTTTTTTCTCAGGGTAGACGCGCATTAATTTCATACTTGAGTTCCATCATATCATAAATACGTATTATTAGGGTTTTACGGCGTTTTTATTATTGTCTGGGGTAACGCGCTTTTGGTGCCGAGATTTAGAGAACGTTCGGAAGGGTGAGAGATTTTCGAGGCGCTTGGAACATAACCTAGAAACGCGCCAGGACCGTTGTTGGAACCGTGCTGGAACGCATCGATGACTATATAGTATTAACTCCTTTGCACAATAAGGAAGTATGAAAAAGAGGGTCCTTATCACCAAATTTCAGGCTGAATGATAGTGACCAGTAAAATTGAGCGTATATATACGCTCCGGTGATAGTGACCAGGAAAACTGAGCGTATATATACGCTAATGATGCAAATGGGTTAATAAGTGAAGTTCGAACGTCGCAGAGGGCGCCATCTTGGTCAGCCACTCGTACTATAATAGTAGGGAATGGTTTTAGTAAATTCAGGTCGAATAATTCCGTGATTCGGGGGTTTTCGCCGGGTCCGTATCGAAAGCCTCGTCTCAGAGAGGAGGCTCCTCTTGCTCGGAGCGTAACTCTATTTCTGAACAAATGGTTCGGATCTACGGTAGGAGAAAACGACTCCTCGGAATTGTGTCTCGTTCTCGGTAGGCGCGTTCCGGACGTCGGCTCGCGTTAGCTCGGGACATTTTTCCAAGGCGAATCTGACCGCACCGCGACGCTTCCCGGCAAAACGCCGGGGATTCCGAGAAACCGCGAGACAGTGTTTCGTCTTAGAAACTGCATACGCGCCGCCGTGCTAATTACAGCCGATATATATATACGGGGATGTATGCGGCAGCCTTGAAGAGACGAAACCGAGACTCCGCTCCACATGGCGAATCGGATGTCCAAACGTAATCGCCGGGTAAACCCGGAAAAATCCCCGGCGTGTAAACGATGTGGCAAGGGGTAAAAGTCCCAGAAGCCGGGGCATATTTCAAGCCGCGTGTGGAAATATTTGTCCCCGTTTACGGGGTAATATTAATTTTCAGCAATTTGTACCGGCACCGGGGATATGTGACTTTCGGTCGCTATCCGATAAATCAACGGAGGAGCAACTCTTGCGCGCCTTACGTAAGGTCGTTTGCAACCTCGAGGATAACTCCTGCAATTTCCATACAAAGTTGCACCTCAAGTCTTTTCCGAAGTAGGGATCGATGATGCATCGATCCTTAATTGGGAAGCGGTCGCGGGCGTAATTCATGTTTTAAGAAATCTGGAGGAAAGGAAGAGAGTCGGGCACCGCGTCTTCTGGAATAACGTTATCTCCGGGTACGGCGAGGTTAAGGCTCAAAGATGGATGAACATTTCTCGAGTCGATCCTCCGGAGACTGGCCAGAGATCCGTCCTCTTTCGATCTCGTGGAATCGACATTTTGTCCAAATAGGACGCTGACCGATCGCGTTTCATCCTTTCCAGAACGAGGAGAAAAAGAATCCGCCGATCTCCCCAAACCATCGTTATCAAATTCCGCGGGTTTAAATCGGGGAACCTTATCAAACCTAGATCCTAAAGTCCATTTTTATATCCCATACCGGATCCCGCTACCTCCACCAGAGTCTGCTCATCTGATTTTAAATCCAAGTCCTACTGATTCAACAATGGGATCTCATCCCCGGAACTAAGATCCCCAGCTCCCAGAAGGAAGCCATCCTGGGCAGTCCAAGCTCGAAGCTAAACCCCGAAGACTAGTGATCGAGATTGTTTAAAGTGATAAATGCAAGACCAAGTCCTGACCACGTTTCCGAGGTGAATTCATCCGCTCGTCACTTCACAGGACCGAGGATTTCCAGCATCCACCAGCTCCAAAGCGACAACCTCGACACCGTAGCTGACGTAGACAACGTAGAAACTCACTGAGACACATTTCCTGGGTGCAGAGTGGCCGGGGTCTGGTACTCAGGGTGGAGGACCCCGGTCCTGTTGAACTCCTCGAACCTGCTGGGCTTCTCGGCCCCAAAGGGCCTGGGACTGCCGATGGTCTGGTGTCGGGGTGGGACCTGCATCTGCATCTGCATCTGCATCTGCATCTGCAGGTGCCTCTGACCCTCGGCCAGGACGCCGAGGCAAGTGCGCCGGTCCAGGCTGGCGGCCACCAGCAGCAGGGCCACCAGGAGGCCCTCGACGAGAGGCATCGCGACGGCGACCAGGACGACGACGACGACGGCGACGTCCGCCGTTCAGTGCCGAAGAAGTTGGACTGTGCGCCGAATAGACGCGCCGGCGTCCGCGAGGCGCAAACCCATGCCAACAAACCCCTCTTTGGTTGGCAGCTCGGTGTTTGCCCCGGTGGACTCGAAGAGGGACCACCTCCCACCTCCTGCGTCACCTCCCTACCCCTTTGTGCACAAGCTACTTACGTGGGCTTCGAGTACGCACACGCACCCGTGCGCACTGGTGCGCACTGCTGCGCATTGGTGCGCACCCGGAGGACGGTCCTCCAGGTCCTCCTCCCGATGGTTTCCCGAATTTCCCGACTCTCAGGAGCCTCTAGAAGCTCCTGAAAAAAAAATTCTGCAACCTTGGGATCGCTGGATCTAAGAGTCGTCTTAAGGTGAAGTGGAAATACACTTCGAGGAACTTGATCGACGTCGGTGAAAAAGATTTTTCTAAATACCTACGTTCCCGACGTTGGTTATTATATTAACAGCTGTGTCGTATTATATTGGGCTCCAATAAACTCCAGAAATCCTCTGGATTCATGGTTTCTGAGGCCCTTATTGACTGCAGAGGGACCCCTTGCGCCATCTCTGATATCCGTGTCAACTAAATTTTCAATTCGAGGCCTCGTATTACCATCGTTTGAGCATAACAGCGTATAAGACACTTTCTTTGAATATGATGAGTGCAGTAAAGGTCCCGACACCCGTGAAATTTCAATTTTCCAAAATTTGTTTATAGACACTTTTTCATTCCTTATAAAAACAAAGTTTCATGGGGGTCCACCCGCAAGATCTCTTTTCTTGCAGCCTCTGTATTCGCGTTAGAATGTTTGAAACGATTCGGTATAACAAATTTGGAGAAAAGTCATGAATGGATGACCACTTTTACGTCCCATTAATGGTCGAGTCTAAGACGACCTCTTCGAGGATTTTGGATTTCTGGGCTGATGGACGGTCGTCAGATTTTTCGAGTATGTCTTACAAACGGGTCCATTTGGTTATGTCGACGCGATCTTGGTATTCGGCCACGTGAATGGATGGAATTATTAATTAATGCTCTGCGTGGCCTCACCGGAGGAAATGTGGCGTTACATGCGCGAGCCCTGTAAGTCGCACAGGTATTTGTAGATATATGCAGGGGACAACACTTCTGTCCTTTTGTCATACTATAAGGAGCACCAATGGTGTTGCTAACTGCTGCCGTTATTTATACCGCGCGGTGACGTTGTATTAATAATAGCAGCTATCGGTACCGGAGGCCATTGTAACGAGAATCCGCATTGTCGTTCTTAACATACTTCACGTTAGGACGCGGAACAACGACGAATTTGTCGCGCTCGTTAAAATGAATTCCAATTATTATCTCCTTTTTCCGGAGGTAGGTCTGCGATAACCGCAATCATTTTCAAGGGTGTATCTGCAGAGAGGTGTGTGATGAATCTCGACTGTTGGGAGGTGTCTGGAAATTTCACGAAATTTAGGAAATCGCCCCGACGAACATTTTGGCGAGACTCAAGAGCCCCGCGAGGGCAGTTAAGTTGCAAGAATTGCAGGTAAGTAGTTAGCGGATAATTACGTCATGCGCAATCCGTGTTGCGATGAAACCCGAGCGGCACTTATATGGTCTTAAGGTACGAATACAGTTGGGCGTTACTCCTTCCTAAGTAGTCAGTTCGCCTTGCCGTCAGCCGCTTCGCTTTCTGCACTGAGCAATAATGGATTAACCCCAACCGGAGTACACTTATGCAGAAGTATCTCCAGCGCGCTCCAAGTTAACTTTTTCTATCTCCTGACCGCGAGCACATGTTTCTAGACGATTCCCCAAACTCCGGGCAAAGATCTTCTCAAATCGTCGATAAATCTATATCTGGGCGAAAGAATTCGTTATTCGAGCGAGAAAACAGCAGAATACGGCAATGACCGCGCCGCCATCTTGGATTCTCCAAGTGACGGTAAAGACGACGTTTCGCGCAACTTAGTACGGAAAGTATCGGCGATTTTGAAAGTTCCAAGGACTCGCGACGGGTTCAAAATGTTCCTGGGTATGAAATGCAGGATTAGGACGAGGATTTTTGAGGAGACCGGCGACGTAAGCTCCGAAAATCTGAAAGAGACTCGCGCGCGTTGGAGTCTTCTTGTTTCCAAGATGGCGGAAGGGCGGGCGCCAGAATTTCGAAGCCTCTCGTATCGAGGCTCGTTAACTGGCGATCGCGTTTAACTGCACGCCGAATCTTGCGGAGCGGATAAATTGACGGACAAATCTCGCAGAAGAGAGGCAGAAGTTCGACGGATTGGCAACGGAGGCGAAATCAAATCGAGCCGAGGAGGAAGAGAGGAGGGAAAAATGAAAAAGATGAGAAAGTGGGCGCGATCCAGCGGTCGCATCGACGCGGTGACAGTGGGACAGGAGGAGAAATGTCCTGTCGCGAGAAGACCGCAGATGTAGGTAAAGTACAGTAAGTATAAGAAGAGGAGATTGAGTACCGGATCAAGGACCAAGAAGGAATTATTTATTCATATTGTATGGCCGACCAAGTGTGAAACTCTTCAGGGCCGCGATTACCTCAACGGAATTCTTTTTCGGCCGCCCGGAGAGTCTCATTCCAGCACTCCTGCGACACGTGGAAGAAGGTTTTGCTCGTTATTCACCGCCCCCTCGGAGGATCCTTTTCCGCTGGGCGTCCCATATACGATCGCCATTTTGGACGGCGCGCTTTCACCTCGTCCTTCTCGAAAACGGTCTCGAACCGCAGCGGCAAAAACGCACCGGCATAGAAAGCACAATAATAAGCCGGATTTCGGTTTGATTTACGAGCGGGCCTGTAAAAAATTTAAGTACAAAGAAGGAAAACTTGGCCGTTCGACGACCACCCGGGGACCACCTAGCCGAAAGTCCGCAGCGACGGAGTATCCCAAAGTGGGATGAAAAATTCAAGGATACCGATCCACGGGATATCCCAAAATGGGAAATGAGAAATCCAAGGAAAATCGACACGTAGGCCGATTGCAACCTTCCCCGCAGAAAATGGCCGGCAAGACCTCGGAGTTACGGTTTTTGCCGGCGTTTGTCTCCGGCGAGCGCGTCGGTAGGTTTCCGGTTTGCGAAGTTTCCGGTTTGGTAAGAGAAGTACCGGCTCCCGGCGGGGTAAGAAAAGAAGCGTAGTCAACCGTGCAAACTCGAGCACACGTCTCGCGTCGCAGGGTGAGGTGGCCGGAGGTCGGGGCGGAGGAGGCAAGGGAGGTTGGAGGTGGAAGAGTGTGGTATGGTATCATGGCCCGACCGGGATGATGACAGCAGGTCTGGCGGGTGGCAGGCCAATAAATCATGCCTCTCCGTGTGGGAACCTGCCTATACCTATTCGCCATCGGTAAAGCCATACTCCCGTAGGGCCCGGGTGAATACACCGCAACTCCCGTGCACGGGCCCCTCCATGAGTGACGGATCCTCCTTGGGGCCTTAGACCGCTCTTTTGGCAGGACCCTATGATTTTTAACCAGGACCGCCCGGAACGGGCCCTTGTACCGCTGGCCGGTGCTCTCGCGCCGCCAATTATGCTTATGCGCCGAAAACGAGAGGGTGTTGAATTAATGAGACACGCCGGTCCCGAAACTTGGCGACGAGTCCAGAAGTGGGAGAAAGGATGGGACCCCGTAAGGGCATTACCGTTGTCCGGTGATGGATTCATTGACTCGGGCCCCCGATCTCTATTAAATGCGACTCAATGGCCCCGACTTCTTATTTCATCGAGGCCAATGGGGATATTCACTCAGGAAGTCGCGGATTTCCACATTTTTCGGTGATTCCCGCGAGGGGCGACCCTCCACCCTCTAGGTCTCTGTAGCTGTATAGAATTCAGATATTCCATGGAGGTTGGCGTATGAAGCTATGAAAATTGGCTAAATCAAGATTGACGGTAAAAAATAAATCCCACGTGTTAGTCCACATTATATGGGAAGAAGAGAGACTTATGGCACAAACCGTGAGTAAGACAAAGAACGCATGGAAATCCCAAAAGGAAAACATTGGAAATCACCGAAATACTGTCAACATTTTTAGGCCGAACGTTCATTGTTACCGAATGGCATTGCTGTCTATGATATGAAATCGAGGGCAATCAGCTCAGAAAGAAGGAAATCGTTTTCACGGATTTCCAAGTGAATAGCGCCTCGAAACGGGCCCAGGAAGAGGACGGCCGATGGCCGGCATCCTCCATTATGTTCCCTTGCTCATGAACGTGCTCCTTTAGGTTCCCGGTAAATATAATGCAGCTCGTGCCCGGGACCGTCTTCGAGTATGAGTGACGGATCCGCCGAAGACGCCGAGCCGGTGGGGCCCTAGCCGGGCCCTCCGAAACGGGCCCTAACCCTACGATTTTTATACCGTTTCGAGGGAGACTCGGGGAGGCAATTCGAGGTTCAGGGCCCCGAGGCGACTCGTACGTCCGCTCTCTATGGGCCCTACGTAAACGTACGGTGGGTCCTAGGGGGCCCGAGGCGGACCTGCCCCCTCGGGAGGGGTTTCGCCGAAAAAAGGAAGCCGCGAGGGCGCCGCTTTCCGGCGCATACGTGCTAAGGAGAAATCAAAGGAAAACAAACAGTCTCGGCCAGAGAGGGCCGGCCCGATTGTGTCTACGAACGACACGACCCGACCGGAAGTCGAGTCGTGGACTCCTTTTTCGGGGATTCGAGTTCCCCCAGGCAATGATTTCGCTCTCCGACTTCCAAGATGACTAAGGCCAGTTCGGAGTACTAGTCTCCACCCCCGGTCGTAAAAACATGGAAAGGCAGGAAAGAAAACCCGATTTCGTAACATTTTATTGAACGTCGAAGGTTGATACAAAGGTTGTCCCTAAGGACTTTAAAGTTAAGGTAACGAATTTTAAATACATATAGGAGTAGGGCATAAATGTTGCCTCGGTCGTGGATCTTTCCGGGCTCTCGATCGAGTCTCTGACAAATGTCGCCAATTGTTT